ACTAGCCGGTTTTTGATGGCTCTTGAATTCTGGTGGTCTTTCCAGATCTTGGTCAGTCTCCCAACAGCTACCTTTGCCATGTTGCACCTACGTTTCACCTCTTCTTGCGATGTATTTGTCAATAGTGATCCCAGGTATACGTATGACTTAATGACTTCAAAGCGGTCGATATAACATATATTTGGATGATTGTTATGTTGCCTATCAACTATCATGATTTTGGTTTTTTGTGTATTTATCTCCAGACCGAGCCGATTGCTTTCGTTTTCTACCCTATTTACTAAATTGATTAACTCTTCTTGACTGCCAGCGAGTAGTGTTGTATCATCTGCAAAGCGTAGATTATTTATTTTTTGGTCATTTATTGAAATGCCTTCTTCCCATGTTTCTAGCGACCTTCCCATTATGTATTCTCCATATATGTTAAATAGTTGAGGAGACAATATACACCCCTGTCTGACTCCTTGTTCGAGGGAAAATTCCTTTGAAGCTAAATCCAGTATTCTAACTGATCCTGTAGTGTGCTGATACAACTGAATGATAAGTGAAATAAGGTGTTATGGTACCCCCACTTCCTTTAAGACTTTCCACAGGTGATGTTATCTGACTTTATCGAAAGTTTTTTTATAGTCTACGAAACAAATATAAAGAGAGATGTTGAATTCCCTTGCTTTCTCTATGATTTGGCGCATATTCAGAAGATATTCCCGAGTGACTCTGTCCTTGGTGAAACCTACTTGTTCTACTGGGATTTCTCTTTCTAGAAAAGCTTTCAGTCTTTGATTTATAATTTGCAACATTACTTTACTGGCGTGTGAGATTAGGGAAATTGTACGATAGTTGCTGCACTTAGGTATGCTCCCTTTCTTGTGGAGAGTGACAATGGTGGAGTGTGTCCAGTCGTCGGGCCATTCTCCTGTGTGCCATATTTTATTACAGATCAGATTAAGCATTTTTAATCCAGGTTCTTTAACGGCTTTATTATTTCTGCTGTCATTAGGTCTAAACCTGGTGCTTTATAGTATTTTAATTTGTTTAGGGCCAATTCAACTTCACTTTTAAGGATGTCCGGTTCTTTCTCTGAATTTTCGTGGTGGTCGACCTAGTTATTATGGTGAGTCTTAAATAAATGCAAATATTTTTAGGGATGGTATATTTCGATCCCAAGAACACGTCTATGAGTTGTTTTTTTTTCGCAAAAAATAGGTGTTGACAAATGTGCATTTTCTTTTAATTTTTCCTGTATATTTTGGAAAACTTTTTAGAAGTGCCTGTTCACCGCCAAATGTTCCCACGATATATTTTCTTAATCTCTGATAATACCATGGTTACGGCACTAAGAGGATGCAAATACAGAAAAAATCCGGTTGCTCCCAAATTGTTTTAAAAATAAATATATATATTTTTTAAATTTTCAACCTTGCTAAATTTCGCGCTAGTATTTAGGTGGTAGCTCTGCTATAAAAAATGTCAAATTGCCGCATTTATTTTGTATATTTCCTGGCACTGTCATTTGTTTTGACACTTTAGATTTGTATTACGAGTTTTTGGTTTAAATAAATAGTGTTGTGATACTTCAAGATTAAAAATGTTTATTAGCAGACCTAGCAGTCGAACATTGTTCTTTTTAGAACCTCGTTTAGTGCGAAGTCTACAAGTCTACAGCTTGCAGTCTACTTTTGCTGCCAGGGCTAATATGGACGGGGCCTACTTTGTTTACGCGGAATCCGAACCACGGTCCTCGGCCATATCACGGTCAATGGCCCACCGACTTGGCAAGTATCTAAATCAACTCTTACTCCCGAGATATCCGATCTCATCCGGCCTCGAACCTCGAGCGGCGTGAATGAGCAGTGTGTGTCAATAGATTTTACACTTTTGCCTTTATTGGACAACAGCACGATACAGAGTTTCGAACCGGTCACCCGTTCATCCATTAGTATCGCCTTACGTCGCTTAACTTCGGTGTTCAAATGGGAACCGGTATTTCGACGTAGCTTAGCCGTTGTCTTACGAAGTGTACAAGATAGCTTAATAACTGTAAAAAACTCATCGCAACTTTAGTTAGTTTAGGTAGTAATGGCGCTTAAGGGACATCCCTTAAGAGCTGTTAAGAAGGTGAATTTTGTTGATGTAAATAATAACTGTTTATATATTTATAATTAATTTATTTTTGTTTCCTTAAATATTTTGATTAAAAGAAAATATATAAAAGTTGGCAACGCTCAAGCCGGTCAAGCTTAATCACATGACTAAAAGTTAATTTGGTATACGAGCCCTAACAACTATATATATGTTGGGACAAGGTCTTTTTTTGCAATAAAAATAGTAATTTGTTAAAACGACTCAATTTATTTTGTTTATTATTCTAAATTCAAACATTACAATATGATCTAGACAATTTTACTACATTTTTATAACTTTGCAAACAAATCACTTTTGATAATAGCTTATTTTGACAAAATCAAGCCAAATTTGCTGACAACTATATATTGGGACAGCACAACAAGAAATTTGTTTAATACGGAGTTACATCACCTTTCGCCTTAACAACTGCCTGAACTCTTAATGGCATTGTATTTACCAAAGATTGGCACATTTGAGGAGAAAAATTATCCCAAGTTTCCTGCAGTTTTGTCCGCAAATCAAAAATTGTTCGTTGAGGGTGGTTTCTTAAATATTGCTTAATTTTATGCCACACAGTTTCTATAACATTGAGGTCCGGACTACTTGAAGGATGGGATAGAACTTTTATATTATTATTACCGAACCAATTTTTAGTTGATCTTGCTGAATGGCGCGATGCTCCATCTTGTTGGAAAATATAGTCTTCGTTTGGAAACAATTCTTAAGCACTAGGCAAAAGTGAGGTCTCAAGAATATGTTGATATTTTTGGGCGTTAACAGTGCCATCTAAAAAATTTAATTTGCCCAAACCTCTTGCTGACATGCAACCCCAAACCATAATCCCCTTAGGAAATTTAACAACCCTCTTTAAGCAATCTTCCCCAAGACTTCTGCTTTATTTCGTATTATTCGTTTTCGATGATCTCCAATGCAAACATCAAATTTAGACTCATCGCTAAATATGACCTTATTCCAATCATTTTGTGTCCACGATAATTTAGATTTTGCCCAATTGTAGCGATTTTTCTTTTGAATCTCTGTCAGTAGCGGTTTTTCTTTGGCCCAAATAAGAATTTGTATCAATAATCTTCAGGTAATTGATTATCCACACAAAATAAAGTTTACCTTGTAAAACCCCAGACCGCATTTGTGGATATATTTTCGGCAACATTCTCTTGATATATTTAAACCAGTTACAGTATTCCATTTAACTGTTAGCGAAGAGTACTTCTTCTCGCAGACTTGCAAATTTTTACTAAACTTCGTAAATCTCTCTATACAACTTTTGGCCTTCCCGAACTTTACCTCTAACGTCTACGTTCGCAGATTCGCCGTATTTTTTTATTATATAGACCGTGGTTTTTGGAATACTTAAATCATCAGAAATTTGTTGGTAAAAGTTGTTTTTCCCGTACTGTATTGACGATTGATAATTTCACGTAGTTTTTGATTTGTAGCTTTTCCACGGACCATTACTTTGGATTAAATTAACAAAATTGAAAATTAAAAAAAATAATATTTCTTACAGTAAATCTCACTACTCAAAGTATCGAGTCACTTACAAGCTGTCAGTGCTGAAGTAAACAGTTTGCGACATTTGTGACGTTTATAGCAAAGCCGCCTATGATGATATTAATTATTTAAAAATACTTGTCCCAACATTTAGTTGTCAGCAAATTTGTCCTTTTATGAACAAAATCCGCTACTGTAAATATGGATTGATTTACAAATTCATAAAAATATTGTCAAGTTATTTAGGATATTTAAAAAATTAAACATATATTTTTCAGTCATTTTGAAAAACCAGAGCAATAATTCCATAATATGACCTTGTCCCAACATATAGTTGTTAGGGCTCGTATATGTTTATTTTATCGCAATCTACCAGCCCTGAAAATATTTACTACCATTACTTATTTAAGACTCACGCTGTATAGGAGGTTGATAAAAATGTGTTTAGTGGATAACGAATTATTGTAGATATTTTCTAAATATAGAAAGTTAATAATTCATTATTAAACAAAAATACATACTTAATATAATAAACAAATGTTAGAGTTTATTAATATACATTGTATCCCATTTTCGTGTGTTTTGCAAGGTTTCTCGTTTATGAGTAGAGCTACTAAGATGCGGTTTTCACATTACTTTGCTGTTTTTTTTTTATGAAACTAAAGATGCTACACACAGATTTGTCCTAGTCATCTTAGTTCCTGAAATACAGGGCGAAATTGGAAATGTTGCATTTTTTGACTCCCTTCGTATCTCGGTTATCTCATAATTTATCGAAAAGGTGAAAACTGATCTCCATATAGTTTTTCACGTAGAATTCAATGCGTAACTAGATTTTTGTTGCGAGCTGTCATTCTTTAAATATGACCCAAACTTATTTTTTTTAAAGAGATACCCTGTATATTATATTTTTATTTTATTTGCTTTCTTAGGGTCATCTTCTAAAATTATCATAATTATTGATCCTTAGTTTAGCTTAGAATAGGCCCAATAACTACTATTATTGTTAACTCTAAAATTACGACATCGTCGGTTCATCAAAGTACGTACCTTGCTTATTTGATTTGCGTTGATTTGAGGTACACCAAGGCTACCTCTCACCCCCGTTAAAGATACTATGTAACAAGGATTTTGTCCATGTTTTGATTCTTGTTAAAAAAAGATTCCAGCCCGATAATACCATGTTAGTTAAAATAATTCAAATATAATGTAAATTTACTGAAATTAGAAACTTATTTTACGTAAAAGAAAATACAGTATGATCAAAAAAGATTTAAGATTAAGTGTCTTTTGCATGATGATAAGATAGACTTTGTATTGTTTTGGTTAACCTCGTCCTATAGCTTGATTTTTTGTTACAGATATTCCTAAAAGTAATTTATTGACATCTCCAGACCTAAATATAGCACTTGTTTCCAATCCTGCACGATCACTCACCTCCACAGCGGCATTATTAGCATTACAGAGGATAAAAGACGCTTCAATGTAAGTATAATATGTACACGTATCTAAAAAAAATTATATCAAATATCAAAATATATATCAAAGAATTGTTTAATTTACTTATTTTACCCACATATTATTATTCATTAATACAGAATGAAATTAAACTTAGGTACATAATTTTTTTATTGAAAAAAAAACTTTGTTCAATAAAAAAAGTTCATTGAAAATTGCTCTTTATTCAAAATCTGAGCTATATAGGTTGGATAGTTTGAAAAAGCATTTAAATTTGCTTCCACTTATTTAAAAAAAAACACAAAGTATTGCATTTGAAATAACGAAGTTTTTATGTAACATAAATATTTAAAATAGGCCAGTGATTTTTGCTACTCCTGTATACATTAAACGAAGCAATCAAAATTTTCAGTAAAGTTTTTTTTTCTTATTTCTCTGACAAAAAAACTCAGCACAAGAATTAATTCTGAAAAGTAATGTACGGAGTATGCATATTTAAATATTCCAAAAACCAAAGCTTGTAAATATATTTAACTCTTATAATAAATGCCTTATTTTGAATCCAAGGATCCAAAAATTAAATTAAATACACCGGTGGTTCCATAAGAAAAAATATAACTTAGGTGTGGATCTTAGTTCTAAAACACTCTGTATATTTCAAAATAATTTTGTGTGTGTGTCATTCACCGAGGTGAATGAGGTGCGCCACCCTATATAACTACACTCAGATTGGACTCAGATGCAAAAAAACGCAACAGAGAATTTGTTGTTCAAATTTAAAGTGTCATATTTTTGTTATTTGTAACCCTATTTTGATGATTTTTTTAGAAAACTGCGTATAATTATATCAATTTTAATTCGCCAACTAAGTTTTTTATAAATTTTAGTATTTGGCATATTATACACGGTTAATCGAGGAGTTGTTTTTTTTTATCTTAACTTTAAAACACCCTGTGAATAATTTCGTGTGTAAATTCTTCTAAAATATAATTTTACTGTCAGAACCATGTCAGAACCATGACTCCTGAGCATTTTGTTTTTTGATTCATGTCAATACATCCTTTTTAAGAGCGAAATGATCTGATCACGATCAATTTGCAGTTTTTTCAATTATCATTACGTTTTGATTTAATTTTTTAATATGACGAGATGGTTTTGATGACTATTGTCGTAATGCTATATTACGCTACATTGGATACTTTATACTAAATAAAAAAAACGTTTAAGACTAACGATACAGTCCTGGTTTTAATAAACATTAATAACGATAAAAGAACTAACGATATTAAAGAAAACATATGTAATACTTAAGTATACAAACAGAAAAAAATTTGTAAAAAATACCCTAATACTTTGCATTGCTTCGCTTGGCTGCTATAACTGTCTGTATACGTCCGTTCATACTGCCATTGAGGCTGCATATATCATCAAATATATCATCATGTGTTATGCTTTTCCATTCTTCTTTAAGAACCAAACGAAATTGATTTAATGAAGCTGGTACCGCTTTGCGACCTCTAACCCTCCTGCCAAGCATGTCCCAAACGTGGAACATGATGGGCAGTTTATAGTAGTATATAGTTCACAATAATCACCAAAGGCGGCTTGTCATACTTATTGAAAAATAACTTCATAAAGAAATGATATTTAAAAAAATTACAAATCGTTGGTGTCAAGTTCATATCGCTCTTAAAATTTAACCAAGGCATATATTGACATGATCCAAAAAACAAAATGCTCAGGAGATATGGTTCTGACCGTAAAATTATATTTTAAGAAAATTTTTAAACACGAAATTATTGCACAGGGTGTTTTAAAGTTAAGGTAAAAAAAAACAACTCCTCGATTAACCCTGTATAATATGCCAAATAGGGCTAAAAATAACAAAAACATAACACTTTAAATTTAACCAAAAATGTCTCCGTTGCGTTTTTTTTTTGCATCTGAGTGTACTTAGTTGATCCACTAATTTCTCTATTAAACTCTATTAAACTAACAATGAACCTTATTTTTTACAGATCACTAACAATAACTCCAGCTTTGCCTTCATCGCCTAGCAAATCAAGTTCCAGTAATAACAATACCACTATCAACAATAACAATATCTACGAAGATACGAAAACCATTCCGGAAGTAACTATACGAAGGAGAAAAATTCACCGTTGTGATGTGGCCGGCTGTCATAAAGTCTACACTAAAAGTTCCCATTTAAAAGCGCATAAGCGTACACATACAGGTACTGATGTTAATTTTCTATATTTGTCTCTGCGGTACTGAAAACAATAGAAACATAAAACAATATAATGTGAAAGATGTGGTCATTATGCTGACAACAGTTTTGATTACTGTTGTTGATTCTACTCAATCTTGGAAAATCGAATTATTCATTCGGTTTTTTTTCTGTGTTCTTTATTATAATTATTATATTAATATAATTATATATTAATAAAGAGCACGTTCCTACTCGTGACGAACGAACTAATGTTCGCGAACATTCAGAATCATTATGCTGGAACGTTCCCTTATAAGAGCATGTACCACAAACGAGAACGTTGTTCCCTGTAAACATTTTTTTACATTGTTTAAAATGATTCTTTATTTTTTAATCTAAATAGCACAAATTCTCTACAAAAATATATGTATAGAACTTTTCTGAAATAACATCAAAAAGTAACGATAATTAAAAAAATTGCAAAATGTTGTTAATTGCAAATGTTTTTAAATGTCGTTTCATTACAAACAACATAAATAATTGTCAAAACCCAAATCAAAAATTACGAAAATAGTACTGTTTTGTAACCTTTGCAAATATCAATATCAATCTATTCAATTTTATAATCGCCCCCCGTAGCATAGTCGTCAAGTAATACCGTCGGGCCTAACAAAATTAAACCTCGTATATCGCCGAGAGTTTCGTGCTGTCAGGCCAGTTCACCTAAATTAAGTATCACGCGACAAAGTTTTGATGCTTTAATTTGGTCGACTCTGCGGCTAGTGCTGACACCGTTGCTGACGACGTTGAAAGAAAACTCGAAATTTGGCCCCCATATACGAACATAATCAATCTGTCAGTTAAGAACAAACTGTGAATAAACAGATATATTATGAATAGTGTAGATCAAATTTTGGTTTGAGGGCGTGAAAATTAGAAAATAAAAACATTAAACTAAAAGAACAAAATATACATATATAAAAGTAAAGTACTTACAAATAATAGAAAAACAAATAAACTAAATTAAGTGTGGGAGACCTAGATGTCGAGGTGGCTGGATGTCGCTACTTCTGTAAACAAGCAGAAAAACAATACCTGAGCAACCAATTTTACATTAATAAAGCTTATAATATTTAATGGGCACTATTCATGTTAATTAGCTCAGTTTTCAGATAGGTTTGTTCGGGTAGTTAAAACATTCTCTGATAAATGAAACCAAAGAACCATACAAGAATAGATAAATCGTAGACAGTAGAAAATATAACAATACAACAATGTAATACATACATATGCATATGCATATAAAAATATACGCACATACAAATATACATACACGCAGAGACTAAATCAGAGGCAATGGATATACTATAACTAGGGTGTAATTTATATATAATTTAGTGTGCACACGAGTACGAAGGGATGGACGCTCGACGTACTAATACTTTTACCACTAGCCTTAACTATCGTGAACGTGCAATGAGACCAAGGGAATGGCGCGCGAGGTCTCTGTCAACAAATAGTTAGCACTAATTACCAGGAACGTGCAATGAGACCAAGGGAATGGCACGCGAGGTCTCTGTTACAAGATAATTAGCTATACAGACCTAAAAGGCCGAAACACTGAAGAAGGGAATGGCGCGCGACAGTGCCGTATACCTTATGCTTTACTTATATCTCTGGTAAATAAAATAGTTCAAGACAATAAACAATATACAGTTGTAGAATAGTATTAAGAAATAGATAAAAATGGTATGCTCTGTGAGACAACTCACTATATTAAGAAATATATAAAATGGTTACCCTGTGAGAACACTCACCCTATTAATTGGACTTCTTATTTCAACACAAGAACACCTTCGACTAGCACAGGCAACGGTTGCTTTGGAAATGAGAGAGGACAGTTCCTTTAGGAGTTAGAGTCATCGAGGTACTATAAAGCTCTGGGAATTTCCCGCCGTAAACGACCCTTAACGGTCACCAGGCAGCATAAATGAATGAATTTATTTTGTTCTTAGATTTTTAATGAATTATTATTTAAGTATTGTTTAAAATATTATTTGAAAAATAACTGCCTCTTACAGTCGGCCATCCTGCATATATCTCGTCCCGAGATATCAGAATTCTATTTCGTTTTATTCAGATGATAGAAACAACATCGTCCTCTCCATCCTGCTCATACCTTGCTAATCGATGAATTAAGTGCGAATGGCTCATCAGACGGACCAGGTTTCTAGGTAGCAAGTTGCCGTTTACGGCAGCTCATATTGATTAATAGTTAAGACTTTGATTGGACCACCAACCAAAGTAAAATAAAGAACAAAAACATTAAGTAACGTTTTGAAATTATGCCACCTCGCTTGTTATTCTGAGATTTTGAAAATGTATTGTTTATTTAAGAAAATTTTGTAGTACTTTATGTAAAAAAAAATCTTTAATTACTGATTGTTCAAGATTACACCCTTAACGGACAAGATACAATTTCACACATAAATCACATACCACATTACATAAGTATACATGCTAAGGCTGCCGGCTAAGCCCCGCACACATAAATATACAATAATAAGTACCGATCAACATGTATCAATAATTTTAGATCATTTATCTTTCTTTAACTAATTTATCTTTATGTTTTTGGTAATCTTTTAGGTAATATTTTTGGTAATCCCACTTCTGATTAAATTTGTAGATCAAATTTTGGTTTGAGGGCGTGAAAATTAGAAAATAAAAACATTAAACTAAAAGAACAAAATATACATACATAAAAGTAAAGTACGTACAAATAATAGAAAAACAAATAAACTAAATTAAGTGTGGGAGACCTAGATGTCGAGGTGGCTGGATGTCGCTACTTCTGTAAACAAGCAGAAAAACAATACCTGAGCACCAATTTTACATTAATAAAGCTTATAATATTTAATGGGCACTATTCATGTTAATTAGCTCAGTTTTCAGATAGGTTTGTTCGGGTAGTTAAAACATTCTCTGATAAATGAAACCAAAGAACCATACAAGAATAGATAAATCGTAGACAGTAGAAAATATAACAATACAACAATGTAATACATACATATGCATATGCATATAAAATATACGCACATACAAATATACATACACGCAGAGACTAAATCAGAGGCAATGGATATACTATAACTAGGGTGTAATTTATATATAATTTAGTGTGCACACGAGTACGAAGGGATGGACGCTCGACGTACTAATACTTTTACCACTAGCCTTAACTATCGTGAACGTGCAATGAGACCAAGGGAATGGCGCGCGAGGTCTCTGTCAACAAATAGTTAGCACTAATTACCAGGAACGTGCAATGAGACCAAGGGAATGGCACGCGAGGTCTCTGTTACAAGATAATTAGCTATACAGACCTAAAAGGCCGAAACACTGAAGGGAATGGCGCGCGACAGTGCCGTATACCTTATGCTTTACTTATATCTCTGGTAAATAAAATAGTTCAAGACAATAAACAATATACAGTTGTAGAATAGTATTAAGAAATAGATAAAAATGGTATGCTCTGTGAGACAACTCACTATATTAAGAAATATATAAAATGGTTACCCTGTGAGAACACTCACCCTATTAATTGGACTTCTTATTTCAACACAAGAACACCTTCGACTAGCACAGGCAACGGTTGCTTTGGAAATGAGAGAGGACAGTTCCTTTAGGAGTTAGAGTCATCGAGGTACTATAAAGCTCTGGGAATTTCCCGCCGTAAACGACCCTTAACGGTCACCAGGCAGCATAAATGAATGAATTTATTTTGTTCTTAGATTTTTAATGAATTATTATTTAAGTATTGTTTAAAATATTATTTGAAAAATAACTGCCTCTTACAATAGACAACAAATAAATATTTTAAAACACTAAATAGATAACTATAAATGGAGACTTAAAACAACAGATATGAATAGTAACATGATGATGGCAAATAACTAAAAGTTAATTTAATAAGTTACTAAATTCTAATATTATTAAATTAAAAATCAATACAGTAAAGATATTTTTTAAACAAATATAATCGTATAATAATTGTATTATGACGGTCGATAATAATTTTGGCGAGACGTCAGTTACTAGAAATTGGCATAAAACTTGTAATAAAATACCGTATGATCGAAAAAAAACGGCGTCCAGTTGGCTGGGAAATGAACATCAATGACATTTCCCATATAAAATGACAGCAATCTTCATTCCATAGCCATCGCTGACGCCGTTTTTTCTCGATGATCATACGGTACTAGACACACAAATCTATTTCCAAAAAATTATTTTTGTCGAATTTTAAACTACATCAATTACAATACCAGGCCAATTAATGACGTCTAGGGCTTGACTTTGCTAAAATTATTATCGATTGTCATTCCCGAGCCGTCTCTGACGCCGTTTTTTTCGATCATACGGTAATTGTATATATGTAATAATAAAAGTTTTAAATCAACATTTCAGGTGAAAAACCGTACCAATGTTCCTGGGAGGGGTGCACATGGAAATTTGCACGGTCCGACGAACTAACGAGGCATTATAGGAAACACACAGGCCAGAAACCATTTAGTTGTAATTTATGTCAGAGATCGTTTAGTAGGTCCGATCACTTGTCGCTTCACATGAAGAGACATTGATGTTTAGGAAAAAATTACTTTCTGATTCTTTCAAATAACTACATACGCCGTTTTGTAGAAAAGATATGTCCTAATATTGACCAGTTTAATAAGAAAGATATCTTTCTTGGTACCTAATAATGTTTGTTCTATACTGGGTGTTGTAAGTTCTTGGCTCACCCCCATAACTTTTTTTTTTCAGACAACGAAACGAGATTTGGTATGTTGGTATATGATATAAATCTTGATTTATTGACTTATTCAATCATTTTCGTCACTTCCTGTTTTACCGGAAATGACTACAGCTCTTGATTTTTAAATGGTACCCTAGGTATTTTTTTACCTTTTTGGAAAGAAAATGACATTCTGAATATGTCAACAACAAATATCATATATCAACTTTTGACATTTTCGGTTAAAAAAATTGTATTTAAATTTTAATCTAGATTGGCTGTGTTCATAACAGCTTTGTTCGGGTTCTTGTTATTACCGATTCTGAACCGTCCCTGCAGCGCATGCGCAAATGAAATAATGTCTTCACATTTCCTTCTGCGCATACGCATCACAGTTCTAGGACGGTTCAGAATCGGTAATAAGAGAAACCCGAAGTAAGCTTATGATAATTTGACTCGAAATGCCAAGTATCTGGTACTAAATTCTTCGTTAAAAATGGTTTTTCAAAACATACTAATGAGCTACCCACGTTCTATTTGAAAAAATTAACTTATATTTAAAAATACGATTTGGGTAGCTTTCAACCGATCAGGAAAAAACAGTAGACGATCAAACCTATTTTTCCAAGGCTCCTTGATTAAAAATTAGTAGTTTTAACACAGCCATGGCACTCTAGATCGAAATTTAAAATGCTATTTTTTTAAGAAAAAATGTCAAAAATTGACATAAGATATGTCATTCTATTCAGAATGTCATTTTCTGTCAAATAAAGTAAAAAATATCGAGGATACCATTTAAAAATAAAAAATTGCAGTCTTTTCTGGTGAAACAGGAAGCAACCGAAACTGCTTAAATACGTCAATCAATTCTAATTTATGTCATACTAGCATACCAAATCCCGTTTTTTATCTAAAAAATTAAAAAAATTATAGGGGTGAGCCACTTTGAAGAAACACCCGGTATACTAAGTATTCTCTGAAATTCAGATGTGTAAACAATGGGAGAATATATTGCAATAAATGTCAACTTCACCTAATAGATTAAAAAATATGTTATTTAGGGGGAGCTTTGTGGGGATAGTTTTTCATCATTTAAATTGCGTTAAGTAACTATTTGAAAGAATCTGACTATATTTTAATAGCGAAATTTGTACAGCGAAATTTTTATCGGTATTATTAGTTCTAATTAGAAGCGGACACCTTTACAAGGCGAGTCTTAAATAAGGCCATATATTTTCATGGCTGGTAGATCTCGATAAAAGATTCATATTTTCTCTTTGCCGTTTTTCAATTAAGTCCAAATGGCTATTGGGTTGGTTTTTCTTAAATTTTCAATGTAAAACACAATTTAAGAAAAAAATATTTTTTGTTTAAATTTTGAGAACCACTGTATTTTTTTAGGTTTTTGTTTCTCTAAATTTAATCTACTACCTATTTAAATTTTCATTGAATTTTATATATTTCCGTTTTTTTTTTGTTTTATTTGACGTGTACTACACTGGAAATAGATAAAGACTATCTCTCTATCTACAATATTGCCATAGTATCAAGATATTATGTTTTTAACCAAAGATTAAAAAGAAACTTTTTTTGCCAAAAATACTCATAGACGTAGTTCCCGGGATCGACCTTATTTAAGACTCATCCTGTATAAATAGGTAACATCTGTCTTCAACGTTTTTTAAATTTTATAGATTTTTTGATAAATTGTTTAATCCAACAGATTCAGTAAATTGTGTTTATTGACTAATGATTTTAAGAAAATCGCAGTAGGTACTCGTTAAAACACATTTGTATTTTTTAATTTTATTTATATCTTTTGGAATCGAGTATACAATATATTAACAATACTTATACAGTATTATTAGAACGGTATTTATTACTAAGCAATGTGAATACTTAAAAAATAGATAGCTGATGGTGATCGTTTCTATAAGATTTTATTCTTTAAAAAAACGGCATCATAGACGACGGGGAATGTCAGTCGATAATTTTGGCGAGGTCAATCTCTAGAGTCATTTACTAAAAATTGACATAAAACTTGATAAAAATTATCACTAATTTTAGAGAGTTGCAAAAACAGAACATTTCCAACAAACAAATCTATTTCCAAAAAATCATTCTTTCTCCCCATTTAAAGATTACTTTTTATTCAAGAAGAGTACGCGTCAAGTAAATGACGTCTAGAGCTTGACCTCGCCAAAATTATCATCGATTGTCATTCCCCAGCCGTCTTTGACACCGGTTTTTTTTATCGTATGGTATATTCTTATATAAAGGGTTATAGAAAGAAAATACGCAATTTTCTTTATTTCTCTTGTCACACAACAATGACTTCCATCACGACTTCATCCATACACAAAGAAAATTTCATCTTTCAAGCATATGTATGAAGGAAGTTGTCTTTTCATTAAAAAATTACAAAGCTCGAGTCAGTTTGTTAATAAATCTCTTACTGTCATTTTATTTTATTATGTTCTTATCGTTTCTAGCTCATTGATTTAAAACATCCATCTCCATATTTAAGATATAGCCATCTGTCTTAGATATGTATGTTACTTTGTTACTTTTTAGTTCTGTGTTTCTGATTCTGCTAAAAAAAACATATTATTGGTAATTTACTACAAAACACATTTACAGTATAGCGGGTGTGTCTCAAAAGTGGCTCACCACCTATAACTTTTTTATTTTTTCAGATAAAAAACTAGTTTTGGTATGTTAGCATATGACATAAATTAGGATTGATTGACGTATTCAATTGTTTTCGGTCACTTCCTGTTTCACCGGAAATTACTACAACTTTTGATTTTTAAATAGCACCCTCGGTATTTTTTTACCTTATAAAATATTATAATTATAATAATATATAATTTTACCGATAGAAAATGACACTCTCAATCGAATGACAACTTCATCATATGTTATATGACACGATCATATGTCAACTTTTGACATATTCGCTCAAAAACAAACTGTATTTTAAATTTCAATCTAGAGTGTCATGGCTGTGTTAAAAACTGGCTGTGTTATTTTTAATCAAGGAGCCTTGGAAAAATATATTTGATTGTCTAATGTTTTTAGTGCCTTATCCTGGTCGGTTCAAAGATGTCCAAATCGTATTTTTAATCATATCTCAATTTTTTCAAATGGAACGAGGGTGGCTCATTAGCATATTTGGTACCACACACTTGGTATTTCGAGTCAAATTGTCGTTGTGAAAGTTGACATATGATATGCCATTCTATACAGAGTGTCATTTTCTATCGAATGAAGTAAAAAAATACCGAGGGTTTCATTTAAAAATCAACAGTTGTAGTCATTTCCGGTGACCGAAAGCCATTGAATATGTCAATCAATCATAATCTATGTCATATACTAACATACAAAATCTCATTGTTTTGTCTGAGAAAAATAAAAAACTTATAGGGGTGAGCCACTTTTGAGACGCACCTGGTATAATGTCAAATTTTAATAATAAATATCAATATTGTTTATTACTCTCTATCCCACAAAATTAATATTTTTAAGAAAATACACAAAGAAAATTAATACTTGTGAAAAGATAATCACGATTACAGATGGGGGGTTACAACCTTTGGTGTTACAACAGCAAAATAAAACACTAATTCATCAAAATATACCAAAACACTTTTACTTTTGCACTGGATGCGCATTTCGCCATGTTAGCAGATGATTAAAACTGAACTTTAATCATCTGCTGATGATGCTAACAGGGTTAGCGAAACGCGCGTCCAGTGTAAAATTAAGAGTGTTTCGGTGTATTGTTATATTTTGCTAATCACGTTTATAATTCTTTTTAAATAAATATAAATGTGTCTTAATGAAACCTAAACCAGTGAATGCTGTTGGTGAATACTGTAAATATTTCTAAACAATCCTAAAAAATAAATTGTATAGATTTTAAGAAATCGGAACACGGTGCCAGTAGCGATGTGAAAATATATTTTGTATATGTATTTATATATTTAGAATTTTATAAAAGTGTATATTTGTATAAGCATAATGAAATGTAATGTGTATACATTGTCTAGATGTAAACACTTTGGAATTTTGTCAATTACTAGCATTAAAGGGACCATTCAAAACGTAGATAATATAAATAAAATAGGTACACTAAGTAAAAATATGGAAATATTGAAATAAAATACATAGATCTGTAATATTGCAACCATTGCAACCTGCAAAATTATTTTTTTAGTTATCATTTTTGTTAATTAATCACATAAGAATAGAAATACAAAAATAAAAATACAACACGATAAAGAAACTCCTCATAGGTGGCTTTGTGTATGACGTCAGGAGTATATGATCCACAATTAAATATGTTACAAATATATCCAGAAGATCAATTTTGTTTTAAAATGTTATATTTTTAATCTTCAATTATTCAATTATATTATTTTATTTTTATACAGTTTGCTGACACACTGCAGTACCTACAGACTTTTAAAATATTTTCTTAGCACGAGCCAGTGTACTAGTGTAATGCCTAACAAAATAATTTATTATAATTTGAAGTACCAATAGGTAATTAATTAAAATAAATATTAAGAAAGTGGATTTTGTTTTAATAAATAAACTATAATCACATGTCTGTATCTATAAATTATTATAAATTAATAACAATTTGAAAAAATATCAATGAATTTAATTTTGGACACAGATTAGTATCATTAAAGATTAGTGTACTCATTTCAATAAATAAAAGTGATATATTCTCGGGAAGCGCTTTCCGAGAATATATCACTTTTGTTCATTCGTACTGTCGAGAATACTTACAAACATTTCAATAAACTTGTAATACTTTATAAAATATTAATAAAAACAAATCGCACAAATTAATAAGAAAAAAATTGTTTTTCGTAATACAAAATTTTCATTTGCACCGAAATAAGAAAAAGAAACCACCCGCCAAATGTTTATTATGAATAAACTACGAAACAAATCTAATAGGTAATAAATAAATAAAAAATGAATTAAGAACAGATATTTTAATTTTGAAATTTAAATAGCAATTTCAAATCACTCATACAAGTCAAAGTATTATTAGTAGTTATTATTTTTTTATGTTGTGCATTTTGTAATACAGGGTGTTCCTTAAAGACCTGCTAATATTTAAGGATCGAGGTGATTCTTGGACTTATTCTAAGAAAAATAACTTCCGAAACTGAAATAAACTGACTTTAATTTTTTTAAGCAAAAACTATATGTCGGACGAAAAAAATCAATAGATAAAAAAATGTTTAGAAATGAATGGATATTTTGCAAATAATTATATAAGTCAGTGGTATACCACTTTTTTCTTCAAAAATATTCAATGTAAAACCCGTATGGACGGCACTGGTTGAAATAAATAAAAAAATTTGTACACCAAGAAAGCATTTTGATACATAGAAGACGTGTATCAAGTTTCATAAAGATATCAGTAATGAAGTCAGAGAATAAGAATAATTATTATGAAAAAAAGTTTTTTTTTAGAAAAATTTGCCACCCTCTTGTATCTCAGAAATTAAGATGTTTAGGACATACGTTCATATGAACTTTTTCTTTTAGAATAGCATGCCATTGAGGAACACCCTGTATACACCAGAACTTAATGTGAAATACCGTATGATCGAAAAAAAACGGCGTCTAGTTGGCTTGGAAATGACGATCGATGACATTTCCCATATCATTTTACATATAAAATGACAGCGATCTTCATTTCATAGCCATCGTTTTTATTCGACGCCGTTTTTATTCGATCATACGGTACTTTTTAACCGTTTAATGGCGGATGATTCCTTTTTCTATATCTCGGTACATTTGTTAATTCAGTATGGTATTAGATAAACAGCTATCAAAGTTGGTTTTTACTTGTTAAAATTGAAGTTTTTGTCCACTATGCTCTTGCATATTCATTTTTTTATCAGTATAAATATGATGTTATACAGAATAACAATATTATTAGTTATTGTAAAATATGTCCTTTTTTGACATTATTTAATTTGTATGTTTATATATAATAGATATTTTTCATACTCCTAAATTGTTATAAAAATTGTTTATATAAATTATTGGTATTTTTTATCCATTTTATTTTGTTCTATAATTTTTAGTTCCACCAATTATTGTTTATTAGTAATTTAATATGCCTGTTTAGTTTTACTTATATACATTTAACGTATTGCCAGTACAGGGGCCAGTATAATATTTTACCATAAAGTAGTTTTTTAAGTAATAACATCCTACCTAAATATACCCTATGATTAAAAAATTTTATGATCAAAAGTATTTTATTTTTTACAACTAGATAAATTCATTGTAATTTCCCATTTAAATATCTTCCTTTGTAAACATCTAATCGTTTAGTTTGATCATAACTTTTTTTATAATTTCTTAGCATTTATATGATAATCTGAATTTTTTTTCGTATGTTTATATTCACTTCATTTTTAGGTGGTTTTCAGAAAATAAATAATTCTTATACCACCTACAGTAATTTTTTTTGTATATATAAAAAAGAAATGTTATTATCTCGATTTGTTTTTTTTTTTTGGTCAGTGGAAGAAAAAAGTATATAAATCCATCTGCAATCTTAATATTAAAAAACGCCAATTTTATTATACAATATTTAGATCTCTATAAAATAATTAGATTTACAAATATAAAAACCTAGAAATATCTGTAGATATAAAAAATTCGTATAATAAGAACAGTTTTATATTACCGTTTATTATCGATGTTATTATAAAATAAAATATATTTATTAATGTTAACATTTAGTCGTTTATATAAATATTTGTGGAAGGGTTAGATAATAGTTTTATTTATTTCCCATTTCCGGTCAAAGCACATCAGTAGTAAATATTTCACAGAACCTGATTAGTATTCCAGTTTCTCGCTGCAGTCAGAGACCTATAGATATCCTACAGACTAGTTTAAGTTTATACAATATTATTTGTCCATACACGGAAAGACTTGGCCTCAAGGCCCCGCCTTGATGCCGGGCCTTTTACCCAAAATACCATAATAAAAAAAAGCAAAGGCAAGTCTGCGGACACTAAGAAAGACTTGGCCTCAAGGCCCGGCCTCGAGGCCAAGTCAGGTCAAGTGCCAAGTCACGGATGTGCCGAGGGTGCCGAGCACAGTGCCGAGACTGCCGAGTCTTTCCGTGTGTGGGCAGCTTGTGGGAACTATTGAAGCACATTATAGGTAGACACTAAAAACAATAGACTGAAAGCATAATCACAAAATAGGAATTAACTTCCTATTTTGTGGCATAATGTTACAAATAGGCAAATTAAAGTCAATGTATGCAAATAGCAGCAAATAGTACGTATTTTGCTGAAAAGCACAGCGCGGTCTCTCGATGACGTGTGCTGGTACTCCAAAAAGTAGTTTATTACACGTATTATGATTTTTTACTCTACTTCCCAAACCAAAGAGTGTTGAAAGAGTGTGAGTTTACTCTTTGCTTAAGCTGTCAATTTTTATCCCCAAAGAACAAACTAAAATATAGCCTTATCTTCTTCTTGTCTTCTTCTGTGCCATCCTTAGATTAACAAGTGCCATCCATTATCAATTTGTCAGATGTCAGATTATGTTTAGGTTATGTTATGAAATATTTTCTTTCCAAATGCAAAAGATGAATTTACTTTGTCCAAAAATATATTCGTTTCTATAGCAGAATTTAACAATTCTACAGTTTTCGCCTTCGACACTATATTTAGAAAATTGTATCAATCCTTCAACGTAAATCCTGTTAATTGTTAAGGTAAAAAAGTTTTCTTTTACTTAAAAAAGTAATTATAAATTATAATTTTAATATTTTTTCCAGATAACATGCTTACATTAACTAAATCAGTAATATCCTTGACAAGGAGTTTATATCCAAATGTTGTTAATAAAGTAGCCCAATTTCATGCCATAGGTAATGGTGCACTAAATTTTGTGAAGGAAGACTCCTTCTTAAGACCTACGACCAATATTTTTACCAGTATTTGTGGATTTAAAGTAATGGGAAAAGTGAGAAAACGATGCAAAGATTGTTATATGGTTTGGAGAGAACAGAGGCTATATGTTATTTGTAATACACACAGAAGACATAAGCAAATGTCTATGGTAAAAAGGCCTGAAAATACATGGATTTTGTCACACGCAACTCAGTCAAAGAAAAGGCCATGGTAGATTATCAAAATTAAAATATAGCTTGTATATATAAAATAGTTGTGGTTAGTAAATTTCATACCAATACCTATCTTTCTTTTGTTATCCAACTACTTCTTTGAATAATAATTTATTATTCAAAGAACTACTTAAAGTTAGATGTACACATGTTCACAGTGTTTATAGGTTTTTAACTGTTTTTAACGGCATCTACGGTTTTTTACTGTATTTTTACACTAAAACTTACGCAAGTGTTAAGTATCCCAACCCTGATAGACAGAGATTGCTTATATCTATCTTTATCTATAGTATATATTTCTTATTTATTTGAACATTTGAACTACCATTCTACACATGCGATTTGATAATTTTGTATACTAAAGATAGACTTTTATTTATATTTTACTGTGATAAATTAAATGTACCTATTTTAATTGGTATATATTATAAAATATTATAGTTTTGCAATATGGCTGATCTATTTATACACGATATAAAGGAACGCTTTTTGAACAAATACAAGTAAGTAACTAAACATTCACAGTAACATTTACCACGCCCATTTTTAAAAATTTAACTATAATAACACATAATAACTTGTTTATATTCGTTAGTACAATATTGGCAGAAAAAACTGTTTTCTAGTATTGGTAAATGCCGATTTCAAGAATTATATTTTATAGATTACAACAAGATTTAAATGATAATTCCAATGTTTGTATTGAAGAAATTAAAATTGAAGTAGTAGATCATGGTGTAGATGATAATATAGTAGATGCTGATTCTTTTACCGGAATTCTAAACGATGTTGAGGTGTATTCCATAACTCCAGAAGTAACAATAACAGTAAATAACATCAATACCAAAAAGCTTTATAAATGTGATTTTAAAGGATGTAATAAATCTTATACCAAAAGTTCCCATGTAAAAACTCACAAAAGAGTTCATACAGGTACATAAGTTGATGTTAATATTTATTAGGTCCTAAGAAAGTTTAACAAAATAATATTTACTTCATTAAAGGGGAAAAACCATATATATGTACTTGGGAAGGCTGTGAATGGAAATTCCGTCGTTCAGATGAATTAAAAAGACATTACAGAAAACACACTGGTCAAAGGCCATACACTTGTATTGTATGTGAGAGGACATTTCAGAGAGCTGATCATTTAAGAATCCATTTAAGAAGAACTCATTCATAGCATTTATCCTAACATTACATAATTATATCTTACTAAAACAGTTCCTTTATTATGTTACAATCAATTTGTTTTGCTACAAACCAAAGGTGTATGTTATAGTTAGATAGTACAGTTTCTAAGCAGTTTTACTAACTCGACAATTACTATTTGAAAAATAGTTAATTTAAATATTATGTTACTTGGAAAAAATTATAAATAAAATTATGAGTAATTATTAAAATGAGTAATTAGTTTTTTAAGTAGGTATTTAACTAACTTAACGGTAAACTATCTAATTATATCGCAAAATTTCTCCAACAAAAAGATTTTGTATCGAAAACTATATCGACATAAAATTCAAGAAACCAGAAACTTAAGAAAATAAACTAAAAATAGTGGTCAAGTAGAAGAATTTAAAAGCGGGTTTGTTAATAAGTACTATCTTATTAATATAAAAATCTATTGGATATAACTTTAACGTTGTTAAAGTGCGGCTAGAATTATTTTTAATATTTTTCAGTAAAAACATAATTTTTAAATGGCCCGTTAGTGACGTAGGCAACTAGGGCTACGACGACGTATGCTTTACGATCAATATATACAACTTTGCACCTACCACAGGCTAACTTAGTCCGTGGAACTACTTTATGACTTTTTTACATAAACATCAAAAGAACTACTTTGTGAATTTGACAGTCTGTTGATAGGTTATATTTATCGTTACTTTTGTGATTTGTGAAATAAAGTTCTAACAAAAATCACTTAAACACATAATCAAAAAAACTCTATATAAAAAGCAATTAAGACATTGATTAAGACTAATGGTTAGCCTCTTTATAAATGGTGTATAGTCTTTATGCATAATTCTGAAATGTCTAAAGAGGGTGAGAAGCTGCATGTAAGTAAAATCAGAAAATTATTTTAATATAAATAATTAAAATTTTGAATATAGAAAGACGACCAGATTACCAGCCCTAAAAGAGGAATATCTCTATCTATAGATACACCATCTCCTGGAACAATAAAAAGGAAATTCCCTGGACCTGCAGGAATTTTACCAGATGAAACCCAATCAAATTCTGATGTACTAACCATTTTAGAAATGATAATGAACAATTCGTATAAATATGTCTTTTATTTTAGATTGACTTTTCTTCTCAACAAACTTGTTTGATGTTTGAAGAAGGCCCATGGAAAGATATGTCAAAAGATTTTAAAATAAGCAATACCCTGTATCTTTTTGACAAATTCAATATTGCGTGGATTAAAAAAGAAGCACTAGCAAATCATTTTGTAAATGAAAAAGTGCCATTTTTGGTGGCAGTTTTGTGTTCTTTAGAAATATCAGAAGGTCAGAAGCAGAAATTAGTTAATATTACATTAAAAGACTTAACAGGTATTTATTTCCAATGTTTTTAAACATGGTATTTTAATACCAACGGCTAAATATATAAAGGACTGTTCGATAGCGTTATGATTACCTATTTAAAAAACTCTTTCTTAAAGTAATTTGCGTATAATTTTGAGCCAGTATTGTAATGCCGTGTTTAATGAGGATAGGGTTTTATACATTACATTTACACATTACCTTTTATACTTTACCTTATATCTTATATCAATAACATAATATTATTTGGCATGTTTTTTTTTCAATCATTTTACAAGACATTATTTTTTTTTTGTTTTATTTTTTAAAATTTCTAAAACTGAATACATGGTATTGTGAAAAATTAATTAAAAAAAATGTATTTATTTTTTAGTACTCTGCTCTAATTCTGCTGAAATTAGTAATTAGTATTCTGCTCTGTTCTGATGAAATTAGATTTTTTTTCTTTTTCTAGATAGGTCCTCATTTTGAGATTCTAAAATTAATAGTGATTTAGTACCATAGGTAATATATTATCTATTGAGAATATAATACTTAAAAAAAATAAGATAATGAAATTTATTATATTGTTGGCACACCCTATAAAAATAAATATCTTGGTGAAAAGTGTAGTCAAGACCTTCAGGAATGTCAATCTGCATGTCAAAACAGTCCATTATAACATATTATGTACGAATCGAATAAGCTGTATACTTATAATATCCTTGTATAATAACATTGTTTTAGGTTCAATTCAAGGAACAATTCACTACAGCCTTTATAAAACATTTGAAAAGTTACTTACATTAGGTTCTGTATTAGTCATTATACAGTTTGGAGTCCTATCATGTACCTGTGATAAATGTGATAACCACCATATAACTATAACATCAAAAAACTTAAGTGCTATTTATGGTCCAAGAGAAAAAAGCATCATTTCAACTATAGAACCAGAACATCTTTTAAGAAATTACTACACCAAAAAGAAAGAATCAGACAATTTACCACATAATGAGAAATTAAACACAACAAAATCAGTTGAAACAGTGAGAAACAAATGTTATACACAGATATCACAAAGACCTTTACTGTTATTTTCCAATGAAAAAGTATTGGATAAGTGCAATGTTATGAAAAAAAGTTCAAACTATATTTTTCCTACAGTAAAAAATAATATATCTAGGCAGAATGCGATAGATAATATTCCGTCATCTAAAATTGAGTTACATTCTAATCAATCCACTACAACTGAATATAAAATTTCTCAGAGAGTAAGTAATTATAAATCTAATGACAATATAAATTGTAGTCAAGGTAATAAAATACAAAATGATGAGCACAAAGAAGCATATAAAGCTCTTTTAGAAGGCATAGACATGAAAACTTTTTTTGATGAATTTTGAATTGATGTGGATCAGTTTAAAAAGTGTCCTTTTAGGTGTAAAGAAGATTTCAGTTCAATAAACAATCATTACAATAGTATAATGGTATTCCAATAAGTTAATATACATATTTATTTGTTAAGGCGCAATCTCACGACTCGTGTACTTGACAAACATTTGTAACTGGTATACAGGGTATACACGGCGTGCCGGGCATCTTTACAGAATTGAATTTCTAAGATATTTATTATAGGAACTACGCCACACTCCCGCCACACCCTGTACGCCAATAAAAAATACTTGCCAAGTACACGAGTCGTGAGAACCCGCCATAAAATAGCCTCTATATGTTATAAAAATTATACAAATAAAACAATATTGTTTTTATTACTAAATATATTTATTTTTCTAATATTATTAAAAGTCAACTGTTTGATTTTTTTGAGTTTCGAAATTTCTCCAAAAATATCCTGTGCAAGATTTGGCACATTAGTGTTCTAGCTAGTTTCATCTAGTTTCTAGCGTTGATAATTATTTTCGAATCATCAAAAGTTACAAATATCAGAATACAGGGTGTCCCAATATTCCGTGGATATAGAACTAGTACGATTTTTGGAATCAAAATAAGTTCATTGACCACAATTTACCTCTATACAAAAGTGCCTCGTTTGTCTGTCAGAAGGCGCCAAACTTTAAAAAAATAAAACACATTTTTTCAGATATTTTAAGAATCGTTATTCCGATTTGAATGAAATTTTAGATGTTTATATATGTTTTGATAAGTGCTTTAACTTTTGAATTTATTACTAACTTATTTTACCTTCAAAAATACGTATAGTAGTTCAAGGGTAGTTCTATGCAATATTGGGATACCATATATATCAGAGGATATCCTAGAATATGGAGTGTAGAGATCTCTACACTCCATATCCTAGACATAGAATCATAAAAAAATATATTGTAGATGGAGAATTGTGGGGCCCTTCGATTCTGGGGTACTTGCTGCGCGACAAAATTTGATCGTATTTTCAAACTTCAAAAGAGAGAGCAGTTCAATATTTATTGGGACTGAACATTAGAACTCACTCCGCACTGCCAGAATTTCTTTAAAAATTTCAAAATACTGACTCTTCCTTCCTTATTCATTTTTAAATCCGTTTGCTTAATCCGCAAGCACATATCTGCTATTCCCGAAAGGCCGTCTCACAACTATATCCACTTAGGAATGCGGAGGACGATCTTTATCTACCAATCCCGAGCTCAGAACTAGTTAAAGGCTCAATACTGTACAATGCCAAAAAAATGTACAATCATCTGCCTTTAAATATCAAGTCACTTTCATTCTTTCCTGCATTTCGTAAAGCTCTGAAATCATAGTTACTGGATAGAACCCTATATGCGGTAAACGACTGTTTTATTGATGTTTAATCATGAACAATTTTAATTTTAAAATCATCTCATGCACTAATGGTTAAAGGTATAGTATTTGATATTTAATATTTTATAACTCTTACATGATTATATCCATTTACAATTTTCCTATTGTAAAATTTTATTGATACGCCTATGTTCTGCAATGTCCATGTATGTTTTATTTGTAATTTTATTGACGTAAATTTTTTTGATTTTTATTTGTATTGTATGATATTTTTTATTATTTGTATATTTTTTGTGCTTTTTTTTTGTAAATGCTTTGTCGATGAAGCCATTTTGGCTTTTTGTACAATAAAGCGTTGTTTGTTGTTTGTTGTCGTTGTGGACAGAATTTAGTAATACCATGGGGAGTGATGCTCAGTTTGCTAATACCGGGTGCTTCTCGAAAGTGGCTCAGACCTATAGGTATCTTTTTATTTTTTCAGACAAAACAACGAGATTTTGTATGTTAGTATATGACATAAATTGGGATTGATTGACGTATTCAATTGTTATCGGTCACAATGACTACAACTTTTGATTTTTGAATGGCGCCCTCGGTATTTTTTTACTTTATTCGATGGAAAATGACACTCTGAATCGAATGACATATCATATGTCAACTTTTGACATTTTGGCATATGATTTATTTGAAATTGTAACATGCGGTTCATAACGACAATTTGACTCAAAATACCAAGTGGACGGTATCAAATTATTCGTAAAAAATGCTTTTTCCAAATATGCTAATGAGCCACCCTCGTTCTATTTGAAAAAATTGAGATATGATTAAAAATACGATTTAGACATCTTTTAACCGGCCAGGACAAGATACTAAAAATATTAGACGATCAAATCTATTTTGCCAAAGCTTCTTGATTAATAATCAGTGTTTTTAACACAGTCATGGCACTCTAGATTGAAATTTAAAATATAATTTGTTTTTGAGTAACTATGTCAAAAATTGACATTGTATGTCATTCGATTCAGAGTGTCATTTTCTATCGAATAAAGTAAAAAAATACTGAGGGTGCCATTTAAAAATCAAAAGTTGTAGTCATTTCCGGTGAAATCGGAAGTGACCGAAAACAATTTTATTGAATACGTCAATCAATCCCAATTTATGTCATATACTAACATACCAAATCTCGTTGTTTTATCTGAAAAAATAAAAAAGTTATAGGATATATGTTTGCTCTTTGGTTAAAGTAATAATTATATACTAAAACATTTAACAAAAATATCTTGAAAAAATCCTGGGTTTTCGAAACTACTAAAGAAATCCAAAAGATCAATATTTCGACAATGGAAAAGAAATCTAAAAAATAAAAATTTAATATTTGTAAACATCACTGCGTAGAATCCCAATGGAAACCAGCTTTGTGCTGCCCCGTGAACTAACATACTTAATTATTTCTTAATAATCTATTTATTATCACATATTTAACAAAAGTTAATATACAAATTCATGTAATGTAAAGTAGTGACTGGCTTCGAATTTCTAGTCAGACTGCCTTTACTTCATTATCGTTCTCTTTATGTCTTACGTAATAGATCTAGGATAAAACTAGTTGGCACTTCTTTTGCGTACCTACATTTTTAATGGACACGTATTCAAACGCAAAAATCGTAAAAGACGCTATAAACACTTCACACGCAAAATCGTCAAATGTGAGCAAAGCACTAAATTTGAGATAGCAAAATAAAACAAAAATATTCAAATTACTCTGATAAAAAACTTAAAATTCCGCCATCTGCGATAGCCGTCTTTAAATAAAACCTTTTTCCGAATGTCACGCTTCCAGTTATTATTCAATATGAAAAGTCTAATCGTACTAGTTGTTATAGTATCAATCGTTACTTGCAAAAAGCAATCAAAACCTAATATCGTCGTTATCCTGGGAGATGATATAGTAAGTATTTGTATTTAAGTATAAATATAAGTGTGTTTATATTTATTTTTTATATTAAATTTTTAGTATATGTAATTATCTCAAAAAAAGAAATTGTACACCTAAAAATACATTACATTTTGCTACAGAGGCAAAATGTTAAATGTGGTATTTAAAAAACGTTGAATTATGATTTACCTCTATTATCAAACTCATTATTTTAAAATCATAATAACAGTTTATGGTGGTGTTTTCAAAAAATTTACCTTAACAGAAAGAAAATAATTAATTGAAATACAATTATTAGTTATAAAATAGGTAGTTTTAGTGTTAAAGTTTCTTATAATACATTAATTATTTATAGGTAATTATGTAAATTTAGTGATGGTCTTTGGCCTGACACTACCTAATAAAGGTATCAGGGCTAAAGACCTATTCCGTATATTCACCTAAATATAAAGATGGTAATTGACTTCTGGGCTTATAGACTAACTATTTTTGACGCATTTTGGGAAGTTATTTTTTGAATATATGATGATACACTAGAAAAATCCAGTATCCGTAAAAATTTGTAATAATTGTATTTTTAACCAGTAACTTAGAATTAACTAGAAATAATCGATTAACTATAAGTAATCGATGTTGACCGGGAAATTTTTTGGAAATTTTCGAAACACAGTTTAAATAGGGCGATTATATGAATCCACTAGCTCTATTTGTAGAGGTCTCACTGGTCGTTCAACTACTTACCGTTTCCGAGTTATTTGCGTTTTTCGATTTTGGCAAAATTTCAACTTTAAATCGTTTTCTACGAGTCCTTATGAAAATCTAAAAAGCTAAGTCGTCTATCTAACGATGCATAAATGGAACACCCTGTATATTATTGCATTTTTGGCTTCCTTTCAGATCACTACATAATCCAAAGTATGAGTAAATATATTTGGATAATATCAGAGATATTACTAAATAAATAAAAAAAAATATATACATATTTTTCAGCCTTTCTTAAAAAAAAATAAAAATACGCAAGAACTGTCGTGAAATCAAAACTATATTAGGTCTTTACCATAGGTCTATACTTACTTTGTTAAAGGTAAAAGATCGTGATCGTAAATCATACAGGATGTTCAAAATTATACGCCAAACTTTCTAAAATATAAAATATTTTTTCTTTGTTTTTTTTTATATGAAACACCCTGTATATTATTTTTTCATTAGATGGAGAGTTAAAAAATGAGCATTTTTTATATTTAAAGTATCTCAACATTTTTAATGCTTTCGAAGATACATGCAGTATTATTTCATATGGCTCTTTCAATGATAAAATATGAGAGAAAAATCATTGGGTAGCTTTGATAAAAATTTACTATGAAAAATGCCATATGAAATATAAAACCACGAATATCTCCGAAACCGATAAAAATGTTAAAATACTATAAATACAAAAAATATTCATTTTTGAATTCTCCATCTTCTAAATATATAATATATAGGGTGTTCCGTTTAAAAAAAAACGAAGAAAAATTATTGTATATTTTAGAAAGTTAAGCGTAGAACATCCTGTATAATTTACGATTATAAAAATAAAAAGTTAAGAAAGGCTGAGAAATGTATATTTTTTATTTATTAATATCTCTGCAACTATCGAAATATATTTTCTCATATCTTAGTATTGTGAAGTGATCTAAAAAGAAGCCAAAAATGTAATAATATACAGGGTGCTCCAATTAAAAAAAATCATCCCGATCCACTCACACTTTTTTGAGTGTTGTGTGAAGTTTTCCTAAAAAATTCCTAAGTTTTTATAGGAGCTACAGATGCCTGACGCACTATTGCCGAACCCTGTATATTGGCCACCCAACTTGGCTTTGTAACTATTTCTGGTATTTATTCCTTTTGCATAATTCAGGATCTTGGTGACAGGATATCTATAAGAATAATTATAACATTTGTTTGTCATATTTATTAATAGTTATAGAATATATATAGAATATAGAACAATAATATATACAGGGTGTCCCAGGCTGAGCGTGCATTAGAAGTTTCTAGAGAACTACAATATCTAGATCGGAGATTTTTTGCACATTACTGTTTCGCAACGGGATCTATCGATTAAAAATATTTTCAATGTGGCGGCACTTCCGGAAATATCGGATGTTGACAGCAACTTTCTTATTTTAAATAAGTACCCCCGTTTTTTATTACATACTTAAATTCTCTGTAAAATTTTATGAATTTTTATATCAAACACTCTATAGCTAACATTAACCGTTTTTGAGAAAAAAAATTAAAATTTTTGGAGGAAAATAACTCTCTGTCAAAACAATCTGTATAGGCTAAACGACAAATTTAGTGATTACCACAGCCACTGTGGCGTAAATAGAAGACGTGGCTATTTATTTCAAAAATTAAATTGTTCGAATGTCATATAATATTGGCCGTAGATGTCATGAAATTGAGCGATTAAAAAATTATCATAAGTCATTTTTTTTCAAATGAAAACCCACTTTTTTTTATTTCACTAGTGAAAAGTTTTTTCAATTCATTACTTTTTGATTATACATGTATGTTCCTATACCTAAAATAAATCGTTTTAAGTTGTTTTATAGCGTAATTTTTTCTTGATTTTATCTAGCTTCCTTTGACATTAAGTATCAAACCATCAGACAATTTATTTCCTTCTATCAAAAAACTAATTATTTGAATTTCGTATCTTATAAATACTGCTGGTAAAACTTTATAAAGTGTATTTATACAAATATGTCTCGTAATTTAGTGATAGCTAATGTCAATATGAGATGGCCAGATGTAGTTTTACATCGCGTGACGTTTAAAGTCATAAGCAACTGGTTAGCAAACAAAAAAATATATTCTTTAAAACTAAATCTTGAATAACTTAAAAACGATTTATTTTAGATATAGGAACATGTATAATCAAAAAGTAACGAATTAAAAAACCTTTTCATTAGTGAAATAAAAAAGTGGGTTTCCATACTCAATATTATATGACAATTTAATTTTTGAAATAGATAGCCACATGTCTCTTCTTTATGCCACAGTGGCTGTGGTAATCACTAAATTTCTCGTTTAGGCTATATAGATTTTTTGACAGGTAGTTTTTTTCTTCCAAAAATCTTAAATATATTTTTTCTCCGAAACGGTTAATGTTAGATACAGAGTATTTGATATCAAAATTCATAAAATTTTACAGAGAATTTATAGCACGCTCAGCCTGGGACACCCTGTATATATAGAATTAGTATACAGCTTTTTTGTTTAAATTTCATTTAAATTAATTTTTCCCTGTGATTTCTGCTCATTTCAAAAATGCCCATGAAATAAAAAATTATTATAATGATGTTCCATTGCTCATTTATTCTATTATCTCATATTAGTTTTAATTTATTATTAATTTTAGTTAAATTAAAATACATTTTCATATTATTTTTTAAAATAAAAGAAAGTTACCTTAATCTAATCATGTCAAGGAAGTGAATCTTTTTTAAACTATACTTACCGAAAAAAAATAGATATGCTGGAGTAATGACCGGTTATCACAAGTTGCTTGTCTCATAAAAATAATTATTATTTTCCTTATCTCACAATTATTATAAAAGTATATAGTTTATGTCGACGTACTAAGTATACATACTTTGCCAAACATAATAGAAAAATATTATTAATAATTAATTCTTGTAAAGAGGATCACAGGAGTTAAGCGATTTAGTAGGAGATTTGGTGTAGGGTTCAAATTTGGACGGGTGACCGTCTTAAAACACCGTTGTGCTGTTGCTGTTGTGTAGAGTGTAAAATTTAATGAATGACAATAGCCTGACAAATATAAATGTAATGTATTTTTATTTTTTGTGACCCCAATTTTGAAATTTGATAAAATTGTTTAGTTGGTTTTAGGCCAGTAAAAGTCTTTGGAGTTCTTAGATTGCATTTTGTCTACGTTTCGATTAATATACAGGGTGGTCCGAATTGTATTTGGGAAACTTCAGCAGCATATTCTGTAGATAATAATAAGTAAAAAAGTTCGTATAAATTTATGTCTTAAAATGCTTAGTTTCGGAGATAGAGAACAGGGTGTAGAAGTTTCATTTTTATTTTAATTTTTTCCAAATAATTTCTGAGTTTCCGCGAATATTTCGATGAAAATAGATGTCTGGATGTTTTTTGACATGAGAAATTCGATTTTGATGTCAGTATGACTTCTACTTGTAGGACCTACCTACATACGTTTTATCTGTTTTGAAAGGTAATAACTTTTCGTCCTTACCTGTATTATACTGCTGAGTGAAAAAATATACATTTCCGTTAGTTTTTACGCAAAAAGTTCTCTTGGTAAAAATCGCTACGAGTAATGGTTCTCAAGATATTTGGAATCGAAATAGTAAATACACATCATAATTGACAAAAATTATACATGTTTGCTGGATATAGTTATTAGCCTGAAATAATAAATTTGATATGTTTTTGTGTCAAAAACCAAATTTTCATCCAAATATCGACGTTAGTTCAGAAATTATTTGGAAAAAACGTAAATAAAAATTAAACTTCTACACCCTGTATCTCCGAAACGAAGTATTTTAGGACATCAATTTTTACTTATTTTTATCTGAAGAATACGCTGCCTAGTTTCCCGAATACAATTCAGACTACCCTGTATAATCTTCAGGAATATACATATATAAATGTAACTAGCCTGTACCAGCGACTTCGTTCGCGTCGAATTAATCATTTGTAATGGTGATGATAAAGCAAAGCAAGAACTTCCATTAACATACAAACTGTCACCATGAGAAAAAACAATATGGCGATATTATTATATAACTTGGTAATATTTGAGGGGTAGTTTCATCTCGTTGGAATTTGACTTTCGAAAAATCCGTTTGCCAAAAATAAGCTTTTTACGTCAAGCAGTTTAAGCAGATTCGTGGTTAAGAAATTACCCAACTTTTTAAAACACCCTGTATGATTTTTTAAAAATTTCAAAATATGTAAAAAAAACAAAATAAATTATGCTTGTCCAACCTTTTTCCCGAAAGACTCACCGTTTTTTAAATAACAAATATTGTAATATTTCAGGGGCGTTTTCACCCTCTTGGAATTTGAGATTCGAGAAACCCCTCCTTATCGAACCTCTACACCCCACAGTCAATCCGTTTGCCAAAAATCAGCTTTAAACGTCAAGCAGTTTAAGCAGAATCGTGATTACTCAATGGTCATATTTTATGAAACACCCTGTAAAAAATTATAAAAAACCTTAAAATATGTAAAACAACAAAATAAAATATACGTGTTTAAGAGTTTTCCGAAAAACTTACCGGTTTTTAAATAAAAAATATTTTAATATTTGAGGGATAGTTTCACCCTCTTAAAATTCGAGTTTCGAAAAATCCCTTCTTATCGAACCTCTACACCCTAAAGTCAATCTGTTTTTCAAAAATCAGCTTTTTACGTCAAGCGCTTTAAGCAAGATCGTGATTAAACAATGACCAGATTTTTCGAAACACTCTGTATACATTTTTAAAAAATCTTAAAATATGTAAAAAATAAAATAAAATATACGTGTTTAAGCGTTTTTTTCGGAAAATTGACCGTTTTTCAAATAAAAAATATTGTAATATTTGAGGGGTGGTTTCACCCCCTTGGAACTGGAATTTCGAAAAATCCCTTCTTATCGAACCTCTACACCCTAGAATCAACCTGTATGCCAAAATTGAGCTTCTTACGTTGAGTGGTTTGAGCAGGATCGTGATTAATCAGTATGTCAGTCACTTAAGGATTTTATATATTAGTATAGAAGTATAGAGTTATAGACAATATTATATAAATAAATAAATCGTTTTAGGGATGGAATGACTTTAGCTTCCACGGCTCTAATCAAATTCCTACTCCTAATATTGACGCCCTGGGTTACAATGGAGTTTTTCTAAATAGATTCTATACCCAACCAACATGCTCTCCGTCAAGAGCTGCTCTTCTAACCGGAAAATATCCCATGAGAATGGGTAAGTTGATCTATAGAAATATCGATATTGGTCGGCGACATACTTTTTTAACGAATGAAAGTAGACTAGAATATCAACAAATAATATGTATAGAAATTTTAAAACATTTTCCGATGTACGTCATCAACTTTGAGTGACAAGCGATGGTGACAGCGCTGCCAGATTGTGAATGCGCTGCCAAAAATGATGAAATTCGCCGTATATCACCCGATCTCGATTAATTTCATGTATTCATTGCCTTTTTTTGTTAATCTTTAAAAAAACGTATCTTAAAAGCGAATTCACTAACAATATCAAGTTTGTAGCATCCATGGTGCTTGTTGCACATCAAACTACTAACTAAATCGTTTTCCATTGCCTTCTCTTTGAACACGATGAAAATATAGCAAGCGATAAAGGCATATCATTGCATAGCATAGCATCGCTCAACGCTTAATCGCTTTCTGTGTGAACGTACACTTAATCAGGCTTAAGAACTTTTTAAAAGAGTTATTCCCGAGTGCTACTTTTAAAATAATCACCCGATATACTATCAAGCAAATTTAATCTTTTATCGTTTGATATTAGGTTACCAAGGAACGCCATTAAATTCTGGAGAGGACCGACCATTACCAGATGACGTAGAAACGTTACCTCAAAAATTAAAGGAACTCGGTTATAAAACCCATTTAGTCGGTAAGTGGCACTTAAGTGCTGGAAGAAGAAAAGACACGCCTACTGGTCGAGGTTTCGACACTCATTTTGGTTACTGGAATGGATATATTGGATATTTTGATTTCTTTGCCTACCAACCCATGGATCCTAACGACACCAGTGTAAGTATCAATTATTAATTATGAATAATTCAATGGTACTAAAGCTTAATTTTCATGCATCCGTTATCCGACGATACGATGATACGATATTGATTTTATTGGTTGAATTTAAAGATTGCGGTTGGTTAGAAACGGTTAACCAATCGAAGCCTTTAAATTCAACCAATAAAATTAATATCGTATCAACGTATCGTCGGAAAACGGATGCATGAAAATCAAGCTTAAGTCACACCACACCTATAGTTACATCTATAATCTATACACTAAACTAAATACAAATTAACAGTTATGTAAAACTTTTCTTTAATTTATCTGACTCAAAAAAAGGGTAGGGATGATTTTTTAAAATGGAACACCCCGTGTATATTATTGTATTTTTGGATTCCTTTCTGATCACTTTAGATAATCGCAAGATATTATTAAATATATTTACTAGTTTCAGAGATATTAATAAATAAAAAAATATATTTTTTCAACCTTTTAAAAAAATATATTAAAAATACATGAAATGTTCTGAAATCAAAACTAAACTAGGTATTTTACTATAGTTAGTCTGTAGTTTATCAGATAATCAATTAATTCTAGTACTCTAACTTTTTGTCGCCTGGTTACCGATAGCGCGATAGCGGCCATAAACCTAACTGTTACTCCATAAGGATATTCCGAGATTTTTCATTTTTTCCTTCCGTTATAAGAGGTTATAGCTATCTAAAATTCAAAATTTGAAGTTTGTGACATATCTAAAGTACCTTTCTAATTTTGATTCAGTAACAAAATTAAAGAATTTTGACAAATTGACAAGCGATAATTCATAAGTTATGAGGTATAATTACTAGATATTTTGGCAATCTAGCCAGTTATAATATGTCCTCATATTTAGTAAAAATTAATATTCTTGCTTTATCCACATCAAAGTTACAGGATGGTCAGAAGTGCCACTAAAGGGTGTCGTCCACTAGCCCGCGGCGCGGCGCTGGGAAGAGATTTTTTTCCGACTGCGAAGGGACTGCGCCCACTATAGCCAATTATAGCGCGCTTTTGAAACGCCGAAACGCTATTTAGTTAGTCGAAGTGTTTTTTACTTACTGTAGTTTAGTTTTTAAAGCAATGGGTTCAAGTATGGACGAAAGCGTATTTTTTGTGCTCTTCTAACAGAGGAAGAGGAAGAGCAGGTGAAGAAGCAAAGAAAAGTTTGGACTCATAAGATTAACAAAAAAAGAAATAAGTTTGGAGAATTTTACCATCTTTTTCCTGATTTAATAAAAGACAAGAGCATTTTTTTTCAGTATTATAAAATATAAGGGAACATTTTACTAACTCCTCAATTAAGGGTTTTAGAAGCATAACACCGGGCGGGTATCTCTACTCATCATATTTTTTCAGAAGAGACAAATTACTAATGATGCAATCGCTTATAGCTGACGACTTTTGATAATTCTTATTTATTCTGATGTGTATATTAGTTATGTCGTGATGAAAATACCCTAATCTTTTTTGATATATTTAGGTAATTAGAATTTAAAAATTGGAGATTGTCACTTTTGTCAAAAAGTGGAGATTGCTGGTTTTGCTTCTACACCCCTCAATTATATTAAATTATATCTTTGATAGAAAAACATTTCGTCCATCTATCTCTAGTGAGGGAAGACTAAAAAAATATCATATTCCTTTTTAAAAATCTGTTTGCCTAATTTACTTTTAAAAATGCAATTCTACCATTGATACGTACCACTAGTTCCTAATCAAAAAGCCAACTGAAGAGACTCGAGATGCAAAATGATTTCCGTTGTGAGTACGCACACTGCAACGCGCCGAAACGCGGAAGACGGAAAAAAGTTGCTAGAGAAGTCTTCCGACTTCTTGACGGAAATTCCGCTCTAATGCGCGTTGATTCATTTAAATACATGGCAAGCAGACAAAAGAATTTTCCACATGGCGCCGCGCCGCGGTCTAGTGGGCGACAACCTTAATACCTCCGAGAAAAGGATGGTACGGCTGTGCTTTACTTGCGGAGTACTGGAGTGCTGGAGTACTGCCATACCCCCAAATTTACCGTTTTTCAAACAAGTCCAAAATAACCGCGTTATTTTACTTTGAAAATTAAAAAAAAATATATTTTTTGCTTACGTTTTGAGAACCACTAGATTTTTTCTAGTTTTTCTATTATCTACTAACTAATTTTTTTAAAAAATTTAAAATAAATCAATTTTTTATTCGAAAAATTTTTCGTTTTCGCGAAAAACATCATAAACGTGTTTCTGGGGTCGAAATATACTATCCCTAAAATTATTTTGAACTATTCGTGAAAATTAGACCAATTTACTCTTTATCATTTTTGTTTACTCGTAGTTGTGATTCAGGGACTTCTATCAAGAATAACATTTCTGAAAAACTCTAATAATAAACTTTTTTCATACATTCATTTTAAGCTCATGCAAAGCCCGTTTAGTTATTAAAATGTTTAATCATATTATTGTATTTTTGAAATTAGACCGGAGAGACCGAGTGGTCGGGATTGGATTTACACGACGGCTTCGCACCTCAATGGGAGTACCAAAACCAGTACGCTACAGACCTATTTACAGAAAAATCATTGGAGGTCATTGACAAACACAATAGCAGCGATCCATTATTCCTCATGATTGGTCATTTAGCAGCTCATACCGGAGCACATGGAACCGAGTTGGGAGTACCCGATGTCAATCAGACGCAAAAAGATTATTGGTATATAGATGACCCAGTCAGGCAACGATTTGCAGGTATAGGAAAATTAATAAAAGTTGATGTCATCAAAATATTTGACGAGTGCACACGGTTGCCACAGTCACAGTTTTTAAAATTTGACAAAGAAAATAACAAATGTCAGATGAGCAAAGAAAAATCTCGTGACAACGGACAACAATTTGCCATGACTATCAACATAAAGCCTTTTTTATCGGCCAATTCGTTTACTTGATGCGACACTGTGATGTCTTTTTTTAAATAAGAAAAGATAAACTTCATTGTTGTGCGAAATCTAGAAGGCTTAGCAAATTACTGAACGGCATTTAATTAGCCGAGGTTAAAGATATCAGACTACTAACATTGATTGAAAGAATTGGCGAAGGACACGCAACCAAATTGACAAATTCGTGACAAGGCTGATTTGATTTCCCCTTACGTTTCAAGTGCTGTATGGTGGAGCCTTTACTCGTTCTGCGGCCAACGCATAAAACACTTATTTTCTCTAATTCGGCTAGCGAAGGCATATCGAAGACGGTGTGGAACTGAAAGCGACAGTGTTGCCATATTAAAATGTGTATTATCTGTAATACGTTTGACGAATAAGTAGATCGTATATCTTTGAATGAAACATCCGCATTTTTGCATTGAAAATTTATTTGTGTTAAACATAGAATAAACAACAAAAATCAAAATTCTTTTATAGGCACTGAATATTTCGTATGATCGAAAAAGTCGTTTAATCGACTTGGAAATAACGACTATTGACATTTACCATAATATTTTACATATGAAATAGCAACGATCTTTACTTCCAAGCTAACTCTGACGCCATTCTTGGTTTAATCATATATTATTGTTACGTTTTTCGTCGGTTCCGTGTGGATAGAAAGTCACAATTTATTTAAACACTATTTATTTAACACTAATTAACAAAAACAATAACGATAAAAGACTTATAGAACTATTTACAAACGATTTATAACTAAGAATTTATTTTGAATTTTCGCGCGTCAACTGCACTGGTATATTTATAACTGCCCTCTCTAGGCCACTGCCGCCGGCTTTTATACCTACAGCAAAAGAAATCTAGAATAGTCCATAGATCGTTAGGCGCATAGAGAAGGTTTTCGAATGTTCTCGTATGTACTAGTCCATTCTAGTGGGTCTCGATTCTTCTCGAACGAATGAATCATTGCGGTGTCTATGCGATGTTAAGGTCATCCGAGGGCGAGGCCATATTGTGAGGTTAGGTCGAGTCCACACCGGCTCGCAACACTGCCCCCTTCTTAGGCACATGCTCGTCCCGAGATGTATACGGTGAATGAAGGTATTTGCAAAGCTGGCCCCTGGTACATTGCGAAGTCTGGTAGAAATAGCAGTCTACAGTTTTCTCTCCCGATCTCAGCTTTGGGTTGTAGCAGCAAACGAGGATCTCGATTCCCGTAAATCTGAACAAGACTTCAATCATGTTCCGGATTGTACGCCAACTCAAACCATCGAGTCCACACGCCAGCTTCGGAATGGCTAATCGTGCAATGTTGTTGTTTAGCAGGGCTTCTCTCAGTTCAATCAGGGTCTTCCATAGATTGAGATAAGTCGGCTTACTCGGGGACCATTCCTTGGTGACCAGGTAGAAGATGTGCCTTGCTTGACCATGTGCATTGTCGGTTAGCCTCAAGACGCTTCCAACCTCTGGATCCTGTCGGCGTAGTTCTCCGACACGCCCAAACTTCTCATTGAACGTCGCAGCGATTCCTCTGGACATCCGCAAATCTCGAGCCACACAATGAGCGAGCGAATAATCAGGAGGCACGGAAAAGAGGTCTCGTTGATCTTCTTTGGTTACACCATAGCGAGCCTTCTCACTGCTGTTGTATCGGGCCATGAAATCGTCAAAGGACATCTCCGAATCAGGGGGATCAAAGCTGCAGGTTCTCACGGTCCCAGCACGATCTTCTATTTCGCCTTGGTAGGGGCTCAAACGGTTGAAATGGACTACCCTCGGTTTTCCTTTTGGCAATTTTCTGATACGGTATACGACGTCATTAATTCTATCCATGACTTCGTATGGCCCTTCCCACGAGGATTGTAGCTTCGGAGATAACCCACGACGTCTCTGCGGGTTATATAGCCACACCAACTTCCCTGGTTGGTATCCTCCATGCTCAGCTTGAATGTCGTAGTGTTCCTTCATTCGGTCACTAGCACTTTGAATATTTAGGCGGACTCTCTGATGAATGTCGTCCATCCTTTGACGTAGTGTGTGGACATAATCTTCTCCGGCGACTTCTTCTCCCGGTCGGCAACCAAATTTCAGATCACAGGGTAGGCGCACTTCCCGTCCCATAACGATGCTGGCTGGAGTTTGCCCTGTAGATTCTTGGACGGATGAACGGTAGGCCAACAGGAACAGGTGAAGAAATTTGTCCCAGTCTCTTTGGTGGTCAGAGACTACTTTGGCCAGATAACGGTTGATAGTTCTGTTCATGCGTTCAACCATCCCATCGGATTGTGGATGTAGAGCAGTCGTCCTGGTCTTGCGGATGTTCAGGACTTCACAGACGCCTTGGAACAGATTGGACTCAAAGTTTCTTCCCTGATCTGAATGAAGCTCCATGGGAACACCAAACCTGCAGATCCATTCTTTAACAAGGGCATCAGCAATCGTGGACGCTTCTTGATTTGGCAACGCGTAGGCCTCGACCCATTTGCTGAAGTAATCCATTACTACCACAATGTATTTGTTGCCATCGTTCGTCTCCGGGAAAGGACCAGCCACGTCGATCGCTATTCGTTCGAAGGGACTACCAACATTGTACTGGCGCATAGGGGCTTTACCACGCTTTTGTGGCCCATTAATGGCTGCGCAAATGTCACATTTCTTACACCAGGCCCTCACATCTTCTTTGCAGTTCACCCAGTAGAACCGTTCACGCAGCTTGCCAAGTGTCTTGGTAACACCAAGATGTCCACCGCTGGTTCCATTGTGAACTTCCTCCAAGACTTCTGGGACCCTCTTCTTTGGAATGACGATCTGTCTTCTCTCTTCTTGTCCCTCCGGTCTCTCGATCACACGGCGAAGTAATCCGTTATCTATTACCAAGGAATTCCACTGGGCCCAGTACGACTTTACGTTCGGCGAATATCTGCAAACTTCCTCCCACGTTGGTCTCTGGTCCGCGTTTTTCCAGTTAATCACCAAGCCCAACTCTGGATCACTGATTTGGTCATTTGCAAGATCTTCGGTTTGCCAACTATCACCAACCACAGTCGTCCTTAAGACTTTCACTTCTTTCTCTTCTTTGTAACGATTTCCCATCTGTCCGCAATTCCAACAGCGAATCGGTCCCCCCTTCTTGCTCATATACTGATCCAGTACTTTCCGCACAATCCTTTCCACTTTGGAATCGTCGGAACTCTCCTCAACAGCCCGTACAAATCCTAGAGACCTAGAGCATTCTTTCGCGGCCTCAAATTCCAGGGCACGTGCTAGGGCATCTCCCAAATGCGTTGGATGAGCTAAAAGAAGTGTTTGCCTTGTCTCGTTGTCACGTAAACCATCAATAAAAGCCTGTACTGTTAAGCGCTCCATAACATTTTCGGGCATAGCAGGGTACGCAAGGCGAACGAGGCGGGCTACGTCGGCTTCAAACTCCTGCAGAGACTCATTTGACTTTTGAATGCGATTTTTTAGCTGGGAATGATAGACATGTTCCAAATGAGCTTGGCCGTACCTCATTTCTAAATGTCGTACCAATTGCTGATATCTCCCTGTTCCGATGGTGACAGTGTCTGCAGGATATCAGTCGCATCTCTCGCAGTGCGACAGTCAAAGCGGTAGCCTTTTCAGCGATTGTCCATCCGTTCGCTCTCGCAGCGGCCTCAAACTGGCAAAAATAATTAGCCCAAGCGGTTTTTTCCGTCAAACTGTGGAGGCTTAATAACTGACTTTGAGATATACTTATTTTCGACTAGTTTCGGCCCCTCCGATGTTTCTTGACATTTTGGTGAATTTGACTTCGCTATTTCTTCTCTTAAAATTTCGATTTTTCTATTTACATCTTCCCTCAATCTCTGTTATTTTGTCTTGTGTATCTGTTATCTTCTCTTCTAATTCCCTGGAATTTTCTGTTATCTTTTCTTCTAAATTAAGTATTTTATTATTAAAGCTGGCCTGTATGTCTTTAGAATTTTCTGCGATCTTATCTTCTAAAATATTAATTAAATCCTGGGAATTTTTCATCATTTTATCTTCTAAATTATTCAAATTGCCGTTTAAATTGTCTTGCAATTCCCGGGAATTTTCTGTAATTTTGTCATTCAAATTGTCTTCTAATTTTTGTAGGCACGAGTCAAGGTCACCTTCCAACTCAAAGCAAAATGTGTCAGGATCCTCACCTTCCTCAATCAAAACGTCTCTCAGTCTGGCTTGCAAAATGCTTTTCTTTCCATCTGTCTCGCATTCCCTCTCTTCCAGTATGCTTTTTAATTCCGACACTTTCAGGTCTTTCAATTTTTTTGGAGCCATCGTTAGTCTTTTTATTTTTCTAGTCTATCACACACGCCACACTTGACACCAATTGTTACGTTTTTCGTCGGTTCCGTGTGGATAGAAAGTCACAATTTATTTAAACACTATTTATTTAACACTAATTAACAAAAACAATAACGATAAAAGACTTATAGAACTATTTACAAACGATTTATAACTAAGAATTTATTTTGAATTTTGCGCGTCAACTGCACTGGTATATTTATAACTGCCCTCTCTAGGCCACTGCCGCCGGCTTTTATACCTACAGCAAAAGAAATCTAGAATAGTCCATAGATCGTTAGGCGCATAGAGAAGGTTTCCGAATGTTCTCGTATGTACTAGTCCATTCTAGTGGGTCTCGATTCTTCTCGAACGAATGAATCATTGCGGTGTCTATGCGATGTTAAGGTCATCCGAGGGCGGGCCATATTGTGAGGTTAGGTCGAGTCCACACCGGCTCGCAACATTATATTAAATTGTTTAATGATATAAAATCCGTATTATTAACGTACTGCCACAGATTACTTACTGTTGATTGTTGATCTGTGGGAATGTACCCAAAATCCGTAAATCTACGGATTAATTCGTAGTTCTGGCAACACCGTCTCCGACAACCACCCACTCTGTCGACTGAAAGCAGAGCTACGGTACAGTATTCCCCTGCGCTGTAAAAAGGCTGTAAACGACCATCAGCGCGCAGCGGCGCAGAGCTACACTAAATCTCGGACATTTTTTGTGCCACGAAATCGTCCATAAGATTGCGCATCTTCTTATTTCTTCAATCAACGCTACCGACTTACATTGCAATAGATACCAAATTGATTCATTCAATATACAGGGTTTTTCACCACTTATAATCTCTCAAGTTTTCATAGAAAATGCATTTTCTTAAAATTTAGACCTGATTTGTCACTATACCCATGGAATATTGACATTTTAATTTTTTTTAAAGCAACATATGTACAAAACGTACAGTAAAAATAATAATATTGCAATCCCATTTGTTTACAACAAGAAAACTATTTAAATCTTGGCAACAGAGTATACTAATTAAATACACCACCATTATTTCCGCCCAAAAATTAGTTAATAGCATATTATTTTAATTATAAATTATCCTTAATAAATGTGGATTTCACTCAGAAGTCAATATAACAATAGGTTATGAAAATGAAAGTCTCTGTTGTTATAAATAAGCATTCGTCAAACAATGAAATAAAATTTATAAGGTGTTACTTTTTACCACACTGTCTAATACACATACAAAATTCCGTTTTTCAGGATTTGGAGCAATTATTATTAATCAACCTTTGAATACTAGGATCATATTAATAATTGGTCCTCTGTAACAAAATATTTAAACAGTTTTTTTTATTTTTTATTGAAATAAGCAAACTTTATGTACTTTTTGAAAATTTGTTACATTTTTAAAAGTAATCTAAAATGCCAATATTCCATGGGTATAGTGATAAATGAAGTCTAAATTTTAAGAAAATGCATTTTCTACGAAACCTTGAAGAGATATGTAAAAAATGGTATAATACAATTTGATAGACAATTAAATTGTGCATCTTAATTACGTAAAATATACAGGATGTTCCATTTAAATTAAACAAGTTATTGCCGTTTAAAGCTAGTAATTATTTAATATTAATTTTTAGACACTCTGTATAAGAAAGTATAATTTTTATTATTGGAACACAATATCTGATCAATAAATAATCTTCAGTAAATATGTATAGTATTAAAAACTTTGATACCCTTGGAGAAAAGAAACCTTAAATTCTTTAATACAATTTCACAAAATTGAAAAATTTCAAAAACGGTTTTCAAAAAAGGTTTAAGTATGATAAGCCTTAATCAAATTTACCTTTATTTCAATCGTAGAATGTAAAAATAGAATAATATACAGCTATAATATTTTTTACATATTTGGGACACTCTGTATCTTGTAAAAATATTCTTAAATTGTAGCTCTAATAGTCCTTCAACGAACCCAAAACTTACATTGTGTAAAAATCTAATCGTTTAGCTACAATACTCCGTATCGTATGTGGTGAACAACCCTGTATATTGTGTATATTCATACAAAATAAAATTACCGTATGATCAAAAAAAAATGGCGTCCAGTTGGCTTGGAAATGACGATCGATGAAATTTCCCATATAATTTTACATATAAAATGACAGCGATCTTCATTTCATAGCCATCGCTGACGTCGTTTTTATTCGATCATACGGTATTTTTTACATAAATCGGAAAATAATCAAAATACCGAGGTTTTCAATCAAGATACCAAACCAAACCTCCTAAATTAGACTTCGCAAATTTCACTTTCCGGAAACCTGATCTACTGTATTTATACAAATTATAGGAGTAGCATGATTTGCAAAACATTATCATTTTCGTATACCCTCAAGTATTAAAAACAATTAAATTTGATCATTTAATGTGGTTTAATATTAATAATTGATAAAAATGGTACTTATTTGTTTCTTAAACGGAAAAATAAACAGGATTATTGGAATGTCAATAAACGTTATCAAGTTTCAAGTACTCATTCATCTAAACTATCCTATCTATTTACGGTATACCCTATTTACTTATTTATTGATTATAACTACTTAACAATATACCAAGAGCTCGAACGCACTGCCACGGCCAGGTCGCACCGGCCAGGCCGCTGCTACCTCTAAAACCATTAAATCAAATGATACAAAGCACACTAACGACCTGGCCGTTGGCTGGTCGTTGCGACCAGTAGATTGCACTAAAATATTATTATTTTCTGCCGCTTGTTGCCGGTTTTCTTCCAAATTAATAATTTTTCAGATGAAATCCCTCAAATTCAACGCAAAATATTTTATTTTCTATATGATATAATGTTTTAGTGTAGTTTTTGCATACGTGCAGAAAATCCAAAGAAATATTATACAGATTGGACCAAAGAGAAACTTAAATCTAGTGCCTTTTTTATCAAGCGTCGGTTCTAGTAAAAATTCAAAACATTTTTATATGACATACTCTATTTATGGTTGGTATCATACCTGTTATTATACATTCGAGTTTCGATGTTAGAAATTAAAAAAAAATAATATTTAAAGTTTTTCTACAACCACTTGTTATTTTTTCATTAAATTAGTTTTTTTTTAGTTGTATTGTAGTCATGTACAAGGGGGACAACTGTATTTTAAATATTATATTTAATTTAATGTTTTTCAAACAGGGCCCATTAGACTATATTTTTACTAGGACTAATTCAGTACCCTGTACTAACACAAATACCAAGAAATAGAGTTCTATTCGGTTTTGTCTCCGCATATCGTAGTTCTTTTGTGATTTTCGCTCGGTACTCGGTATGGTTTTGAAGAAACATTACTTTATTTAATATTAGAACATTTAATAAGCTCATGAATAGGAACTTCGTTTTTTAGTTAACTCGGATATTTTAACATTTCTGAAAACAATATTTTCTAATTGGTAAAACGTAAAAAATCGGTAGATCTGAAAACCCTGCCGAAACTGGTCGTTCATCTGACCGCACCTATGTACGGGATGTATCCGGCTAGCCGACGCGCGACGCAGCGCCGCCGCCGACGGTCGTTGCGACCGTCGGTCGTCAGTGCGACCGTCGGTCGTCAGTGAGTTCGAGCTCTAAATAGGTAGTAATTTAATTTAGATTATACCACTTGGTTCGTTTTATGTTAGTATATGAGTATCGCCTAATCATGCTACCATGTGATGAAAAAGTTTTATGACCAAGCGCGAGCTGTGTATGATGACGGAAAGACAATAATTCTTATAGAGAATTACATATATTAAGTTTTTTTTTAAGTCTCAAAGATACCGACATCGGTGTTTTGTGTAAAACGGTGTCACCACCGGTTTAACACTGGTGTTGGGCTGACACCGGTGTTGATCTCAATACAGGTCACAGATAACATACAAAATAAGTCTCAAAGATACAGGTTGTGACTACGACACAGGTTTTGATCTCGACACTGGTTTTGATATCGATACAGGTTTTGTCTACGACACCGCTTTTAGATTAGGTAGATTCCTGATAAAAACCAGTGTCGTAGACAAAACCGGTATTGATATCAAAACCAGTGTCGAGATCAAAACTTGTGTCGTAGTCACAACCTGCACCTTTGAGACTTAATTTGTATGTTATCTGTGACCTGTATTGAGATCAACACCGGTGTCAGCCCAACACCAGTCTTAAACCGGTGGTGACACCGTTTTACACAAAACACCGGTGTCGGTGTAACGTCCATGAGTGCGAGAGAAGCATACTCCTCTAATTTCAAATTTATTTTATTTTCTAGATGTGGTCAACAGATTGGATAAATCAGTGGGCGATGTTGTCCAACAGTTACAGAAAAAGGATATGTTAAAGAATTCTATTATTCTCTTCTTATCGGATAATGGAGCACAGACAGTTGGAATATATGAGAACCATGGATCTAATTATCCACTAAAAGGGGTAAATATTTTAATGAACATTTTTTGAAAGACAGAATTTTTTTTGAATGAGACACCCTTTAATATTATGAATATATTTAAATTGCATACTTTTTCTGTTTTCAAAAACATAGCACACATGCCCTTTCTTTTTAATATCTTCATCGAAATTTGATAAAATATACACAATGAGTGATATTATATTTGAAGAGCAATAATCAGGCAGCTCCATTTTAACAAATTCTGCTAGCCAAAGTAGGGAGGTCGAGGAGTGGCCCTGTTCTTGCTACAACCTAAAGCAAGGCAGCTCCAAATAAAGTTGCCATTTATGTATTGTTGAATGAAGATACCTGATTGTTGCAAAGAACGATCGGACTATTTTTAGGGCAACTCAGTAAATATCTCATTTTCGTAAAAAAGTGACTGCCTGGTTATTGCAGCCGCCCCTTCATTTATTGGTTCAAATTAGACGTCATGCGTCATATGAAGGCTGTCCAACGAGTGAGAGAAGATTTCCGAGAAAGTACATCCAAGAAATAACAAAAAATACGATTTACCTCTTGCCTGTGAATTAAAGTGACATAAACAACTGTCACTGTCATGTATAATCTTAATGAACAGCCGAACAGCCTTTAATTGGACATATAATAATTATTAACTAAACATTATAGCCTGTCCAACGAGAGCATCTCGGACAGTGACAGTTGGGTCTGTCATTTCTATTCACAGGCAGTTTGTGTTTTCTGTCATTTTCTGGATGTCGTTCGTTAAACTTTATTTTCAACTTTAAATAAAACTATTAACAAAAACCCAGAGATATTTTTGAAAACGGAAATAAGTGAGTTACAATATAAATGTGTTAACAATACACGTTGAAATCTAAATTGAAATGCTAAATGAGAAATGTGGAATACAATAAAATAATAATCTACAGCATCTACTTCTACAAAATAAAGAGATTTATATTTGTGATATAAAATACACCAGCAGTTAATACGGAATGGAAAAAATAATAGGTATAATAATTAATAAAACTCATCATTAACTAATAAGTAAAATTCTGATTTCCGACTTTTTGTTTTAATCTTTATTAGATTTTGTATTCTTATTACTTCATTAAGCTGTCTTACAAAATAATTAGTCAAACAATGGTAGCAAAATGTTATTAGGTATATCAGTATACCGGGTGTTATCAAAAGTGGCTCACCCCTATAACTATTTTATTTTTTCAGATAAACAAATGAGATTTGGTATGTTAGTATATGACATAAATTAAGATTGATTGACATACTCACTTATTTTTGTTCCCTTCCTGTTTCACAGGAAATGACTACAACTTGGTTTTTAAATAACACTCTCGGTATTTTTTTACATTATTAGATAGCTAATGACACTCTGATTAGAATGATATGTCAACTTTTGACATTTTGGCAAATGGTTTATTTGAAATTGTAGTATGCGGTTCATAACGACAATTATTTAACTCGAAATATTATTTCATTTGAAAAAATTGAGATATGATTAAAATTACGATTTGGACATCTTCTAACCGTCCAGGAAAAGACATGAAACTTCGAGAGACAATCAAATCTATTTTTCCAAAGCTCCTTCATTAAAAATTAGTGTTTTTAAGCGAAAATTTTAAAAGTTAACATATGATATGTCATTCTATTCAGAGTGGCATTTTCTCTCGAATCAAGTAAAAATATGCCATTTAAAAATGAGAAGGTGCCATTTATAAATTAAAATTTGTAGTCATTTCCGGTGAAACAGGAAGTGACCAAAAACAATTAATTGAATACGTCAATCGGACCACTACAACACCCGGTATACGTTAAAACAGTTATTTATTCAAATAACTTTATTATATAAAAAAAAAATATTTTTTAATTGCACTAATAATTTTATTTGCAGCTTAAGTTTAGTTTACTAGAGGGCGGTGTAAGAGGTTCCGCTGTTTTATTCAGTCCTTTGTTGTCGAAAAAGGGATATATTAATAACCATTTATTGCACATATCCGATGTTTACACAACACTGATTGAACTTGCAGGTAGTTATGAAATAAAATGTATTTGATATTTACAATGTTTAAAAAACTTTAAAATCAGCCAGTTTTATTTAATTTTGTTCTGTTTTTTTAGGCGGAACCGCTCCAAATAATACTGATGGAATCAATCAATGGTCTACTATTTCTTATGATAAAAATACCCAAAGAAAAGAAATATTACTCAATGTAGACGAGATCCAAGGATATTCCGGTATCATAAGTAAACTTGGAAGATACAAATTCCTAAACGGTAAGTTGTAGTATGATATTTTTTAGTTTTTTTTTTTCTATTATGTTTTATATTTTAGGTTCATATCTGTTAGGCATTTATGACGGAGCTTTAGGAGAAACAGGAAGAAATTCTAGCACACCAACTTACGATGCATCGAAAGTTATTAGTAGCGCTGTAAATCAGGCTATTCAAAGCCTTTCAGGAATATCGCCTCTCAATTCCTCAACTATAAGCACATTGAGAGAACAACTTGATATTAGTTCTTGCAATCAAAAAACTAGGACTTCTGACTCACCCTGCCTAGGTAATTATCATACTAAAGATAAAATAGAATTCAATGTAGGTATATAGTCTGTCAAAAGACTAGTAACTGTCTAACATGTAACTGTCTGTGTTGAGATTAAAACCATGTAGTCAGGTAAGTATTATGATGTAGGGGTCTTCTAATAGTCTAAGAGCTAACAACGTTTTTGAGAAAGTATTTTAAGACGTCTGGTTCTTTGATATATCTCTTATTATGCTCTCTGGAACAGCATGCGGCCCGTCTGGCTGCCGATACCCGTTGCGTTCACTACTGCGCATCGAAAGAAGATCCTATATTTTTTATTAATTTAGTCCTATAAATTCTAGTATTGAATATAAATCGAACATGTCTCCATAGCGCAGTGCGTAGAGTTTCCGACCACGAGTTCGAATCCGGTTCGGGTCAAAGACTTTTTTATTTTATTTTCGTTTATATTCTGATAGTAAAGTATTAAATAATTCTGGTAATTAAAAAAAACAAACATTTAAGGACTAATAAAAATATAGGATCTAGATATATCAAATCTATAGATATATCAAAGAGCCAGACGTCTTAAAATACTTGTTTTTCCGACGTTGCTAGCTCTCGTACTATAAGCTAACGTATAAAAAAGATACGGCCGGTTATGCCGCAGAATCGAATATTTCAACACTCTCAAGGGAATCAAAATGTATAGGGTATTTTCCGTTGAACCAGAACTATGAAATTTGGCAAGTAATATCCTATTATAACTACAAGTATAAGGAAAACTCTGAAAACTATATATTTGTAATTAAATTATAAAACCTATAGTCTTTATCATTATACGGAAACGTTACCGGCTTTCGCGATATTTAGTCATTTGCATACTTTTGGCTACCCTTGGTGTGCTTAATATTACCCTTGTTTATAAATACATACCGGATGCATCTTGAGAGTGGCTCATCACCTCTATATTTTTTTTATTTTTTCAGATAAAAAAACGAGATTTGGTATGTTAGTAATTAAGGATTGATTGGCGTATACCTAACATAAATTAGGATTGATTGACGTGTTCAATTGATTTTGGTTACTTCCTGTTTCATATGAAATTACTACAACTTTTGATTTTTAAATTGCATCCTCGGTATATTTCTACTTTATTCGATAGAAAATGGCACTCTGAGTATAATGATAATATAATATGTCAACTTTTGACATTTTCGCTTAAAACAAAATCGTATTTTAAATTTTAATCTAGACTGCCATGGCTGTGTTAAAAACACTAATTTTTAATCAAGGAGCCTTGGAAAAATAGATTTGATCATCTAATGTTTTTCGTATTTTATCCTGGCTGGTTAAAATAAGATGCCCAATTCATATGTTTAATCATATCTCAGTTTTTTTTCAAATGGAACAAGGGTGGCTCACTAGCATATTTGGGAAAAGCATTTTTTACGAATAACTTGCTACCACCCAGTTGTCGTAACGAGTCAAGTTGTCGTTATGAACAGCATGTTACAATTTTAAATAAACCATATTTATGTGAAAATGTCAAAAGTTGACATATGATATGTCATTCCATAACCAACATGAATATGACGTTAGCCACGGTCATTTTATTCAGAGTGTCATTTTCTATCCAATAAAGTAGAAATATACCGAGTGTGCCATTTAAAAATCAAAAATTGTAGTAATTTCCGGTGAAACAGGAATAAGTGACCAAAAACAATTGAATACGTCAATTAATCCTAATTTATGCCATATGCTAATATACCAAGTCTCATTTTTTTATCTGAAATACAAGGATATACCTGTATACAAGGATATTACTAAAACAAAACAAATTTGTATATACTGTGATATTATATTAATTTGCAGGTGAATGCCTTTTTGATTTATGGAAAGATCCTTGCGAAACTGAAAATATAGTTTCTTCGTCGCCAACTATAGCCGAAAAACTAAGAGAAAAATTATATAACTATGTGAGTCAAATAGTTCCGGAAAGAAATAGAGGAGTTGATTTGAATTCAAACCCAAAAAAGTATAATAACACATGGTGTACCTGGTTAGATGATAGCGAATGCTATAAAACATTACTGTAATGTAATTTATTCCTAGAGAAATTCGTTAATAAATATTCTAATTTTAAAATATTGTTTTTTTATAAAATAGCATTAGTAAAAATAATAATGTTCATTATGATAAAATCTAAGACTATGATAAAACTAACCATAACAAAAACTAATTTAATTTTAAAAAAGTAATCATCCCATTAATTTGCTTTTATTCAAATTATTTTTAATTATTAAAAGTTGCTCCACTCCATATTTATGTTTTGGTCTGGAAACAATAATCTCAGGCTGTACAAGGAAATATTTTTAATTGGCTTTTGTTTTGTAGTTCATTCTAGTATTATAGAGCGATTCTAGTATTGACAATCTTACGAGATTTATACCACTTTACACAAACCCAATTATGAAATAAACAAAAATAATTCAAAATAAACCTACCAATTATTTTATTAATAATCCCTAATCAACCGAAAAAGTACAAGACATGACAACGTTATTAGATTTATAGAATTATATTTGTCTCTCTTATTGCATAGGAGAGACAAAGATGCGTATATTAAATGTCAAACTTCCATCCATCTTGTCTCATAATTTTGTCTCAATTTTCTTTGTTTATTTTGTTAAGAAAAGTGTTTTTCAGTAAAAATTTTTGATATTTTTCTATCCCCAATCAAATAAATGTTCAGATTCGTAATCTACAATAGTCTACGACTTCAGGATAGGATTTGTACAAATTTTTGTGAAAAAAGAGACGATTTCGAGTTTTTCAATTATTTCCATAAATAAGCTTATTTCATTTGACATTTTAATGGCTGGGAGAAAAAAAGCAAGGCCGCGACACATGAGCTAGCGAGACGAAAAGTGGTAACGAGGCGCGCTGGGAATAAATATTCAAGGCCCGTGACCCGTGACACACGAGCTATCAAGACGAAAATTGGTAACTACGCGCGTTGGGAGTAAAAATTCAAGGCCGTGACACACGAGCTATTGAGATGAAAAGTAACCGCCTACGCTTAAAAATACACAGGAATACGACGTGTATTTGTGACTAGTCCACAGAAATATTGATATTTTAATACAAATTTTGTGAAAGTGAATCAAATTATTTATTTTTTAATTTATTACTTTTTCAACATTTTAAACTACTCTTTTTCAAACATGTCTTTCAAATCATTCAATTTAATAGCTGTTAGCAGTGGCGGATACAGAGGGGGGCCCATGGAGTCCGTGCCCCCCCTAAAATCTATAAATTGTGTTAAATATTAGGCTTTTTGGTTAAAAATGGCGCCCTAAAAGTAATATTTTGCATTATTTTTTATTTGGGCCCCCCCTAAAATAAATTTCTGTATCCGCCCCTGGCTGTTAGCAAAAGAAGTTTCACTTCAAATATGCGCACATTGTTTTTTTTTTATTGTTTTTTTTATTGTAAACCATTTGTAAACGTTATGAGTCAAAGTTATAACTTTGATTACGGGCACATTATGGGTAATTAAAAAATTAAATAGCCCCCTATACATCAGAAGATTTGGCCTATCTGCGGATAAAAACTTTGCCTTTGTTAAAAACTTCGGCGGGTCTTTGGCGAACCAAGTCTGTCACAGGGAAAATCCGCGTCTTGTTTGGTCTAAAAAAATCGGGCAAAAATCTAATCAGCAGGCCAAGTCCGCAGACAGCTATCTTCATTTCATAGCCATCGCTGACGCCGTTTTTTTTCTGGATCATACGGAATAAGAGTTTCGATACGTGACATGCTAAGACCGCAGGCCGAATCTTTTGGTGTATGTAGGGCTAAAATTTAGATTAAGAATAAAAAAAGGCTGAAATCATGCTAAAATGATTAAATTGTTTAAAACTGTTTGAAACCACTGGATCACAAAAAAAATCTTTGTTTTAGGGCCACTGTGTAGCAGAACGTCATTAGTCATTAATCAAGTTAAAATCTTTTAATGTTTTTTCTTCATACAAAACTTCCTAAAGTAAAAAAGTAAATTAAAAATCTTATTTTATATTTTAGTACGTACCTATAAGTGATAGAAAACAAATTAATACATATATTGATTTACTAAAGAATTTTATTTGACTCGTCTACTTCCCCCACCAAAGTATTGATTGTTTTCACAACAACAAGAGAAAAGAGAATTCCAAAGTGGAACGTCAATCAATTTTGAATTGTATCCAGAATCAAGTAAGATTTTCTAAAATTTTGGTGTTAATAATTTGAAAAATGAAGTTTGTGTACAAAGAAGAACATCCCTTTGAGAAGAGGAAGACTGAAGGCGAGAAAATTAAACGAAAGTATCCTGATAGAGTACCCGTAAGTTTTCACAATATTAAACAAAGGACAGTGTATGTAAACATCTCTTTTAATAAATAGAGGCTTTTTAATACATAGTTTTTATTAAAGGAAATTAAATATCTAACTTTTTGTTGCCAAATTTTACTTTAGAATCCAATTTCTAATTAATGACGTCTTCCTTTGGCAAATGAGTATTTTTTACGTCTTTTTGTTATGGCGTCCAAGGTCATACGACTTTATTTCAATCAATTTTATATTTTGAAAGTAGCAAGTAGCAGACAAAATTATACATGTCTAAACTAAAAATATATTCTATTATATTTTTTCCTTAATTTTAGATTACCTACCATTATACATTAAATTATTTAAAGTTATAGTATTAAGATACAGTATTCTGTTATTCTTTTATTTACTTATCTATGTGATTAGAAAAAGTTATGTTTATTGTAATTAATCTAGTTACAAGAAATAGGTAGAATTAATTTTGCTTTTATTATTTACAAAATAAAGAGTTAATGACAATAATATTTTAGAAATTAGTTGTCACTTGTAATTCTATAATTTGATTGACCTAAATAGCCCTATGCCCTAGGTAAAAAATTATATTAAAATTAATAATAAAAATAGTTAACTTATAATAGATACATGAAATTGTTTAGTTATTAATATGTAACATTTATAGATTTGATATTTCAGCAAACTGTTTATTTGTTAAGAATAAAATAATAGAAACACTTGCTAAAAATATAATTTTTGATAACCCCATATGAATAATAACACCTATGGTGATAACTAATAATAATAGGTACAGCAATTTTGAAATCTTAATGATTCAATGGCGTTTTTATTAGAGAGTAAATAATATACCTACACAATGCCAAAAAATATAGGTCTTTGTATAATGTAGCTATTATTGATTCTAAATATTAATAAGTGAATGCTATTCTAGGTTATTGTAGAAAAAGCTCCGAAAGCAAAAATTGGAGATGTCGACAAGAAAAAGTATTTAGTACCCTCTGATTTAACTGTTGGTCAATTTTACTTCTTGATCAGAAAAAGAATTCATCTTCGACCTGAAGATGCCTTATTCTTTTTTGTAAACAATGTAATTCCTCCCACATCTGCTACTATGGGATCTCTATACCAGGTATATTATGAAAATATTAATAAATCCTATTGTTTTGTATGTTTTGCTTGATTTTTTTAACCCCACATTATAAGAACATTATTTCAGTTTGTCACAATTTTTAAATTTGTTTAAAATAAACTTTTCATAATTAAATTAATAACTGCAAATCTAATCAAATAACTACATTCCTTTTAATAATACTACTATCTACAATTTTATTATTTAAAATGAATAAGATTTTATATAAGTTGGTATGTTCTGTATAACAGGATATATTATTTTTCTGATTCTTTTCAAAAATAATAGTGTTTTTACTAATGTCCATTTACTTTGTTATTGTTTGAAATAGATATAAACTTATATAGGATATTTTAATAACTATTCCACCCAACTTGATCTCTCTTGATCTCAGTGATGGCTAAGGTTGGGTAGGTAGAAAATTTTACATAACCTACCATGCTTTCTACACAGAAAATTCATTTACTACACCAAGTGTTTTCTACATTTTCTACATAATGTAGAAAATTACTTTTATGTTTGTGTATGAAAACCGTTTTTGAGTTTATATTTATTCAAAATGCTTTAACACACAGTACAATACACACTTCAATATGTAACTACACCTTATCTCTAGCCACTAGCTCTAATAATTGTAGGGTCCAGGGGAAAAACATGATAAGCGCCATTTCATTGATTTTACCGGAGAGCACTGGACGGCTGGTAGTTATCAGGTTCTTGCCGTGTATTCTATATTTTTTCTAGGTACATATATATCATAGGATTTAAAACTTATTGCCCTGCAGAGTTTATACATTTTGTAGAGACCAGTTAGACCTACTATAATATATAGACCTACTAAAATTAAGAAATTGGTGCTTATCAAGTTTTTCCCTGGACCCTTCAATTGTTATTTGCTATTTAACAAATAATAATGTATAATATTTCGTAGAATTTAAATATTAATTTTCATACTTAAAATAGATAAGTGTTTTAGGCTTAGTAAAACACAGTTTCCATTAATAAGACTCAGAAAACAATAAAAAAATAATAAAGCCGAATATACAGTGTGTCAAAAAAATAGTATCTTACTTCGGTAGGTTATTCTACCGATAAAAGTAAAATAAAAAGTTCCTTAGAACACAATATGTCCTAAAATGCTTCCTGAAGAAATTACAGCCCTCGAAAAGGTATATAAAAATAATATATGTAATGTTTCAGCCTGGTTTCAACATATTTGCGTGTATAAAAATTACAATTCATGGATTTTAGTGATAGCGAAATCAGGAGATTAATTATTATTATTCTTTACATATCATTTTGTTAATACTAAAATTGACGCACCATAACATTTAAACACAAATATCTTGAAAACAGTTCGCCCTATGGAGCTAAACGAAGAGCACCTTTTTTACGTAAGAAAGTCCTAGCTTTTTATGTCGTGTTGAGAATAAAAGGAGTACCATCAGTAATACCATCTACCATTATGGCAAATACCCTGTCAGGGCTATTACGGAATTTTACACTATCGCCATTCGCTTTGGTATTAAAAATATATTATTTTTAATTACCTTTTGGAGGGCTGTAACTTCTTCTATATTTAGCTTTTTATGTTCAGTTAGCTTGTTTTGAAATAAAAATTTTGAGAATAACTATTTTTAAGATAGTAAGAAAGACCATCAACCGCATAACGTTTATATAACTTTTGGTTAAATTCTTGAAAACATTTGGGCGACCCGACGTTTCAAAATATGTTTCGCCTGTGGCGTTTTCGTTACCCTTTCGGCCTCTATTTTTTAGTTTGAAAGTTGGCAACCCTACATAAACCTCCCTTTCAAATCCCTATCAACACAAAAAGCCTTCACATCTCACATGTATAAAGGGTTGCCCACACTCGAAGTTGCATACCGGCTAGATTCGTATTTAAAAACTGCTAGAATCCGCTAGGAGCGATATTGAGACAGATTTAACGAGACTTTAAAGATTCTACGCGATTCTAGGGCTAAGTACTTTAAGGATATATGATAAGTACGGGACTATTATTGGTGCAAATTTTCAAAAAAGTGTTTTTGTCAATTTTGTATATTTATTGTTCAAAAATTTAAACCGCTAAAAAAAGTGTTCGCCGCTAAATGATTTCTTCCCGCTAAACCGAAAAAAACGCTAGAGCTAGCGGGAAAAAGTTCTTAGTTGGCAACAGTGCATGTATTTTTATTATTTTCCTCGCCCTATTCACCGGAAGTTAGCGCCGTCAGTAGTCACAGAATAGTATTATCCCCAGGGTTCCGAATATTAATTACATGTTACTCTTAAAAACTAAATAAACTACATTACTTGAGGTAATCGACGCAGGTAGTGTAGTTTCTGTAATTTTTAAAAGTTGAAGGCTTTAAGCGTAGTTTATACGGGCAAGTAAATTATCGCAAGTATAATTGCACTTCTACAAACTTGTATAATGTAAACAGTATCCGAAAGCACTCTCTCAGAAAGTCACAAAACTGGCGGGGAAGTGGTTGCGACGAAAGACGCTTGCATGTGTAAACAGGTTGGGAGAGCGCTCTAGCAAGTGAAAATTTATTTCCGTTTTGTTGAAAGTTTTTGGTGCAAGTGATTTTCGAAGGCGTGTTAAATAACGATATTAAGCGTAGTTTACACGGACAAGTAAATTATCGCAAGTATAAGTCCGAGAGCACTTCTACCAAACTTGCATAAAGCGTAGTTTACACGGGATAGAAAATTACGATAGAACTTGCTAGAGTAACTTGCGATAGTGTTTACATTTAAGCAAATTTTAAAGCAATTTCTTGCAACAAGTACTTTCTAGGCATATGCTTTGAGCAAGAAATTGCATGCACGTGTACACGGTATGATGTATATTGCACAAGTATATTGTTTAGTAGACAAATGTCGCGCCGTAAAAAGAGAGCTGCATCAACTGCTCTTGTTGCAATTTTACGCAAACAATCAAGAAAATCCAGAAAAAGAATATGGGTTAAAAATGGGAATGGATTGCCAGAAGGCCTAGTCTTGGAGCTTACGCGATAAATAAATGAAGACTCAAAGCATTTAAACAATTTTCTGCGAATGTCAGAAGTCGATTTTACTTTTTTTTTATAATTTTGTTCCACTCTTGGTTTCCTTGGGTACGATTATGTAGCTTCCGCTGAGTTGCGACGAAAGACGCTGGCAAGTGTAAACAGGTTGGGAGAGTGCAAGTTAAAATTTATTTCCGTCTTGTTGAAAGTTTTTGGTGCAAGTGATTTTCGAAGACGTGTTAAATAACGATATTAAAATGGAGTATGTGGTCGAAAGAAGATACCATCACTTTGATTAATTTATTTGAAGGATTTCCGGAATTGTGGCAAAAAAATCGAAAATTTACAGAGATAGAGCTAAAAAGCAAAAAGCAATCAAATTTATAGCTAACAAATTCAACACAACTGAGGCTGAGATTCAGCGGAAGCTACATAATCGTACCCAAGCAAACCAGGAGTGGAACAAAATTATAAAAAAAAGTAAAATCGACTTCTGACATTCGCAGAAAATTGTTTAAATGCTTTGAGTCTTCATTTCTTTTTTTTTTAATAACATCGCGTAAGCTCCAAGACTAGGCCTTCTGGCGATCCATTCTTTAACCCATATTTTTTTTCTAGATTTTCTTGACTATTTGCGTAAAATTGCAAAAGAAGAGCAGTGGCTGCAGCTCTCTTTACGGCGCGACATTTTTCTACTAAACCAATATACTTGTGCAATATACACCATACCGTATATACGTGCATGCAATTTCTTGCTCAAAGCATATGCCTAGAAAGTACTTGTTGCAAGAAATTGCTTTAAAGTTTGCTTAAATGTAAATACTATCGCAAGTTACTCTAGCAAATTGCTAAAAAAGGTGTTCGCCGCTAAATGATTTCTTCCCGCTAAACCGAAAAAAACGCTAGAGCTAGCGGCAAAACTTCTAAGTTGGCAACAGTGCATGTATTTTTATTATTTTCCTCGCCCCACTCACCGGAAGTTAGCGCCGTCAGTAGTCACAGAATAGTATCCCCAGGGTTCCGAATATTAATTACATGTTACTCTTAAAAACTAAATAAACTACATTGCTTGAGGTAATCGACGTAGGTAGTTTAGTTTATGTAACTTTCAAAAGTTGAAGGCTTTAGAAAAGAGGAAATAATAAATAATGCCTATTGTCTTTAAATATAGCATTTACACCCCTCATACAAAGGAAAATGATTAACTTATGACCATATTATACAGGGTACATTTTCTATTGAATAAAGTAAAAAATACCGAGGGTGCCATTTAAAAATCAAAATTAGAGTCATTTCCGGTGAAACAGGAAGTGACCGAAAACAATTGAATACGTCAATCAATCCTAATTTATGTCGTATACTAACATACCAAATCTCGATTTTTTATCTGAAAAAATAAAAAAGTTATAGGAATGAGCCACTTTTGAGACCCACCCGGCATTTCTATCAAAATTAACCTTTTTATTTATAGGAGTGTTATTCTATCGTAATAACAATATGTAGTTTATTAAACTAGTTTTCATGTAGTCAATGAACGAGAAAAGACGTAGTTTTTGCAGAATAACAACGTAGATAATCAGGTAACTTACATCTTAATTAAATACTTCCGAACACTGATTAGCGGGCGCACACGTTTTTCAATTTTAACACTTGTAGAATTGAATGAAAATATCCAGGAAGGAACATTTAAAGTGAAAAACTGCTTTAAATATAGAAAATTAATACGAGTACATGTACTCGAATTTTATACTTTTGGTACACACTTTTCTACAGATACATAGAATTTTAATTTTCTACGTTTCGTTACCCAACCCTGGTAGTCCTGGGTGCGTGCTTCAATACTTTGGGGTGCACAACCCCCAAGTATTTTTGGTTCCTCTACACGTTGACCAAAGATGCGGTTTTCACATCACTGTGAACTTTTTTATGAAACTATAGATGCTACATACAGATTAGTCCTAGCCCTCTTGGTTCCTGAAATACACGGCAGATTTGAAATGGTTGCATTTTCCGACTCCCCTCGTATCTCGGTTATCTTGTAGACAGATTACCAATTTTTTTTACCAACACGTGCACAAGCATAATGTCACTGGCAAATTGCACCTTCATAGGAATGCCACAGTGAGGGAGGCAGCTCATCATTACCATACCATACTAGCATAATATCAATTGAGAGTTTGTTTAGGAAGTAATAAATAGGTTTAACCCTTTTTTGTATTAAAGTTCTTCGAAAAAAATATTTAAATAATAAATTGTAAGAATAATGTTAAATTTTAATTTTTTTTTTTCACAAGAAGGGGTATTTAATTGGGGATGCACGTGCACATGTGCTCCGTGCACTTTGCTTCATCTATAATTTACTACAAATAAAATTAATTATATTTTATATTGATATTACTGTACTTTTATTTTATTAATTTGTATTTTGTCATAATTATTAGAGAGAGAAAACAGAATATATAAGTAATCATTGGTTTGTTTTAGGAACATCATGAAGAGGATTTCTTTCTCTATATAGCTTATTCTGATGAAAATGTTTATGGAAACGATGATGATTAATCTCTTTGTGTTGAGAAATAATAGTTCTGTAAAAATTACTTATGTATTACGAAATTTTTACAAAACTGATTCATTTTTATTGTAACACTGACTAAAAAATAAATAAATATTGTGTGTAACAACACTGACATTTCAATATGTTAAAATATTTTCAGTAAGCATAGGCATACATATTCATTTGTAAAAATGCTTATTTTGATTTATCCATTTATTGTGTATGTTGGGTACATATATTCTTTATAAGGTGATTTAGAGATTAACTTATGCAGCAATTAAGTATATTAGATATATAAAGTTAGTTCTAGAAAATAAAAATTTGAAGGTCAATTCTAAATTTCGCTAGAATTGACTTTTAAATTTGTGACTTTTGAGTATGTAATTGTGTAGTGCATTAAGTTTTATGTATAATAAATAATAAAAAAATATTCAAAACTGCATATTTATTTTATTTCAGTAAACGTAACAAGCAAAAACCTCATAGCACAGGATCCGGCTGCAGGATTATTGCAAAGATTATTACACTGTCATATTTTTAATCAAAACCTAATTTTTACATATATTTATGAATAGGGGAATACACTTTTAACAGCCAATCAAGAAGTTGCCGCCAACTATGTTTAATATTAATAATAATAACTAATTTTGGAGATGACATTACGTTCATAAGATTTTTTGATTATTTTTGTCAAAAGGACAGTCCTTTTTTAAACAAATTGTCCTTATGCCTTTTCTTGTCCTAAAATGTATTTTTTATTTTCACATTTTTTCCTAATCTACAGTAACCAGCAATATTCCTTCAAACTTAATTAGACATGTTAAAAAACTTATAAATGTTTTTGTTAAAACAGGCAACTTCTCCCCCTTTAGTCTCCAATGATAGTTTAAGCTTTATTTTTAACTATCTAGAACTCAGAAAACACAAGAAAACTTTTCAAAATTTAAAGTACTGATCATGTACTGATTCTTAATCTCGGCTGTTTCAAGTCCAATGTTCTTTTTTGGCTTTGCAAAAAGGTGTCAACGCTAGTCGGGCATCTGTAGCTCCTATAATAAAAAACATTGTGCATACCTATATAAAGTATATGTTAGCATGTATTTCAGGAAAATATTTTAACTTCTACTGGATGGCCCAAAGAAGTGAGTGGATCAGGATGATTTTTTTTAATGGAACACCCTGTATATTAATCCTTTGCTAGATGGAGAATTAAAAAATTAACATTTTTTGTATTTAAAGTATTTCACAATCTAAAATCTGTATCTTGCCTGTGTCAATATCAGATATCAGTCTGGTATTTTATAGCTGAAAGAGCTATATGTAGTAAAAACGCGAATATTTGCGAAACCGTTAAAAATTTTAAAATAAAAAATGTTCATTTTTTAATTCTCCATCTAACAAAGAAATAATATACAGGGTGTTTCGTTTAAAAAAATCATCCCAATCAACTCACTTTTTTCAGTCACTGTGTAGAAGTTAAAATATTTTCCTGAAATACATCCTAATATATACTTTAGTATGCACTTAAAATTATTATATGAGTCACCGATGTCCGACGCACTCTTATGGAGCCCTACGACAGCGACCGCAATTATAGCTACAAATGATGTGGTTTTTATTCGCTCATGTAGCTATTGTGTAAAATAAAACAACTTCTATTTAAATCTATTTTTAAATAATTAAAATATTAAATACAACAATAATATAATTAAAGTGCACGATGGATCGGTAGAAAAAAAATATCCAAATGTTTTGAACAATCTAGATTTTATAAAAAAAAATGGTACTTATTTGAAGACAGATGGAACATTCTTATAAAGAATCGACTGTAATAAAATCACTGATAAATATTTGCTTAAGATGATTCGGCCAATTTTTCAGCCTTTTGAACGACTTCTTCGATTGGGCCAACCATGTAGAATGCTACTTCAGGAAGATGATCGTAATCTCCACCTAAAATCTTTTGGAATCCCTAAAACAGAACGACATTATTAGAAAAAATATATTCCCCATATTTTTAAACGTTTTATCAAAATTAACTTTACTCTTCCACCATAATTTCCATCTTTTCACATTATTGTAGCATAATATACCATATGATTGAAAAAAAAAACATAATTTTTCATATAAAATAACATTTCTAATGCTGATGTTTTCGATCATAGGATATTTTGAAGCTATAATTTTAAAGGCACTGGCAGACAAATTTTGATTAGCTGGTTGAGCTTAGAAAAGACTTTCTATGCATTACCTTGATAGTTTCTTCAAGAGGTACCAATTTACCAGCATGACCGGTGAAAACTTCAGCAACCTGGAAAGGCTGTGAAAGGAAACGTTGGATTTTACGGGCGCGGGCTACAGTTAACTTGTCGTCTTCAGACAATTCATCCATACCCAAGATGGCGATGATATCCTAAAAAAAATGAGAGTATATAATATATGTATCCCGTATTTATGTTAAAAACTCTGTAAAAAAATGTAATTTTCTTGTTTATTACCTGTAAAGATTTGTAATCTTGTAAGATTTTCTGTACGCCACGAGCAACATTGTAATGTTCTTGCCCAATAATATTTGGGTCCATAATACGAGATGTAGAGTCAAGAGGATCGACAGCAGGGTAGATTCCTAAATAACATATATGTATATAAAAATTTTAAAACCTTATCAAACTATAACAAACCTAATTCAGCAATGGCACGGGACAATACAGTGGTTGCGTCCAAGTGAGCGAAAGTTGTGGCAGGAGCAGGATCAGTCAAATCATCAGCAGGTACATAAATGGCCTAGGCAAAAAAGGTCAATAAAATATTTACAGATAATTGTATTAATATCAATATATATGCTTAAAGAGATTGCAAAACCTACCTGTACTGATGTAATTGAACCTTTCTTAGTGGTTGTAATTCTTTCCTGCATGCTACCCATGTCAGTCGCCAAAGTTGGTTGGTAACCGACAGCTGATGGAATACGACCCAGTAAAGCAGATACTTCAGAACCTGCCTGAGTAAATCTAAAGAAACAGTAAATGTACTAAACTATAATAATACTAGTGATGTTATTTACCTGAAGATATTGTCAATAAAAAGCAATACATCTTGTCCTTCCTGGTCACGGAAATACTCAGCGACAGTTAAACCAGTCAAAGCTACACGAGCTCTGGCGCCTGGAGGTTCGTTCATTTGTCCATAGACAAGGGCTACTTTAGAGGTCTTGTCTTTCAAGGAGATTACACCAGACTCAATCATTTCATGATACAAATCATTACCTGTATAATAAGACTGTGTAATACAACATGATTCTAATATAAAGAAGAAAAACTATCTTACCCTCACGTGTACGTTCTCCAACACCAGCGAAAACTGAATAACCACCATGGGCCTTGGCTACATTATTAATAAGTTCCATAATCAATACAGTTTTGCCTACACCAGCACCTCCAAAAAGACCAATCTTTCCTCCTTTAGCATATGGGGCAAGAAGATCTACTACCTAATCAATAAAGAGCGTTTTAAATACATAAGTAAATAAATGATTTAAAATACTAACCTTAATTCCAGTAACCAAAATTTCTTGCTCTACACTCATGTCAACGAACTCAGGAGCTTCAGCATGAATAGGTGCAAGTTTATCAGTAGGAATTGGACCTCTCTCATCAATAGGTTCTCCAATTACATTCATAATACGGCCCAAAGTTTCAGCACCTTAAAAGTAAAAATGTATAAATCAGAAATGTTTTGCTGCAGTTTGTTCATACATACCAACTGGAATACGGATTGGGTATCCAGTGTCCAAAACACCCTGACCTCTAACCAGACCTTCAGTACCATCCATAGCAATCGTACGAACAGTGTTTTCTCCTAAATGTTGGGCAACCTATATAATCCAAAATACAAAGTAATAAAAATAACTATGCAAATAGAAGAGTTAAATGTTTATGTAACCTAATTATTCCCTGTTCCCAATCAAACTGAGAAAGGACAGTTAGGTTACATAAATGATATTGCAAGATATATTTAATTGAAAAACAATTGTTAAGTTTTCCAACCCTGAAACTTGCTATCTTATACATTTTAACAGAAGGAAAACTTACTTCAAGAACAAGTCTTGGACTACGATTAGCCACCTCCAAAGCATTGAGAATAGGGGGTAGATTGTCATCAAATTGCACATCTACTACAGCACCAATAACGGCAACAACTCTACCCTTTGCTTCTGCAGCTTTGGCAGCAAAACTGCGGTCTGTAGGTAGAAAAAATTTCAGGTTTAATATTTTACACACAAGTCCACACACCTTTTGTTAAAAAATTTATTTTAAAGGAACTTCTTTTGGACACTGATGTCCGAATTCTCCGTGTTCTTTATACATTCTATATAAAGCTGATAACTTACTGATCAAAAAAATAGTTTAATTATTTTACATAAGACCAAAATGGCGATGATTAGGATTATTATGTAACAAGTATGGGAACCGATATTTTTACACAAAAACTTGATCGAAAATACTTTATAAGACGACAATACACAGAATACAGCCTTTCCAGTAATAATCCTAGACTTTATACCCTATTAAAGAGCAAAGTTTAAGAAAAAAAGACTGACCTACCGAAACATAGTCTTATTTTGCATGAAAAATAGATAACAGATTTTAATGAAAATTAATACTTACTTTGTTGATTGTAGCATGATACAGCTTTTAGAGTTTCTTGTCCAACTTTTTCGGTGGTTTTGCTAGCCAAAAGGCTAGCGGCTCTTCCTACTGCACCCAACATGGTCGACCACAAGGAGACAGATTGCGGAAAATTAGAAGTTTCGCCGCTAGGTTTGTCAGACACACTTCCTGTTGCGCAGGTGCAATGAAGATATGCGCATACCTCGAAATTTAAATTCTTATGCAATAAAGCAATAACAAATAATTTTAGTTTTTGCTGACAGTTTATACAGATTTTGATTTTGTTTAGGTCCTTCTAACTAATATTTTTACTATCTAAAAAATATATATTTTATTATATATATATATTATTATAATATATATATATTTTTTTTGCTTTTTTACAAATTTGTAATATAAAAAAGCAGAGAGCTACCGAATTTGGATTCTTTAAATAGTATTAGTGATGTACAATAGCTGAAAATATCCATAATTCGATATTTTAAGATCACAGAATCACGGTCATTATGTTAATGAGAAATAATTTATATTTCTTTTATTACCAAAATTTGTTTATCTAAAATTTATTAAGAATTTTAGTTATCTAAATATTTGCTGTTATTTTTTTTCGTCGAAAAATGGAAATTATACATGCCAAAAGCGAACAATTATACAATTTTCTATTAAAGAATCAAGTGTCGAGGAATTCAGGCATACACAGAATATATGTATAAAAAAACTATACACACATATAAAAAAAGAATTTTTTTTTTAGTCCTTCATACGTATTGTATGTCGCAAATCTCGAAGGGCAATTTTTCGCGTAATGTAAAAAAATGAAGAGTATTTTACACGCACATCCCTGTCAAATTCCGTAGTAGTATGGTAGTAGTTCAAAAGTACAGCCTCCAAGACAAACGCTTTTTTCGCTCTACTCACTTATTACGTGCTTTACGTGCTTATTACCTTGTGTATGTGTTTTGTCTGTGTGTTTTGTGCTTATTACTCTAAGGAAAAATTATGGGTAATAAATGATGAATAAATGCTTATAAACATGCTATAATAAATTACAATGATAAATTAAAATACCCTGAAATTACCCATAAATAAGTTGTAGAAAAACCATTAGAAAAACGGTCACAGACCCCGGGTGCTCGGGTTTATGCTCGGGTTTTAGGATGGTTTTAGGCCATATTTAGATAATTTATAGGGATGCAGGATAATTACCGTCGTCAATGGATTTTAGTGTTCTCATTTATTTAGTGTTGATTAGTGTATCCTTGTTTTATACAAGGGTGTTATAAACAAAAGTTTAAAACTGGTTTCAAACAACAATTAACAATTTTCAGTTGAGAATGGTTTGCATCTTGGGTTTGCATAATGTATCATCTGGCAGTTCTTGGTATCAAATGGAAAGAAATTTATTCAGTGATGATTCAGTGTTAGGATGTTAAATCTATGCGGTATGATGGTTAAAATACATATCATAATATATTTTTTCATATTTTTTTAACCCCTATCCTCATGTAACCTGCTGTGTACGTTGTTGCCTTTGACTATATAACCACTACGGGGGACTTATTGTTGGATTGTTGTATTAAAACCTAAAAATTCTGTGTATCTTAACTTAACAATAAATTGTACAAAGCATTTCTTTTTTTTTCAGGGTTTTCAGTCACCCTAACTTTTTTCTGATATTTCTAAATAAAAAAATTTGGAATGGAGGCAAACAAAGAAGTTACAATAAATTGTGATTTGTTAGACGACAATACTGGCGATTCTGATCTCATCATAGATGAAGATTATTATGATATTCCAGAAAAAAATGTAATTAGCAGTGATCATGAAATGGAAAAAAATGTAAATAACAGTAATGAAGTACTCAAATTGAATAATTATATCGGTATTAAATCTGAAGAAACAAATTTGTCTCGAGTTTCTCCAATTGTAATATGTGATAGTGAAGATTCAGATGTGCAAGATATGAAAAAGTCATGTACACACAGTATCTCTCAGAATAAGTATGAAATGTATTAAGATAAATGTGTGATTATTTCGATAATTTTTTTTTTTAATTTTATTTGAATGTGTACCTACAATTATGTATATGAGCTTTCATTGTCTTTTTTTACACAATTATAATGTTCTGTATAGCTATTTCATTTTCTACTATCAAGTACCTACTTATATACAAACATTGGCGTAACTACAGTGGTGCCTGGGGGTGCTGGGCCCCCCCCCAGGTACCGCTGGGCACCCCCCAGAGAATTCTTGAATTATGACTCTTGGCTACGTATTAATTTTTATTTGCTTGAGATGTATTAAAAATGACGTTTTCTATAGTTTTGTTTACTTAATACTATTTTGTTGTGTTCAAAAACTGTGTTAATTTTTATTTTTTAGAACATCTGTAGGCATTTAAGCAATCTACGGTAATACGGTTTGATTGCCATGTCTATGAAATTTATTGAGTGAAATTCATGTAAACGTTTTATTCAAAAGATGTGTTTTTTTAAATTATTTTTTATTTTTAAAAAAAACAAAAACCCTAGGCCCCCCTGGGCTCAACCCAGGCCCCCCCAGGATGAATTGCTAGTTACGCTAATGTATACAAAAACTAAATAATTCAATCAAGCAGTAATTATAGAGAGGGAAAATAAAGATAATGAAAATTCAGCATAACAGTTTTCTTTCTAACAAAACATTATCCAACTTCTACATAAGTTTTCTTCGATAATTTATAGTGTAAAATATTAAATTTGTAGAATTTGCCCAGGTGATACTAAAAGGAAAGTAAAAGATACATTAAAAAATAGTTCTAAATGCATTTCTAAATTAAAAGAAGAGGTAGTAAAACTTAAAAATAAACTTTCATCTGGAACACAAATGGTAGAAAAAAATGAAACAGAGGATAATCAACTTGGGTAGGAAAATTGAAATCAAAATTTGTGCACTTAAAAAAAATTAATATAATGGGCGTAAATTAATAAATGCACATATTTTCAGGAGGTAATTGCTGTCCTGAAAATAAAGGAGCATAAATATAAATATTTTTATTTATTTAGTGTGAACTTAATACTCATTATACAGGGTGGCGCCACTCATATCACGCGTATGGAACGACAATTGTATTTTCAATTTTGTATTGAAATTAAATTTATTTATTTATTATATAGGTTTAGAGCATTTTAAATGTCTTTCCAAGAGAAGTTACACATGTTTTTTGCAATGGATCACCATATAGAAATTGGTTCAAAGAAATAAAGGTGAGTTTCATTAAAAAACATATGTCTAAAATGTAAGATTTTTGATATATTTAACATTTTCTAAACGCAAAGAACAAATTTTAAGCTTCAATAAAATCTGTCTAAATTGGAATTTACCCCTGTATTGCCTAATATGCAGTTAAAATAACTAGAATACTTTAAATCAAATTAAAACTTGGCCCAAAATGTTATATAGGGTGAGACAAAATTAATATTGAACTTTTAAAAGCAAGTTATCTCCTTTTTTAAATGGAACACTCAGTATATTATTCCCAATTCAATGGGGAATTTATGTCTCTTCAAAATACTATTGAGGTCGCTACCCCTCAAACAAATTTCCTAGATATTTTTATTTATATGAATTGGCTTCAGTAGATCTTTTTTAATTGATAAAATCTAGGTGGTTGTGACATATCTGGCGTTAATTCAACATAGTTGTCAAATTTGTTCAACTTGTTATTAAAACTAGTTATTATTTTTTGTCAGTTAAAACAAAAATAAGATTTTCAGAAATTTGCCGAAAATGCAAACTTATTCTACATCAGAGAGTATTGATATGATTCTATTAATTGGTAACTGCAATGTGCATTCACCAATTGATAATAGAATGCCTAAATACTCCTGATTTATCTACTCTGGACATTTTTTATAGGTATTTGTTATAGGCAGTGTTTACAAAACTCAACAAACTATTGTAGAAAACATGACAGATATGATTGTGGTTATTTTTCGAAATATAACTCCGCATAATATGCCTCTTACCATGAGAAGATCTTTTGAAAAGATGCTCATTTTAAGCAGCGAACAGGAAAGGAACCAGTTTGAGCTTTTGATTTCATCTAACTAATTTTTTATATCTAGTTTTAATTCTGTAATAATTAAACTAATTTTTAAACTTGTATATTTTTATTGCTGTTGAATATTTTACTATAATTTATTTTAATATAATTTTTGTATATCACAGCCACTTTAATTTTTGTATATCACAACCACCTAGATTTTATCAAATAATAAAGATTTACCGACGCAAAATCATAAAACTGGAAATATCTAGGAAATCTTTGTCTAAGGGGTAGGTAACTTTAATAGTATTTTGAAGATATATGAATTCTCCATTGAATATCGGAATAATACACTGGGTGTCTCTAGCCGTCGGCTAGCTGCCTGCTACCACGGTAAGTATTCTTAAATGGCTAACAATATGAACATATTAACACTACCCGTAACGTCGCCGTCGCGTCGCGTCGTCGCAACGTCCATCTCCCATTTACTTTATGCTTTCTGTAGAGACGGCCGGCCGGCGCGGCGCGGCGGCTCGATGTGACGGTGGCGGGACGGTATAGTGAGAATCGCGCCTTAAAATGTCTGTCCCCTACGAAAAAGGTGCTTTTTAAAGTGACTAATGTTCAATATTAATTTTGTCTCACCCTGTGTAACTTCTCAGGTCAAATTATAATTTGATTTAACATACAATGGTAATTTCAACTAAATATCAGACTATACAGTATACAGGGTAAATTACAATATAAGGTAACTGTTATTGAAATTTAAAATGTATTCTTTAAAAACCTTACACATTATAGGCATACCCTGCTGGCAAGCAAAACCTTGCGTCGGCGTTTACATGTATAGGAGTGAATCGCTATGGCAATCTAGTAAGTCGGATAGAGCAAAAATATGAAGTATTTATTACGTAACCACTTAATCTGACGCTAGATTCAATGCGCTTGGGAAAATACTTGCCTTCTGTCTTTATTCAGTACATCTTATTTTGCTAAGCGTGTTGACCGTACTCTTCGTACACACGAATATCTGCACATAAGACCAGAAATGCCAGCCTTAGTATGCATCTTTAATGAAACTGGCCTTTATTTTTTCCTAGAGTCCGGAAATCGATTAATATACAGGGCGTTCCAATAAAAAAACAACTTTAATGCATTATTTTTTTGGGGATTCCCTATAGAACTCGATATATTTTTATATATTGTTTTCAGTTATCCTACATGTGCTCCCAAAATGTCATTTCGATGTAAACTACCGTTCTCCTTGTAGCCTCCGCGTAGTATGAGAGGCATCACCCTGTATATATTAATCTTAATAATAAATGTTCGTAAAATATATTATTTAAATATTGTAAGTAGAGTAGGTAATAGTTTGGATATTCTGTATTTATACAGCATAGTATTCTATTATAGTTATAAAAGGCGATTTGATTTAGTAACATCTGTACAGGGTGTCCTATTTTGGTTGAAATCACACGGTATCTCCGTTATAAGTAAAAATAGGAGAATGCGGTTTGCACAAACCTGTCCCACTTTTTTGTCAAACCGAAATTGCTGTCAACAAAATTTTCATAGCCCTCTTCGTTTCTGAGCTACAGGGTCTTTCTGAACATTTTGCAATTTGGCACAATCCGTATCTTCGTTATTGTGAAAGGTATTGAGAATGTGAAAACTGATTCTTGTAGAACTTTTTACGTAGAATACAGTGGCGTAGTCTGTTTTAACCAAACCAAACCAAACCAAACACTATATTTATTTTCACTATTTACTGCAATATTTAAAAGATATCATTTTCATATAATAGTAGGCCGTGATAGATAACAAAAAAATCAAAATGGTATTTATTAAAATAGTCATACATATATTAAAATTTTATTTGGGACTGAAATATTTTACTGGGACGGGTTACGGGTTTACAAATATCTAAAAGCTTTCCTGATAACATTTTCCAGGTCTTCGACATTGTTGTTGCCACCATATATTTCATATTTTAAAGATCTCGAGAACAGACAAACACGGGGATCAGTGAGGCTATCGTATGGGTCCATTGGTCCCAATCCCAATTCATTGATTTGGGTGTATGACCTAACCTAAACAAAATTCTAAAATTTTCAAAGTTTTGAGGGAAAACCCCATCTTGCTGAAAGTATATTTCACGTAAATCTAAAGGAATATCTAATAAAAGTTCGGGTCCAAGATTTACAAATAGCGTTAGAGGCTATAGAGTTAAGTTTCCCTGATATATAAAAAATTATTAATGGGTCCCAAAATAAAACAAGAGACAGAAAGCAGTATACTTTTAATGATTCTTTAGTTTCTTTTATTATCAATCGTGGCCTACTAATAAAAATGATTTATTAATGAAAACTTTTAAATATTGCAGTAAATATTAAAAATAAATATCGAGTGATATATTTTTTTGAGAAGTTTATGGCAAGCCAGATCATATAATTTATAAATATACAGGGTGTTCTATTTAAGAAAACATAACTTTGGTACATATCTTCAAATATATTATTTTCGTAAAATAACATACTACGTTACTGTATTCTTCGTAAAAAGTTCTACAATAAACAGTTTTCACCTTCTCGATATCTTTCACAATAGCAGAGATACGGGGAGAGTCCCAAATTGCAAAATTTATAAAAAGACCCTGTAGCTCAGAAACGAAGGGGGCTACGAAAATTTTGTTTCAATCTTACGTTTGACAAAAAAGTGGGACAGGTTGGTGCAAACCACACCCTTCTATCTTCACTAATAAACAGAGATACCGTATGATTTTAAAAAAAAATGGGACACCTTGTATATATTTTTTTAAACATTTTCTGCAAAGAAGAATACTATCGGTTGTTACATCCTATAAATCAAGTGAACTTTGTATGCAAATGCCAAATATGAAAAAGACCTTATTTTTAAATTAGCAATCACCTACTGATTTTTTTGCAATCATTAATTTTCACCTTGAAAAATTGTCTGAATATTTTTTGATATCAATTTTAGAGATGACGAACCAAAAAAATATAAATGCCCACTTTGTCCATATTCAAGTAGTTTTTCATCAACAATATTCCATTTTAAAGTTCATGGAAAGAAACATGACCAATTACAAGGCGTATTTGAATGCCCAATATGTCACGTATATGTGAAGAAATTGCCACGACATGCAAAATATCATCTTAAATCAGTTATGCCTAGAAGACGTAGAGAAAAGAAATATGTAAGCAGGTTGAAACAAAAATGTTCAATCACAAATTATGAGCCACAGGTTGAAATTAAGATCAAAAATGATAAATTCTATTTGAAGTAAACCTCAAGGAATAGAACATAATATAGTAGCAAGTAGCAACGATAGCAACTATCATTCTGTCGAAAAAACGACGACATAGTGGCCTTTGAAATGCCGAATTTATTAACAACTAGCTGTGTGACCCAGCTAATGCTAATAACTGATGGACTGAATGAACTGGAATTATGATACTAATCGATTTGAAATTTTTTGTCATTTGCACACTAAATTTTTTCGTTCCAGATTTTGATTCAAGTATTTTCTATATATGTCAATATCTTTCTAGATTTGAATAGGCTATTTTCCAATATTTTCATTCGAAACTCTAAAGGTACTTGGAAGAAAATTTTAATAAATTGAAAAAATATTAAGACTTTAACATCCTGTAGCTACGAAACAAAGCAGAATCGGACCTATGTTGATATGAAAAATAAATCTTATTTTTACGTTAGGAATCTCCCCACGAGAGATGGCACATGTTTTTTCAAACACGCTGTATAATGTCTAATATGTCACTGATAGCCAGTGGACATTAATCAATAGAAATAAGCTATAGGCGTGCGTGGTGTGAGCTGTCAATTGCTGTCCTCCATTCGCGAATTTCAAGTTCCATAGCTTTACGCCCTGGGCTACTCAGAACGGTTCTGAAACGAGCTGTGCGCCGATAGCCTGGTACCTCCATATGGCGCGGAACAGTTCTGAACTTTATGACTCAATTGAATGGAGCGAGAGTATCGCGTTCTTGAACAGTTCAGAGCTGCATAACTGCTTAAAATGGAGGACAGTAAATTGCGAGACATGGCGGGGTTCCAAACATTTTTTATTTGTTATTTTTGAAGTAAGGACAGCCTACGACTTCGATATACAAAAAAATCGTCCGATTTAAATGAATTTTGGTATGTCGATAGATTGGACCGTGTACGACACGTGTCACTGTGACAGTTGAGTGAGCGAGTGAGAGGGGGGGGGTAATTACTACGACCTTAAAGATCTATTTGCTGTCCTCCATTCGCGAATTTGAAGTTCCAGAGCTTTACGCCTGGGCTACTCAGAACGGTTCTGAAAGGAGCTGTGCGCGATAGCCTGGTGCCTCGATATGGCGCGGAACAGTTCTGAACTTTATGACTCAATTGAATGGAGTGAGAGTATCGCGTTCTTGAACAGTTCAGAGCTGCATAACTGCTTGAATGGAGGACAGTAAATTGCGAGACATGGCGGGGTTCCAAACATTTTTTATTTGTTATTTTTGAAGTAAGGACAACCTACGACTTCGATATACGAAAAAATCGTCCGATTTAAATGAATTTTGGTATGTCGACAGATTGGACCGTGTACGACATGTGTCACTGTGACAGTTGAGTGAGTGAGTGAGAAGGGGGGGGGGGTTAATTACTGCGACCTTAAAGATCTATTTGCTGTCCTCCATTAGCGAATTTGAAGTTCCAGAGCTTTACGCCCTGGGCTACTCAGAACGGTTCTGAAAGGAGCTGTGCGCGATAGCCTGGTGCCTCCATATGGCGTGGAACAGTTCTGAACTTTATGACTCAATTGAATGGGGTGAGAGTATCGCGTTCTTGAACAGTTCAGAGCTGTATAACTGCTTGAAAGGAGGACAGTAAATTGCGAGACATGGCGGGGTTCCAAACATTTTTTATTTGTTATTTTTGAAGTAAGGACAGCCTACGACTTCGATATACGAAAAAATCGTCCGATTTAAATGAATTTTGGTATGTCGATAGATTGGACCGTGTACGACACTGTGACAGTTGAGCGAGTGAGTGAGAGGGGGGGGGGGTTAATTACTGCGACCTTAAAGATCTATTTGCTGTCCTCCATTCGCGAATTTCAAGTTCCAGAGCTTTACGCCCTGGGTTACTCAGAACGGTTCTGAAAGGAGCTGTGCGCGATAGCCTGGTGCCTCCATATGGCGAGGAACAGTTCTGAACTTTATGACTCAATTCAATGGAGTGAGAGTATCGCGTTCTTGAATAGTTTAGAGCTGCACAATTGCGTGAATGGAGGGCAGTAATTGTGTCCACTGTGACAGTTAGAAACGTCAAAAGTTGATGCCGTCCGATCGCGACCAAATTTGGTGGGTAGGCTATGTGAGCGACGGTGCACACGTTCTTACCCTGCAAAGTTCGGTACGACGTTTCGTTTACGTTTTCATCAGGGTGGGACTAAGGATTTGATATAGAAGAAAAGTGTGAGTCGATTTCGGCATAATTGGGGACGGGCTAGAGGATGACGCCCTCGACGTTTCGAACCGATGCCCCTAAATGGATGAAATCATCAGGATTTTTCTCTTAATTATGGGTCGATTGGAACCAAACTCGGCACGCATATGAATATCCTATTCTTTATATATCCTCAGACGAATAGACGGTTATTTTAATAAAAATTTTGTGAAAGTGAATCAAATTATATATTAATTTTTAATTTATTACTTTTTAAACATTTCAAACTACACCTTCAATTTAATAGCTGTTAGGAAGAAGTTTCACTTCTAATATGCGCACGTAGTGCACACACAATTTTTTTATATGTTTTTTTTTCTGATTTCTTTCCATATTTTAATAGTTCTTCTGCTGTCCAACAAATTAGACATCGTTAAAATTGGTCCAGCCGTTCTCGAGTTATAACTGATGTAAACTGACTTTGTTTCATTTTTTTGCATTGTTATATGAACTTTAATATATTAAGAAAATTATAAAGAGTAAATGTATAACTAGTATGAACGGTCTTGAGTTTGACAAGTCTTTAAATCAATTTATTATAGATGAACGCCTTAAATGGGCGGTCCTACAAAAATTCGAAGCGATTATTATTTCAAAGGTCACTGTGAAACCTTTTTTTCAATTGCATGATATAATTTAAGTAGTAGGAAATACATTTTTATTTTCATTTCCAAGAGGGAGGATAGTGTGATATTTCATGTATTTATTTTATTCTAAGATGTATTTATAGGCAGAGCTGCAAGCTCACAGACAACTTAAGTCTTTTTTTATTAATTTTAAAATTTAAGTAATTTTCAAAACGATTTGTGATTTAAATCTTTATTTCGAAATAGAAAAAAGTTGAAGTTTTTTTTATAAAAGACTTTAGTCAGATTTTTATATATTTTTATGATAAATTGTTAACAGCAGTATTTCTTTTTAAACGGTTAGGCGGCTGCCAGGCAGCAGATAAAAAAACAATACTGAGTATCACTGTTGTCTTTTAAATAAATTCCGAACTCTGTTATGTAGAATATGTAGCTCGAAAAACGAACAAAAGAAATTTGTTGCGTTCAGGGACGACGACGGTCAGCGGCTGAGTAAGCAGTTTCCCTAAACGGTCTCTTTTTACACGTAAATACACTCAGCCGCTGAGCAAAATACTCAGTGATCGGTCAGCAGCTATGTTCCCTGAACGCGCACATTGATCTCGAATATATTGAAAAGTACTACCGTTAAGCGGCCCATACATTATCAAACAAATTGCGCAACGAAGCGATGCGCAACGTTGCGTTGCACAACTGATTCAGCGGCCCATACACTATCAAACAAGTTGCGCAACAAAGCGATGCGCAACGTTCCGTTGCACAACTGCCTCACCCATGCACTTAGTAAAATTTTGATCAAACTTTTTATTAAAAGTTGTGCATTGTTTGAGAAACAATCATGCCCTCAATTGCCATTGCGTCAATTATTATCGTATATACCCTAGATGATGTCGATGATACCAAAAAACGAAAACGTAAACAAAGATTTGGATGAAAGAACTAAAATATTGCACAACGAAGCGCAACACACACACACTACAGAACGCGTTGCGCAAAGTCCTGTTGCACGAAAGAATTCAAATATTCTTGAAACTCATCAAATAATTGCGCAACGCATCAAACACTATCATACATACATTGGCAACTAGTTGCGCAATTTGTTTGATAATGTATGGGCCGCTTTAGCTTATGCAATCGACATATTAGATATAGTGATCAAAACATATCACCAATTATATTAACATTAAAAAATAGGTACTTAAATTGAATTTTGTCTGTCTTGAAGATAATTATTTTGATTTAAACAATGACTAAAGAATATAAGGACATGTAACGCCCATATACGGGCTGCAGCAGAATTTGTGACCTTAAGGTGCGTATTCATTATTCGAACGAACGAATGAAAGTGCGGTATATTTAGACGGGGACCGAACGCATGCGGCCGTTCGTCCGTTCGTTCGCTCGACCATCCGTTTCGAGTCGGTACATCAAAGGCGTTCGCGTCCGGTCTTCTCGTGCGGTTCTATCGTACGGTCCCCGTCCGTACCACTAGCGAACATTCGTTCGGATAATGAATACGCACCTTTAGAGGCCATTCTTTTGATGGCAAACAATGAGTCATCATTTGGTCACCAGCGACAATTTTAGCGATTTTTAATAGTTTGTTACACGTAAACTTTGTATAAACTTTATTACAATGGGTGACTAGTTGTTCAGCTTTCAAGTGTAAAAGCAGCAGCGGTAAGAAAGAGTCAGGAGTTACGTTTCATAGGTAAATAAACAGTCCACTCCAACTTTTTAGCGTTTTCTTATTGAATTCGAAAATTCTTCAATTTCAATTAACATCTATATGTACTTGATATGTGTTATACGTCGATACTAGTTTTGTACTTTTTGTTAACATTTTAATACGTTTTTTTCGTAATTAATTAGTATGATACACCATAGGCGTAGTTAAAACAATTATCAAAAAATATAAATATTGCTTCAAACAGCTAGGTTAAGAAAAATATGTGCCACGGCACTGTTTGGTGACATCGGTACAATTTGCTCTCGGATGTTATTTGTGCTTGGATTTTTAGTCATTGGATTTAAGTCATTTTGCCGACTTTAGTTATAGTAGTATATTATATTGATTTATGTCTTTACAAAAATGACTTATGATGAATGATTTTAAGTTAAAGACTTATGATTTAAATCATTTTCATTTTAGAAATTACTTAAGTATTTTTGACTGTTGCAGCTCTGTTTCTAGGTTTGCTATTAAATGTTTGACCTGTAAGGTATTAATGCTGATAACCAGCGATGTGTGTTATGTGTAAGATTAATAAGATTTATTTCACAGATTTTTAATATAAAGATAATTTCTTTCCACCAAAATACAGTGTTTAGTTAAATACTGTATATTTATAAATCATATGATCCGCCTTGCTATGTGCTTCTCGAAAATATACAGGTTGTTAACTCGACAGTTACTTATAGGGGAACAGAATGGCACCACTGCCTATTGAGAACGCATGCACTTATAGGGTTTTCTGCCGACTCCCGTCCCGTCGCGTCGTCTATCGACGAACGGGCCGAGGTTGCCATATTTCAACCATAAAGCTCTTGCCGCGAGTAATAAACGAATTAACAACCTGTATATCACTCTATATTTATTTTCACTATTTACTGCAATATTTACAATATATAATTTTCTTATTAGTGGGCCGTGATAAATAACAAAAAATCAAAATGGTATTTACTAAAATACAAATACACATATTAAAATTTTATTTGGAATTGATATATTTTACTTTTGAACTGTTACCACTGAATCTCTGAAAATATTTTTCTTTTTTTATAACAAAATTTATTATAACGGGATGGGTTTGCAAATATCTAAAAGCTTGCATTATTACCGCATTTTCCATGTGTACTACATTGTGTTAGTTGCCACGATATATTTCATATCTCAAAAATCCCCAAAATCAGAAATCGAGAACGGACAAATCCGGGAATCAGGGGGCCATCATATGAGTACATTGCATTAGTTCAAATTCATTGATATGAGAAATAATAATTTAACAAAATTCTAGTATTTTCGTTGTAGGTTGTGAGGGGGGAGCCATCTTTGCTGAAAGTAGATTTCACATAAATTAGGTAAATGAATATTTAAAAGTTCCGATGCGATAGCTTCCAAATATTCTTTAAACTGTGCTTCCAAGATGTACAAAGAGCGGTAGAGAGTTAAGTTTCCCTAATATCTAAAGAATTTATAAGTGGCTCCCAAAATAAAACAAAAGACAGATAGCAGTAAACTTTTAATAATCCTTTGGTTTCTTTTATTATCAATCATGGCCTACTAATAAATAAGAACTTTTAATATTTTTTTAAATATTGTAGTAAATAGCGAAAATAAATATAGAGTAATATATATTTTTGAGAAGCCTATGGCAAGCCAGATTATATAATTTATAAATATACAGGGTGTTCCATTTAAGAAAACATAACTTTAGTTCATATCTTTAAAAATATTTTTTCGTAGAATAACAGACTTAAAAGACAGAAAAGTTCTACAATAAACAGTTTTCACCTTCTCGATACCTTTAACAATAACAGAGATATAGGGGGTATCTCAAATTGCAAAATTTTCAAAAAGACCTTGTAGCTCAGAAACGAAGAGGGCTATGAAAATTTTGTTTACGGTGTCTTCCGTTTGACAAGAAAGTGGCACAAGTTTGTGCAAACCGGACCCTTCTATCTTCACCAATAACGGAGATACGGTATGATTTCAACCAAAATGGGACACCCTGTACACGGTGATTTATATAATTTTTATACGTTAATATATTATTAACGTTGTAAAAAAGGTAGAGTGAAAATCTCATAAAGGAAACCTGATCAGTTTTATTAGTATTAGTCACTCTGTATTCATAAACTGTGTCCTGCTAATAGTCTGTCCAATGAATCAGGGAATAATCCACAAAATGACAGAAAATTCCAAAAATATCTGGATGTAAAAAAAACGCTTCAAAATCTACGTCATTTTTTTGCAGAAAACGTTTCAGACGTTGTCTGAGAACAGGGCTTTAAGCCCCGTTCTCAGAACTGCGACTGTCGCCAGCGACACGACAAAAGAACCAATCAGATTTGTACAAAATTCAAACAGCTGTCAATTTTAAATTTAGTACAGCTCCCATTGGTTGTATGAAGTGTCAATCAGTGTCGCTGTCGACACGACGCAGTTCTGAGAACGGGGCTTTACTTGTGAATTAAAATGACATACAACTGTCACTAGTTTGGAACCTCTTCTTGGATTGGCTAAATTTACAAGTTTGCTTTTTATTGGCTTTTTACAATTTTTGGTTGACGTGCCGATTAATTTATTGAAACCATTAAATATGAAGCAATAAAATTTAGTCTTTTATATGTCTTCTTGTCTTGAATATTAGATATTACATACATTATGACAATTTTATTATAAAAATCAAAAGAATTCTTATTTGTACATTTTAATTGAAAATACATTTTTTATAATAAAAATAAATTATATACAATTTTGTTTTATTTTTATAAAGTACGTAAATATATTTTGAGTAGGATATAAATACTGCAAATTTACATTTTTACATAACAAAATACAAGGAACTAAATTCTATCTACACGATTTAAAATGAGTACACTTAACACTATAACATGAACTACATCAAATATCTCCTTATATTTAATATACCAAAGCACAATCCATAAAATAGGTACAGCTGAAATATTTAGATTATTTTTTAGACCAGAAAAAACTTTAAATATTAATTATTCAAATATTATTTTCTTAGGATTCGTGTCATGTCCTTATTTTGTTTTTGAATACTTAGGTCGGCCTGTTCTGTTTTATTCGTAATATTCTCTATCAGATCATTTTGACTGTCAATCTCTTCACCCAGTTCGCTTGCCAAACCTTTTAACCTAAAACATGGCGCTGAGTTAAATATTGTGCATTGCTTATGGAGGCTAGAAGGAGGAGGCGAGCCGAACGCAAAAATTATGGGCCCAGTTTTTGAGATCTAAATGAAGTTCGAAAATCGCCGTTAGGAGCGCATGCGATCCGACAGATGGAGAAATACACAGCTTCTTATGGCAAGAATTACTATTTTGTTATAAATTATAGAGTTCAGTTAATATTTGGGCATATTTTTACCAGATTTAGCTTTTAGAAACGTGTTTTTTTTCTAATTGAACAATGTGCGTGGCTAAAATTGTGAATACAAAACCTTAAATTTGAGTTTGAAAAGTAAGTTAGAAGTTAGGTTATATCAGATGCCGGTGTTAGATATTCTTTTTCTAAGTTGTTATTATAAAATTGTTTCATTATATGGTTCTTTTTAGTGCATACACGACCGAAGAAAAATATAAGCTGCTAAAATAAATCTTCCCTATAACTGTTGTACAAAAAGATAGAATTTCCCGCAACAAATATCACCAGTTCAACCTTTGATTTGATGTAAACAGTAATTGTTTCTTGATGACAAATGCGAATTAAATAGTTTACGGTGTGATTGTGTTAGTGATTTATTAATAGTTTTTCATAAAAACATTTGAAATTGATATGTTTACATGCAGTTCAGTGTGATATAATTTTAATAAACATTAAAAACTTTCGTAACAAACTAGTAGTGGTTTTACCGCAATTGACAGATACTGAATCACGAAAATTAAAAGTATTTTATCAGGAATAACTTCAATGGAAAGTGAAGATGAACACTACTGTTGCACCCTTTAATCAGTGTTATCATTGTTAATTTTAGCCACCTGGCTAGTGGTAAATTATTTTTATTTTATAACAAGGCCTCCTAGGTTATGTTACGCAGATGTTGATTTTAGGCTATATTCTCTATTAATTTGACTTTGAAATTAATCTGTACACTAATAGTATATAATTTGAATGTTTTTCTTAACATCTATCCATATTTTTTTTAAATAAATAGTTATACCACTTACATTAGGACCTTTGAAAATGCTTGGGTTTCCTTCACCCCGTTCTTTATTTGCCTTTTTTCCACTGTAAGTCCCACTTATACAGCCAGGTACGAAGCAAGATCTATTATATAGGGTTTTTTTAATCACACTCATTGTTACATTGCTAATAGTTCAATAAAATAACTATAAATTTAAAAAAACTAGTAAAAACACAGTTAAATCGTATTCGAACAATGCAAATGATCAATCTAACCCACTTACAGTGCCTCATGGTGTCAAACCGAGAAACTTGCTTTAAAGTAGGGACAGAAATTTCAAATATGCCCATTGTCGATTCGCCTCCTCCTTCTAGCCTCCATAGCATTGCTACTGTAACTACATGGTAACCATGATACACTGGTACTACTGGTATGCCCTAAGCAGGTTAGTGATGGGAATCTAGTTTGAATAAAAAGATTAACGAAAGAGTATACTGCTATACATGTATTTATGCATGGTAGACGGAGATGGGGACCTAGAATAGGGGTCCTTGGCAGTTGTGTTTGACGATTCAAATAAATCGTCAAACACATAGATAAATGCAACAAGTTTAGATTGGAAAGCCCGTAAAAATTTTAGGTCGCGACCGTTATACGCGATCTGGCGCTGCTATAGCGGTCGCTTAGAACAACGGCAAACAAAAACAGAAATAATTTTCTCTTGTCAAAGTCAGAATCTTCAAAATCATAAAGTCTTTCAAAATATAAACTGCTCTCGTTAAAGAAATTCCGAAAAGTGTTTATAGCGTCGATTTTCAAAGTAATTATTGCTATCTTTGAGTTTAATTCAAGTTTTATTTACTCCAACGGGTGATAATTGTGAAAAAGTGGCATTAAAAACTTAAAAAGCTGTGCTGTGAACTGTGAACTGCAAAAACCATCGTGGATCGTGGCATAACGTCGGTTTCCAATGTTTTATAGGTATTTCATACATGTCCTTATATAAAATAAAGTTTCTTGTATGCAACACACTGTATTTTATTTATAAAATTAAAAAAAAATAATAATAACGATGGACATTAATAAGACCAGGTGTTATTTCCTTTACGTGAGGTGGTATTAACTCTCTTCATTTATAGTTATCGGATCGGAAAGAATTCTGATCGCGTCGCGTCCGCTATTTAAACTTAACCTAACTTTGAATTTAAAACTTTGAAATTGTTTTGTTTACTAGGTATTTTAAAACTAAAGGGCTAAAGTGCTTATTTCCAGTACTTTATTGTTCAACGTCTGCCAGTGGGTTTAGGGCAACAAGCAACAAATTCTCTTAGAAGGGCTAAGTCGTCATCTGCTGTAAACCTAAGACTCTTTGTAGGTTTTTTAGTATTGGAAGAGGTGGAATCCATATTTTGGGTCATATTTATTTAATTAAAACTAATCCCAGCTACTTAAATATCAAATTACCTAATAAAACTAAAGCAATAATTCAAAACAATTCAAACATAACTTAAAATAAAAGATCTCGCCGGCCGGCTCCGGTTGTCAAATACCCGCACATGCCCAATTAAGCAATTTTTAAACGTTATCAGAGGTTATTTAGAAATAGCGCTTGGTGTAATTGATCCGCAAATTACGTCAGGCGGTAACGTTATTAGCGGGTGTTGCGTTAAAAATTGACTCGCGCATATCGTAACCATGATAAGGTACGCGTAAATACTGGATGACGCTATTCGGTTTTCCGATATCTCTCTAATAACTGTGCCGGTCAGGCGCTGTGCACAATTTTAGAGGCCACAAGTGGGCGTGCTATGTGCGCAAACTAGTCACCTAACTAGTGCCCGATTCCGAAAATTGGAACCACGAAAAACAATAAAGAAAAAACAAAGATTATAATCTGTATAATCTGTGATGATACTGACTACAATTTGACTTACCTGCTTCAGTAGCGTATCGGATGTTTGTGTTATTAAATAATTATTATTATAACTTATCTATTTTTATAAGAATTGTATATATTTTTATAACAATTTAAATAACTACCAACATTTATTGACAACGTAAAAAATGAAATTTAACGTTTTTATATTAAAGATTTATTGCCAATTACCAAAATATGACACACTGTCAGACCCCTGTTAGTTACTGGTAAAAACTATTTATTTTATCTATTATTTTTATATCTATTTTTTTAAAGGGGACACCTTGTAGATAAGAAGTTCTTCACCATATTTTACATATAAAATGTCAGTAATCTTCATTTTCGAGCCACCTCTGACGCCGTTTTTTTTTATTGTATTGTATCTTTACATATTTTCATCAAATTTAAACAAAACCTTTAAAAAGAAAGTTTATATATTTTTGATATCCAAACAAAAGTTCTCTAATAAACTTCTCATATACAGGGTGTGGCATTAAAAATATTTTATACCAGTAATAATTGTAGTACACAATAAAACTTCACTGAAAACACTTTCTTTCATAAGAAATACTCAATTACCAAAAATTAAAAATAATTTAAAACTACGACAAAATAAAGTGTTAACATTCTACAGGGTGAATCTGGGTTTTTTTATATTCACCTTGAAGAATTTTTAAAAACATGATGAATGTGGGGTCATTAGTATATTTTTTGTAACAATATCATTTCTTTCATAGATATATTTATGTCTTTAATTTACAGTTAGTATTAAAAGTTTTTCTTTATCTCCACAAGTTCGGTTATATGGTTTTTTCTATATTCTGAAACATGACGAATGTGAGGTCATTAATATATTTTTTGTAACAATATCATTTCTTTGTAGATAGATTTATGTGTCTTTAATTTACACTTAGTATTAAAAGTTTTTCTTTATTTCTACAAGTTCAGAATTTCAAATCTATTACCATTTTTGGCCACAAAATGGTTAAAAAAAATTATTTTATATTCCTGTTAGTAATGACTTTATAGAGTAGAAGAAATATTTAATGATTTTAATGAATTCTGAAACAACAAAATTTGGTTCTTTATGTAGAATACCAGTAGTAAGTGCATCTTGATTCTAACCATAAATTTACCGTGAAATATTGCTGCACATCTCCTGTAAGTTTGCATCCAGTTTTGCACTAAAATCCTTACTTCCAGAACTGTAAGATTGCGTTTGCAAAGCATTATAATCACTCCCTCTAAGTCTTGTTGAAGGGTGCTCATTAAAACGATCATATGTTTGTAACTTTTCCTGAAGATTGGTGTTAGAGACTGATTCCTAAAGAAAATTTTTGAATATATACAGGGTGGCGCACCTCATTCACCTCGGTTGACTATACGAAAACGGAAAGACGTAGAAACAAAATATGTTATGGGTACATATGGGGAGACAATGTGCACAATTTAGAATTATTTTGAAATGTACAGGGTGTTTCAGAACTAAGATCCATACTAAAGTTATATATTTTCTTATGGAACACCCGGTATTTTATTTCATTTTTGGATTTTTGGGCCCAAAAAAAGGCATTTATTATAAGGGTTAAATATGTTTAAAATATTTAGTTTTTGAGATATTTAAAGATATTTAAATTTACATGCTACAATAGAATAAGACTATTAACACTCTGTACATTACTTTTCAGAAGTAATTCTTATGCTGAGTTTAAAGGTAGAGAAATAAACTTTACTGAAAAATGGTATTGGTTCCTTAAATTTATACAGGGCTATCAAAAGTTGCTGATCTATTTTAAGGATATATTTTATATAAAAACTTCGTTATTTCAAATACAACACCCTATATTTTTTTTAAATAAATCGAAGCAGATTCAAATGCTCTTTCAAACTATGTTAGGGTTTCCTATACCTATCTAGCTCAGATTTTGAATAAAAAGTGATTTTTAATAAAATTGCAATCAAGATGGCTGGTGTCGCCATGGCAATTTTCTAGTGACAGTTAGTAACTATTTTCAAAGTCGACATTAGTTTATGGACATTATTATTTATAATTTATAACAGTTTACTTAAATTTACCTACAATAGTTTAATAAGTAAATGTTCATTACTTTATCAAGAAAAATAAAGCAGTATCTGCTGGCGGAAAGAATAGATGCTTAGCCTCAAGGGCTTATGCTCAAAGATATCCAAATAGGAATCTTCCAGATAAGCCTTTCTTTGAAAAACTTTTTGTCCCATTTTGCAAAGATGGTAGTGGGTTTATAAAAAACCTATTAGGCAGAAACCTGTCGTTGGAAGTGAAGAAAATGAATTTGCCGTAATTGGCTCTTTTATAGGAAATCTATATATCTACAAGTAATCGTAAAATAATTCAAAGAACTAGGTACTTATTCGTTTTTCTTGATAGAATAATAAATTTATTTAGTAAATATTATTTATTAAACTATTGTAGGTAAGTTAAATAAAAGTAAACTGGTATAAATTTAAATAAGTCCATAAACTAACTTCAATTTTGAAAATAGCTACTAACTGTCAGTAGAAACTTGCCATGACAACACTAGCCATCTTGATTACAATTTTATTGAAAAATCGCTTTTTATTCAAAATCTGAGCAAGATAGGTATAGGAAACCCTAATATAGTTTGAAAGAGCATTTAAATCTGCTTCGACTTATTTAAAAAAATACATAGTGTTGTATTTGAAATAACGAAGTTTTTACGTAAAATAAATATTTAAAATGGACCAGCAATTTTTGATACCCCTGTATACATCTAAGGGAGGAATAACATTTTTCTGTAAAGTTTATTTTTCTACCTTTAAATTCAGCACAAGAATTAATTCTGAAAAGTAATGTACAGGGTGTTAATAATCTATTCTATTGTGGCATGTAAATTTAAATATCTTTAAATATCTCAAAAACCAAGGATTTTAAACATATTTAACCTTTATAATAAATACTTTTTTTTGGGCCAAAGAATCCAAAAATGAAATAAAATACTGGGTGTTCCATAAGAAAAAATATAACTTTAGTATAGATCTTAGTTCTGAAACACCCTGTACATTTCAAAATAATTTTAAATTGTCCACATTACCTGCCCACATAATACCCATAAAATATTTTGTTTCTACATCTTTGCGTTTTCGTATAATCAACCGAGGCGAATGAGGTGCGCCACCCTGTATAATATATTATGAAATGAAACCATTCTTAAAAATAAGCAAGTTTTACAGCTTTATTAAAATAGTAGATGGTAGTCGATGTATAAGAAAAAATTGAAATAAATTAGGAAATAAAATGAAATATTTTATAGGTATTTCAAGAATTTTTTTTTTCATATTATAGGTGGTGTTGTACATTTAGCAAAAAGATTAAATCAAGTAGTAGGTATCTATAATATTCACATTTTGAACTATGATTATACTAACCTTTACAGTACTAGGAGTGCTACTTGATGTTGTTGGGCTCTTATCGTTCCTGCCTGACATATAGTTCTTTAAACTACTAAAAACCGATTTAATTCCGTTGATGTGCTTTTGAGAAAATCTTAAAGTATTATTAATATCGTCCAATTGTTTATCTGTTTTCTCTAATTTCTCTCGCTGGCGCATCAGTTCTTCGGCTGTAGCTATTCCTATTTGTTCAGAGTCTCTTAAAATATTTAAACTTTGTTCAGTACTCCGAATCGTATTCTCCTCGATTTGTCGTTTACGCTCTTGAAAACTCTGAACCTGGTAGTAAAAAACGAGTTTTGAAGGAATTACATTTATTCAAATAAAAAATATTAGCCTTACTTGTGCATCAAATTTATTCTGGTTAGGTTGCCATCTGGAATTTTTTAAGAATGTCTCGTCATCTACATCATAATCATCATCAAAGGGATTCGTAGATTTTATGTATTGGTGTCCCGACATATTTAAATCACTAGCTTGGTCACTTTGAAATTTATTGTTACTAATTTTAATAGCTTTGTTTGTTTACATATATATCTACAAATAAAAAACTGCCCGTTTTTATTCTAATGAAGATTAATTAGATAATAAAAATAATTAATTTACAATACTCCTACAATAACAATGATATAAACTATAAACGTCAGTGTCAGATTGTCAGATGGTGTCAGCAGGGTTCGGAAAACTACATGTTACATTTAGAAACTACATAAACTACATTACATATAGTTAATGTAGTTGATGTAGAGGGTGTAGTTTAGGTAACGTATGTATGTAACTTTCAAATATCAAACAGTGCCTTCTATTAAAAGATCAGCCTACGGGCGGACTTTTGTTTACTTCATCAGCTGTACATACTTAGATATTGGGTTAGATTTCGTTTCATATTTTGTCGGTTGATTTTTGGTTTTAACTCTTTGATTTTTGGTATTATTTATTATTGTAGTGCAAAAAACTAATTATTTTGGTGTTGAAGTGACATAAACTACTACCAGATATATGGTCACTCTCGGTTTCGCATAAAAAAATAGAAATTTTAAAAATTACACGTTGTGCAAGTGATTTAACCTAAAAGTGCCCATACATTTTTACTTATCGTGATTTTTGTGTGTGTTTTTAAGACTCTAACAATTCATCAATAAAGCTTAAGTGGAGTGTGTTATTGGTGCTATGCCTCATCTTTGTTGTGTTCCTGGTGGAAAGGATAGTTACTAAGGATAGTTATTATACTAGGCAGCCTAAAGTGTCCGGAAGAGCAAGAAAAGTGGGTACGAGTTATAAATCAAGAGAATTTTATTGAAAATATCTTTAATAAATTTAAAAATAATATTCTCCCATGATGGTATTAATGAAAACTGGACAATTATGTTTATTTTATTCATATTGTGGAATCTCCACTCCAAGTGTTGCTGGTTCAGCTTCGATAGATTCAAACACGTAAGTAGGTATTATGAACTAGGGAAAAATAAAGAATATGTGTATTAGAGATCATGAAAAAGATTATTATTTTGAGTTCAAATTTTAAAAAAGATTTTTGTAAAGCCAAGACTGATACAGTTTAAAAGAAGAATGTGTTTTTGTTTGATAATATATAATGTATGTTAAGCATAACATATATTTGTTCAGTAATTTTTAATGAATAGTATTGATTATTTATAATACCAAATTAATATCAAATATTTAAGTGATAGCTGAATACAATATGAATAAAATAACAATAAAATTGGTATATTTGCATAATACAAAATTAAGTTTTAAGAATAAAGGTGTTACTAAAAATACTAAGAAATTCATATTTCTTTGTTTTAATTGGTCTAATGTTATTTACATTTTACGTAAGAATTATACCGTATCATCGAAAAAAATCGGCGTCTAGTTGGCTTGGAAATGAACATCGATGACATTCCCTAAATAACTGTACACATAAAATAATTAACTAGAATTTTACAATCTTGGAAAATTTGATATTCTTGAACCTTGATTCTAAATATTCTAAATTTTTTTGATTTTCTTGGAATTTAGGTTCAGGAAAAACGCTGATTGATTTTTTCATTTGGTTTTTCATTATTTTTATTTGGTTTAAAAGAACGGTTCGGCTAACATTATAGCCTCCATCAGTGTTGTGTCATATGAAAAAATAGTGTCGAATATAATCCAAAAATTGCATATAAAATATTCACACCACGCACATAATGTTTACTGCGTACTCCATAGTCAATGTAGATAATTTTAGTGTTAAGAATAATAATTTTAAAAAATATGTGGTCATCTTTTGATAAGTTTATATTAGTTTATTAATTGCAGTAAACATTATGAGGTGTGAATTATATTGTATATGTAATTTTTGGATTATATTCGACACTATTTTTCTCATATGACACAACACTGTGAAGGCTATAGTTAGCCGAAACGTTTTTTTTAAACCAAATAAAAATAATGAAAACCCAAATGAAAACTTAATCAGCGTTTTTCCCGAACCTAAAAATCCCAAGAAAATCAAAAATTTTAGAATAATTTAACATATAAAATGCCAGCGATCTTCAGTTCATAGCCATCGCTGACGCCTTTTTTTAGATAATATTGTATTATTTGTAAATATAATTTTTTCGAACATTGATACTTGCAAAATATACATATAAATTTTGTGAATGCAAATAATAATACATCACTATTAGTAGATATTAAATGTTTTTGTTAAATTAGATCGATTTTCAAACCCCAAAATTTAAAATATATTTACATTTTACCCATTATCTTATGTACCTATACATTATTTGTACATTGTAAAACATTTGCTGCATTTGTATGGTTCATAGTTTATTTGCCAAAGTATTTATTACTATAAATAGGTATATATGTTGTAGTTATTAACTGTATATTATGTATATTTCATTTAAACTATATCATTTTTAAAATACAAACCAAAAATCTGAGGAATAATTATGTTTTCCATGTATTCTACAACATATTTATTAATCCGTTATATCTAACTAGCGTGACGTCATAAATCTCGCCCGTGGGCTGATCTTTTAATAGAAGGCACTGTATCAAAGGTTTGAGGTGAGGTTATAATTAAGTTGAAGCTTTAAAAACACATAATGTATTTAAGAAAACAGAAGAAATATGGCTTTAAATATAATATTTACATCATATTATCTCTATGACACCTCATACAAATGAAAATTATTCATAATATCAATACATAATTTATTAACGTAGTTTTCATGTAGTTAATGAACGGGAAAAGATGTAGTTTCTGAAGAAAAACTACACGTAGTTAATCAGGTAAATTACGTCTTAATTAACTACTTCCGAACCCTGGGTGTCAGGGTGCATCCACACCAACCACAACTATCCTAGAAACGGCGTACAAAGACAACATAACGACCTTGAATAGATTCCCAGTAATTCTATTGGCTGAAATTTTTGACAGATGAATTTTTCAGCCAATAGAATTACTGGAAATCTATTCAAGGTCGTTACGCCGTTTCTAGGATAGTGTGGATTGGTGTGGATGCACCCTCAGGGTGCATCCACACTATCCTAAAAACGACGTATCGGCGTAACGGCGAAATGACCTAGAATAGATTTCCAGTAATTCTATTGGCGGAAAAATTCATCTGTCAGAAATTTTATCTGTCACTGGATAACGTGGATGCACCCTGAGGGTGCATCCACATTATCCTAAAAACGGCGTATCGGCGTAACGACCTTGAATTGATTTCCAGTAATTCTATTGGCTGAAATTTTTGACAGATGAATTTGACAGATAAAATTTCTGACAGATGAATGTTTCAGCCAATAGAATTACTGGAAATCTATTCAAGGTCATTACGCCGTTACGCCGATACGCCGTTTTTAGGATAGTGTGGCTGCACTTGTGGGCTGCACCCTCAGGGGTTAAAAAATATACCCTCATTTATATATGATCTCCCATAATAAATAAATTTAAACAATTTCTTCTTCTTGTTTCACGATGCCCACGCGTGTTTCGACGGCCAGTCGTGGGCCAGTTAGAGCCTAAAATTTAAATAATTTGTTTTGATTTTACTTTTTAATTTATTGAGATTATCGGTTGGTAGTACCCTGTTAACAGGCCGGATAGTCCCGTAGCTTAGGCCATTAAATTAACCTATTCTCTAGTAATTTAGTTTAACGGCCTGAGCTGCTAGGGCTATTCGGAACCTATTCTCTGAGGGTGCAGCCACACTATCCTAAAAACGGCGTATCTTAGGATAGTGTGGCTGCCACCATAGGTTGCCACCCTGATATTAACTAAAAAAAATAATAAACACCACCATTGACACCACTTATGATTATAGGTTAATGGATTTGATTATTTTTATCAAACATAAACATACTAATTTTAAATAAGAGTCTCCATTAATTAGAATACGAATATAGTAAAGCGCTATAGGCTATATTCCTCCATCCAGAGTTATACTAAAATATGTTTTTAAAACCTTATAAAATGCTGGCTTACTCTAAGCGAAGTTTTTGTAAGCTCAATGTAAAATCCCTAACATCTCAAGCAAGTGCTAGACACAAACAAACGCATTTTGGATTTGAAGTAGTAGAGGAAGATCAAAAACAAGAGAAAGGTTATTGCTCATAATATAAATTACTTCGTAAATTAAATTATCACCTTTTTAGTTCATAAAGTTTTTGAAAATGTTGCACAAGACTATGATGTAATGAATGATGTTATGTCCCTTGGAGTACATAGGTTTTGGAAGGACTATTTTATTTCAAAATTAAGTCCAACTAATAACACCAAATTATTGGATGTAGCAGGAGGAACAGGTAAAATAATTTTTGTTTCAAAAATTGTTTCCATTTTTCAAAAAACTACCACCCAGTATTGTTTCAGGAGATATAGCTTTTAGATTTATTAATTATGTACAGAATTACAAATTAGACAATTGCCATGTTACTGTAACAGATATTAATAGTCACATGCTAAATGTGGGACAGATCAGAAGTAAAGCATTACATCATAATTCTGATCTAATTGATTGGAAGGAAGGTAGATATAAAAATAAGTGCTTAATTATAAGTAAAAAAGTAAAGTGGTTTAGGTAATGCTGAACACCTACCGTTTGAAGATAATACATTTAATGCCTATACTATTGCTTTTGGGATTCGTAATTGTACACATATTGATAAAGTTTTAAACGAAGCATATAGGGTATTACAGCCAGGTGGTAGGTTTTTATGTTTGGAATTTAGTCATTTAGAAAATTCAGCAGCACAATGGTAAATAATGACAACAACGAATATACCGATCAATAAAATGTTTTTTTTCTTTATTTTTGATTTTAGGATGTATGATCAATATAGCTTTCAAGTTATACCAATATTAGGCCAGCTTGTAGCACAACAATGGAAGCCCTACCAATATTTAGTTGAAAGTATTCGACAATTTCCACGTCAGGTATGTATCAACAAAATTTTTAGCTTAAAGGTAGGTATTTCACTGTCATATTATTAATGTCATATTTATTAATAAATTTGATAATACTGTACGTGATTATTTTTATAGTACTTATTATTGAATATTTCAGGATATATTTAAAAATATGGTTGAAGAAGCTGGTTTTCGACAAGTGGTATATGAAAATCTTACATTTGGAGTTGTAGCTATACACTCAGGTTTTAAGTTGTAAATATTATTTTTTAATAAAATATTTAAAGACAATCCAAGTTATTTTTAAATGTTTTGTTAATTAGATTAATTGCAACTGAATTGAGAAAAAATTATGATAAAAATTTAAAATATTTTTTAATAATTTCAATTAAATTAGAAATAAGAATATATGAACAAGGAAATAACCCAAAATTAACTAACCTATTAATGAAATAAAAAAGAGAATTAAAAAAAATAAGATCTTTTACTCTGAATTAACATTATATACCTCAAGAAGATAGTATTTTAATAAAAATTTTATTTACCTCTATATAAAATACTTTACAGAATTTAAGTGTTTTAATGTTACAATTACTAATTAAATTGAACAGAGGTTAGAAATAAACTTCTTCACATTATTATATTCTAAGATACGAACTATTTATCCTAAAATGTTCTTTGATAAATGTTGATTAGGTTTTGAAAAACTTACATTTATCCTAAAAGCTTGTCTTATAATCAAAATTTAAATACTTATATATACACCCATATGAGTAAATACATCTTAATATTATCGTCCTCTTCCTCCTGGACCAACTTGCTGATTTGGCCAAGGTGCTCCTCCTCTACCTCCTCTAGTAGGAGGTCCACCTCTACCCCTTCCTCTGGCTAAAACGTACATTTTAGTGTAAATTAGGAAAAACTATACTATAAATTAATTTACCTTGGGCTCGAAGAATGCCCGACTTTCCTCGTCCCGCAGTACCTGATTTTGTTTGTTTTTTAAACATAGGTGCATTCTTTAACATATCCGGAAGTATCATAAATCTAATTTTCGATCCTCTAATATAAACGTTTTCTAGTTGTGCAACTCTACCATCTCTGTAAGTTACAGTTATTTGAGTCATTTGGCAATTCATGTTATCTTCCGCTTCGATTAGTTTCCCTCTATAAACTTCACCGGTAATAGTTTCGCAAGTAACAATATGTCCTTCGGCTTCATGGAGCACTTTGATTGGAACTCCAATAGACATATTTGAGTGTAAATTTTTTGTTTAATTTATCACAAATAAAAATATATCTTTATAGAAGTGGATGATTTCAGATTTTGAAAAAGATATTTGTTTTGGTAGCCGGTTTTTAGACGCTGAAGTTGTTTGTGCCCACAGAAGATTTTAGAGGACGGTTGTAGAGTGACAGGAGTGACAGACAGAATGAGAACCATAGACCAGTAGTTCAAATGATTCAAATAGGTTCTTGTGCAGGGTTGACACGCCGGTTAAATGTAACAAAATTCGTAGTTTACCCTCGTTTTAACAAAAAAATACAAAATATAGTTAATTAAAATTTGTAAGTTTTCATGAATCGGAAGGATTTTACTACACTTTTTCCTTGCTAGCAAAGATTTAATTCAATTATTAGAACGTCTTTAACCTCAACTTAAAATAAATAAAACCAAAACAAAACATATCATATGATTTGGAACTGTCCAATCAAAGTGCTTACAGATCGAGCAAGCGCAGAAAACCTCCTCCCGAACAAGGATAGACTTATGTAGGAAATGCATTGACATTCTATAGTCATCCTTCAACATCGGGACAGGAATTTAAGCGGCACTCTCCGTATATTTTATTAAAACGTATTTGGGTTTTCCTAAACGGTCTCTTTTTACACGCAAAAACAGTCAGCCACTGAGCAAAATACTCAGCGGTCGGTGAGCCGCTGTGTTCCCAACGCGCACACAGATTTTTACATTGATCAACATTTTCTTATTTTTAATTTTTTTTTTATATGTCTTGGGCCCATCCCTATGTTAATATATGATCAACAGAAAATAGGGAGATTTAATACGCCATTGTTGGCAGCCCTCCCGATTTATTGACAAATTTTGGCGTTTCAGATTTTGATTTGACATTAGACATTAGTCATATTGCATTTGATAAGGAGCCATAATAAGGAGTTATTTTGGTAAATATGTTGGAAATCTTCTAGAAAGCCAAATTTTAATTTTTAGTATTGCTTGCAAGTGGTTTGCAAGGCTCTACAGTTTAACCGAAAGTGATAACATTTCTTTGTTGAAAACTTAATAATGGATACCAAAAGAAAACTATCGTAAGCATTCAAAATCATTGCGGTCCTTTCAATGCCGTTTAAAATATATGCTGTACAAATTGCTGTAGATACTAATTGAACAGAATAGAATGTTAAATTATCTCCTTAGCAAATTTAAAATATTTTAGGACTCAAGGAGATTCACTCTATGAAATCTTAGCTCTTCCTAAAACAGCATCTGGGGATGAAATAAAGAAAACGTATCGTCGTTTGGCTTTAAAATACCACCCGGATAAGAATCCTAACAATTCAGATGCGGCGGAAAAATTCAAAGAAGTGAATAGGTAGTTTCTTTGTTCTTTAAAATTGCTATTTGCTTTAAAAATCCTTCTTTGTTTCTACTCTAGGGCTCATTCTATTCTAAGTGATCCAACAAAAAGAAATATTTATGATAACTATGGTTCTTTAGGGCTATATATAGCAGAACAATTTGGGGAAGAAAATGTTAATGCTTATTTCGTAGTAACATCTACCTGGTGCAAGGTATTTATATACATATTTTAATTAATTTTGTATATTATTTATATTTGGGATTAAATATATTAATATAAAAGTATAATCTCTTTAAATGCAATATTTTTGAGAAAATAGATCATTATATTATGTATGATAGTCTGTATTTTCATGAGATATTTATTTAATTTTTTTTGAGATATTTATATTTATACTAGAAGCAAAATCATCATTCACAGGCTATATAATAAATTAGTAATACAATAAACATAGATCTAATAAATATACCTACATTTTGATAAGTGAAGTAACAAATACATTAGTCATAAGTAGGTATATGATTCATTAATAAATTTAATCGTTAACTGTTAATATAATTATTATAATTATAGTTGTATATTATTATAATTAATATAGTTGTTATAATATAAACTTAATATTTGAAATACTGGTTATTTTTAATTAGTTTTTTAATAAATTATTATCTGATAAATATTATTATTATCTGATAATAATTAATTATCTGATAATAAATATTTTTTACAAGATTTATAGTTTGACCTAATAAAAAGTATTTTATTATTATTATGAAAGTTTTAACGTTCTAAACTTAATACAAAGCTTACTTACATGGTAATACCATATGATCGAAAAAAAAAACCGCATCAGCAATGGCTATGAAATGGAGATCGCTGTCATTTTATATGTAAAATCATATGTGGAATGTCATTGATGTTCATTTCCAAGCCAACTGGACGTCGTTTTTTTTCCATCATACGGTATTAATAATATTAAATTTATGGACTTAACTGATTTGTCATAGAAGAAAATAAATAAATGGTGATATAATTTTTCAGAGGTTTTAGTTAAGTTTTGATTACTTAAAAATATTTTTTTTTATTTATTTTTATAAAAGGAGAATCACATATAATTTTACATAATTTGTAGTTTTTAAGTGGATTGCTATATATCTTATTTAGTCATGGATTTGCCATAAAATTTTAATTTTAAAAATACCAGAATTTTATAATCTATACACAGGGTGATCCAAACTGTATTCCAGAAACTTCCGCAACATATTCTGCAGATAAAAATATGTAAGAAAGTTCGTATAAATGTATGTCCTAAAATCCTTAGTTTCAGAGATAAAGGGTGCAGAAGTTTCATTTTTATTTCGATTTTTTCATGAGAATATGACTTCTTCTTGTAGGGCGCCAGGTACATATTTAACTGATTCTAAGTGTAATAACTTTTCGTCCGTACCTGTATAAAACTACTGAGTAAAAAAATATACATTTACGACATTTTTTACGTAAAAAAAGGACTCTTGGCAAAAATCGTTAATAATGGTTCTCGAGGTATTTGGAATCGAAATTATAAATACCCGTCATCATTAATGTGACATAAATTAAACATGTCCACTAAAGGTCTGTTCCCAGAAGAATCCCTGACTAGTCAGCACGTTTCTCATTGGTTAAAATGCCTAGAAACCTGATTGTTAGTCCGGTTTCTACACATTTCAACCAATAAAAAACGCGCTGGCTAGTCAGGGATTCTTCTGGGAACAGACCTTAAATAGTTATTAGACTAAAATCATAAATTTTAAATGTTTTGTGCCAAAAGTTCAACAGAAACTGTTTTGTAATCATTTTTTTCAAAGAAAAATTCATGATTAATTTAACAAAATAAGAAGTATCCAAATTTGGCATTTCAGTCAAATAACTATCTACTCAATATGTTTATTTTTTGTCAATAATGAGATGTATTGACTATTTCCATTCTAAATATCTTGAGAACGGTTCGTAGCGATTTTTATAAAGAGATATTTTTTACGTAAAAAATCACGGAAATGAATATTTTCTTACTCTGTAGTTTTATACAGGTACGGACAAAAAGTTACTCTTCAAAACAGTTAAAACACATGTAGGTGGCCCCCCACGTAGGAGTCATATTGACATCTAAATCAAATTTCTCTTGTAAAAAAACTCCAAGACACTAATTTTCATCCAAATATTAACGTTATTTCAGAAATTATTTGGAAAAAATCGAAATAAAAATGAAACTTCTACACCCTTTAGGTATCTCCGAAACTAAGCATTTTAGGACATACATTTATACGAACTTTTTTACTTATTTTTGTCTGCAGAATATGCTACCGAAGTTTCCGGAATGCAGTTCGGACCCCTGTATATTACATCAACATTTTTTAGCCAACAAGATTGGTTTAATATTAACCTAATATTAATTGAAAACATTTTTACTTCTTGATTTTTTTATGTGACAAATTTATAAATACAATTTATTGTGTTAATACAGCTGAAAAATAGTAGCATAATAATCGGTTTTGGACACATAAAATTGAATTAAAAATATTTCTATTGTTTCATTTAATACAATATTACCATAGTAGATAAAATACAATATTACCATAAAGCATTTATTGTTAGACTCTTAGACTAGACGGAGAGCTGGCTACATAAAAAACCTTATCATCGTTACATGGCTAATTTTTCTTGTAAAGTATCTTTTTGTGGAGCCATTGTGAAATAGTCATGTCTGCCAGCGGGCTTAAAGCGGGAGCGGCCAATCGAAAGGGTGAAATTTTGACACTAAAAATATTAAAGGTACAACAGTTATAATTAACAAATAGCTTTTATTTATTATTAAGAAACGTGTAAAACTGTTGACAGACATTTTTCTTGTGGCTAAAATGCCGGCAGACAACGCGAAAGAGGCACGGAATTTGACAACAAAAATCATGGCATACATGCATGTCGATTGATGGAATGTCTGTTTATTTATTTAAATAGCCGTATGCAAAAGGACAGACAAAAAAATCGTGGCTCAATATAGTTGACAATGTTGACGTGGCTCAATCTGGTAGACAGTTATAAAAAACGCGATATTACACTACAGGGTGAATCTTGAATAAGTGCAAGTATTTTCAGAGAGGGTAGATCTCGATAAAAGAAAAGTATTTTCTTTTTACCGTTTTCCAAATAAGTCCAAAATAACCGAGTTATTCTAGTCTGAAAATTTAAAAAGAAATTGATTTATTTCTTTTTAAAATTTAAATTAGTTTTAGCCACTTTTTTTCTGTACTTGCATATATTCTTTTAGTGTCGTAGCCAAAGAGTAAAGCCGTAAGCATGGTACATTGAGTAAAGCCGTAATGCACGATTTTCTACATCTTTTTTGCGAAAAGAAATTCATAGACGTGTTCCTGGGGTCGAAATATATCACCCTTAAAAGTATTTTCAATTATTTAAGACTCACCTTGTATAAGCGTTTTCAGGAAACGCTGGCCGCTTTATCAATTGAAACATAATACCTGTAAGTCTACAAAAATTTTACGGTGCAGATATCGACTCAGAGGAAGACTCGTTTGCGAGAGCGGGGATCTGCAGTACGATGAGTCAGATACAAATAGTGAGACAGAATAGTAAATGTATGATATCTGTTTTGAACGCGGCGAGCGTTCCCTGAAAGCGCTAGAGTAATATCGCGCTTTTGATAACTGTCTGCAGCTGATTTAGCCACCATCTTTTTGTCTGCCCTTTTGCATATGGCTTTTAAAATAAATAAATATGACATTCCACCAATCGGCATGCATGTATGTCATAATTTTTTTCATGCTTCAAATTTCATTTTTTAATCATTTTTAAAATTTCATACATCTTTTGCGTTGTCTGTCGGCATTTTAGCCTAGACAAATGCCTGCCAACGATTTTCCACGTTTCTTAATAATAAATAAAAGCTATTTTCGCAATTATAACTCGTGTACCTTATAATATTTGTAGTGTCAAAATTTCACCCTTTCGATTGGCCGCCCCCGCTTTAAGCCCCGGGATCGCGCTGGCAGACATGACTATTTCATAATGGCTACACAAAAGGATACTTCACACAAAAAATTAGCCATGTAACGATGATAAGGTGTTTAATGTAGCCAGCTCTTAGACTAATAACAATTAATAGCAAATAATGCCCTAATTTATTAACATCTTTATAACCAAACTTCTGTTTATAATACTGTAAGTAATTCTGTACACATCTTTATTACTTTGTTAAGTATTATTATTATACACTTTTCATTTGGTTAATAAAAATTTGAATCTACTCTTCCAGTTTCGTCTTTAGAAACAAAATTGTAAAAAAATTGTTACCTACTTCAAAAGACACTCGCTTAAAAAATTTTGTGTGCACCTCGGCCGTATGATCTTTTTTGACCTCACCTGAAATTTGCGGCCGAGGTGTAGCCGAGGTCAAGATTCGGCCAAAAAAGATCAACTTTACGGCCTTGGTACACAAATAACTATTTTGTTATTTTACAGGCTTTGTTCGTAGTATGCGGTATCCTAACTGGTTGTTATTGTTGCTGTTGTCTATGCTGTTGCTGTAACTTCTGCTGTGGAAAATGTAAACCACGTCCACCCGAAGATACAGGAGATTATCATACACTAAATGTAAGTCAGTTACCAATTAAGTATTTAAAAAAAATTGTTGCATGCTTGTATTTTTTAGTATACTTATTATAATAATTTCTGAGTGTTTTGTAATGTTTTTAAATAATTTCTCTAATATTTGTGTATAGCTTTTTTACTTCAATGTTTAATGTGCATTTTATGCATAATACTTATCAACCAAACCTATGTAAGTATAGAATGATATTTATTTGGAACTAAGGGTTTATGCATTAATTGTTCCTGCGATGAAGGTAAGTAATGTGTCAGCTGAAATGTTATAGTTTAGTAAATAAAGTTTAAATCAAATTAATTTATAATTGAATCAGTTTTGGAATGACATTATTTGTTTTAAATTAATCTTAATTTCTGTTTGTTTTTGAAAACCTATAGGGTAATTCAATAAAATATACATTTAGAGTATTAAAATAATAAAATGGTTTTATATATCCTTTGATATAAACAAATTTTTCCCAGTTGTAATAGTTACAGTTAATAAATCATGATAGCTCATGTATAGTTCATACCAATTAAACTTTTACTTACGTGATTAAGCTTGACCGGCACAGCGTTGCCCACTTTTACATATTTTCTTTTAATCAAAATATTTTAGGAAACAAAAATAAATGAATAATAAATATATAAACAGTTATTATTTACATCAATAAAAATCACCTCCTTAACAGCATTTTAGGGACATAAAGGGCCATTAGTACCGCATTCGCGTTGAGAATATTCTAATAAGGCGGAGATGAGTTTTTGGAACGGCGATTAAGGTATCTTGTACGTTTCGCACTAACTAAAAGAGATTCTAAAAAGAACAATATCAACAATTTTTAAGCTTATAGTATCACAACACAAATCATTTAAACCAAAAACTCGTAAAACAAAACTAAAGTGTCAAAACGAATGACAATGTCAGGAAATAAATAAATAAATGTGACAACTTGATATTTTTTACAGCAGAGCTACCATCTTAATTCCCAGGGGGAAATTTAAATTCCAGTTAGTCAGCCCGGCGCCGAATATGTCCATGGTTGGCAACAATGAATTTAAAAATTGGGCCCTCGATTACGTAACTAAAAGTTTAATTGGTATCGTTTGTATATAGTATTTTATGAATATGTACCATTAATCAAAATTATTTTTATCAAAAGATAAATATCCCAAGACAGATTCAATTACAAATATTTTTGATTTAGGGAGTAGAATCAGCACTAATGTCTTGGTGAAGGTATTGTATAAAATTCTTTTTAAGATTTTATTTTTTTTATATTTCTTTACTTCATCTAATCCTATTTCTCACTCCTTCATCTCTAACATTGAATGAGTTTGTTAACTAACTTTACTATTTTCCTATAAATGTTTTCTTACTATAGTTAAAATTGATGTCAGAATAATATATTTTTACTATTTTCAAAATATCAAGTTTTTGTATCTTTCCTTAACCAACATTAAATCCAACATATAAAATAAATAACAATATTTACTAATCTCTACTAGATATGTATTTCCACATATATCTCAGTTTTAACAACTTTTAGTACAGCTTTGATTAATAAAATAATAGTAAATATACAGGGTGTCCTGAATTGTATCAGTTACAGCCTTTGAATAAGAAGACTAAGGAAGGAGCATATCAAAAATCTGAGGTCCACCGCGATTGGCCTCAAATATGGCCGACTTAAATTCCGGTTTATCAGTGCCGTTCTAATTTTATTTAAGAAATGTAAAACTATGATGTAGGGTAGACGTGGGGTAGACTCAATATTTTTTTTTTTTATTTTACGTTGTGAATAAATGTTGGTAGTTATTAAAATTTTTATAAAAATATAAAATTCTAATAAAAATAGATAAGTTATAATAATTATTTATTAACACAAACATCCGATACGCTACTGAACCAGGTAAGTCAAAGTGACGTATCTAAATTCTTTGACATCTAATCTTTGACAAGTAGTAAATAAAAGCAAAAATGCAAGTAAAAATATATAATTAGTTAATTTAAGAGAATTTCATAAATGATCGGTTTACTACACGTATATATATTATATAGTCACTTACTAGCGAAAAGTTGTTCCATTATTTCACTCGATTTTTGCCGAGATCTACCGCACGCTACACAACCAGCTATTTTAGAGTCTTTTTCGATAAATCGCGATAATGTCACTGTTAATTTAAGTTCTGCCACAATTTCCATCTAGATTTACTACCTTTATACAACTATCAGTAGTAGAATAAATAATAAATAACATAAAATAAGCTCCGTAAAGACTGACAAATCCACAAAATTTCAAATCAAATTCAAATGTGTCAAATGAATCGTCAAACAGAACTGTCAAGGATCCCCACCCTAGAGTGCTTCTTCCGCCCACCATGCATGAATACATGGATAGCATTATGCTCCTTCCTTAGTCTTCTTATTCAAAGGTTACAGCTTACCAGGTGGTTATCTTTTAAATAATTTTGAATAAAGAATACAAGGGCGCAACGGTAAATGGAGGTGGTGTATGAGCTGTATACATAATATATCCAGCTACAGAATATTTGATTTCAAATGATGATATTTAGAAAATTACAGAAAAATTATGTTTTAATGTCAGACAGTAGCTGTCAGTGTGATTTATTCTTTTGCTGAACAAATTATACACGAACACTCGAAAGTATGAAAAACAACAGCTGATATTGAATAATCTGGAGAGATCAAAAGTTTGCAGTATATTATGATTAAAGATTAGAGCATATATAATATTCTTATACAAGTTGTTTAAAATACATGATTTCCGAAACATTTTTAATTCATTTAATCATTGGCATATTAATACGCATGCGCATTGACAAGATGTCATTTGTCAACGGCGTCAGAGTTGGGTTGGAAATGAAGATCGCTGTCATTTTATAATATGTTAAATTATCACCATATAATTTTTATGTCACCGATCGTCATTTGCTAACTTGGCTCCGTATTTTTTCGCCTATACTATTTTTTAACAATGAACCACAATTTTTTTTGTCACATTTGAATGAGGAGGTCTTCACAAACATGGTCATAAAGCATCATTAAAAATCAATTCATAAAGCTACTCTACCAAATTTTATATTTTTATCAATCCGCAGCATATGATGTCTAAAAATCTTGACTAATATGTGGACGGTGTCTAAAGTCTAAACAAAAAGATTAATTGTGACTATATGCGGATAAAAGTCGATTGGTTTCTGTTTTAATCATATTAATTTCTGTATTTTTCGTAAAAGCAAGTAATTCCTAATTAGAAGACCATTTTATAACAAAAAATCATATACTAAAAACAAGAACTTTTTCTTAGTTACTTCTTACTTCTCATATTTTGTCTTGGATGTTACACGTGTCTATGTTGATTGTTATTGAAGCATTGACAAAAGTCAATTTTTTATGGGTAAAATTGATTGCTGTTTTTTTTTCTGGTGAGAATGATTTCTTATTTCAAACGATTTTAACTCTTAAACCCGGTATAGACATAACGTCTTACCTGAAAAACTTATCAGTTATACATTTTGTGTAGACCAAAAGATGAATGTTTTAGCCTGCATCCACATGGGTACGTGATCACGGATCCGTTGTAACCACGTGACTACTGCCAACCAATCAGACTGCTGGATGGTTTTACGTACGTGAAGGTCATCGCGGAGAGAAGTTGGTTAATTTCAACTTCAGTACGTTAGTTCAGATATTCAGTCATTGGGGATTTTTGCTTGGAAAAAAGTCCGGAAGTTTTGCAACTTTGCAGGTTTATAGGTTTTGGGGCCCTAACTAAAATCCATAAAATGCACATTTCCAGACTTGCCGCCGGCGCCGCCATTTTGCCAAGATGGCGCCCAAAATCGGTATTTTGTAAATATCTCGAAAACTATGCGTTTTTCAAAATTAAAGAGAATAAAATTTCCTGTAAAAAAGGTTCTATGAAAATTTTCACTAAAGTCAACCGTTTAGGCACAATTTTGCGTAAAATATGATATATTACGTATAGTCGATTTTCCGAAATCAAATGTCGATTAGGGTTCACTAAAACTCGTTTTAGTTTAGTTTCTTCAATTTTGTCATGAAACAGTGGCGTATCATTAATTCACTCATTAATTTATGAATAATTAATTTTAATTATTGAAAATGTGTACTTGTTTCCACACCACCCAAGAGGTAAAGTATATGGCGTGTTTATTCTAACGTGGTCTCTCCGGAGGCCTATTTCACTAGGTAAATTAAAAACTTTAACTTATCTGCACAAGCCCGACGGACATGGCTCATTGATGTAAAGTCGATCGTGTCTGCTGTGCTGGGCTCATCAGGGTGGTCTCTCAATTCGTCCAACTCTTCATCTTTAGCCGCCAGAGGGATATCTACAGGCAAGTCCAACTCCTCTTCATCGGATTCGTCGAGTGACACTTCAGTGATTTTGTCTCAGCATTTCCCATTGCAGTATGCACAAATCATTGAACATTTTAATCCAGCTTTTCTGCATCCGCAGGCTTTACCACCAGTTGTTGGTTTTGCATTTACAGGATAAAAATTCCAATAGGGATTTTGGAGCTGGATCTGTCAACGTTGTGACTGGAGTAATGCCTGTTTTTGTTTTTTCCCAACCCCATTCTTCGGCATCTTTGGTACAACCAGACCAATGCTGAACCTGGTGGTAAGTTCGCAATGAATGCTGTCCAGCAAGACAATTAATTATTCATAAATGAATTATTATTATATTAAACAAATTAATTATACGCCACTGTTTTATGACAAAATTGAAAAAACTAAACTAAAACTAGTTTTAGTGAACCCTAATCGACATTTGGTTTTAGTGAACCCTAATCGACATTTTTTAGTGAACCCTAATCGACATATCATACTTTACGCAAAATTGTAAAATTTCCAGGGATTTTGTGCCTAAACGGTTGACTTTCGCGAAAATTTTCATAAAACCTTTTTTATAGGAAATTTTATTCTCTTTAATTTTTCTCTCTTCAAATTTTTACGAAAAACGCATAGTTTTCGAGATATTTACAAAATATCGATTTCGGGCGCCATCTTGGCAAGATGGTGGCGCCGGCGGCAAATCTGGAAATGTGCATTTTATGGATTTTAGTTAGGGACCCCAAAATCTATAAACCTGCAAAGTTTCAAAACTTCCGGACTTTTTTCCAAGCAGGCCCCTTTTTTGATCCCCAATGACTGAACTACGTGTTTTCTATCCGTTTTGGGAGCTGTTTGGCGGTTTTCTTTATGGGGTTTGGAACTTGTGTTTGTGTCTTGAAAGTTTGAGTTTTACGGTGTCGGCTGAACAAACGCAGTTTAAATGTGGATATTGTGGCTTTCTAATAAATAGTCACTAAAAAAAACTTTTTTAATTTTCTGACGATAACTTGATCGTTGCCACACAGTTTTCTTTTTCAAGATAATAACAAACAAAAGATAATTATTACTAGTCATTCTTTCAAAAAACTAGATTCTGGCAGAAAATAAACAATTTACACAGAAATATTAATAAAATACGGCAATTCAAAAGTTCAAAACATTAAAAAAATAGTCCACAGAACCAAACATCAATAAAACGAAATAACAATTGACAATATTGACAATCACGGATACGTAACAACGGATGCTCTATTTGGATGGCTTAAAATTCACGTATACGTTTAACGGATACGGATGTCCGTGATCATGTGGAGGCAGGCTTGTACTGAATTAAGACGTATTAAAACGGATGACCGTCTAGACAGCTGATAGCAGTTTTCTAGACTGTCTTTCGTTTTAAAACGATATGTCTAATATTCAGTTGTAGAGAGTAGACTGACAATTTATAAAATAATACTAAAATAAAAACAACAAACCTGAAAAAATAATTATTTTTTTAGGGATATTTTATGATAGCTTTGAAATCTGTAAACCAAACTCACATACATATAAGTGTTGTACTTTTTTATCGTATTTTATTTTATTGTCCCATTAAAATATTATTCTGATAATATAAAGTTATAGGTAATTACAGTTTTTACATTCTTTTTACTTTTAATTTGAAAAAATATTCTACGTCGTAGTAAAAATTCAATTTATAATAAATTTTAAGATAAATATCTGTAGCTAGTCCAATGATCAAAAATGTGTGTTATAAATCTGTATAGACTTATGAGTTTTGTTTGTTGTCTATACCTATTATTTGAAACCGTAGACCTTCAGATTTTTTTCATATGGAATTTACATAAATGAAATATCTATTATATCAAAATTTATCATTTTGATGCTCAACCCATTATTCTAAGAGTGTGAATAGGGTCAAATTTTCTATTTCACGCTGTAAATGTTTCAACTTTGTACAATTTCACAATTCATTTTCAATTTTCAATATTGATATATAATATAAATTGTAAAAGAAGGCTAAATTTATCAGTAGTATGGCAAGGAATTTACATATCATTTTTTCCATTTTTTACATTTTTGGTTTTGTGAGTTCTGACTGTAGTGATGTTTTCAGCGTGAGGGTGGGCCAAGTACGGGTCAGCCAGTGATAACTCAACCAGGTAAAAGACGGGTAAGTTTCTTTGTTGGCCAGTTTTTACTTTTTATCTATATATTTATTATGAATAGTTTGCTTTTTGTACTTCTTTTTAGGAGTAATGTGTTTCGATAGAGTTTAGAACCACTTTCTGGAAGTTGCACTGTTTTGTGAAGTTCTTTTCTAATCTCTTTTAAATAGTACTCCACTAAAACATAACAGTTTACAAATATCTGGACATTTTGAAATTTCACAGATACATTTTTCAGTTTCTTTTTGCTTGAATACAGATTATATATATCACAGAACATATTTGTAATCTTTGTATGTATTATATTATAATTGCAGTTTATCAGTTTATAAACGTGTGGCATACCGGGTGCGTCTCAAAAGTGGCTCACCCCTATAACTTTTTTCTTTACATAGATAAAAAAACGAGATTTGGTATGTTAGTATATGACAGAAATTAGAATTGATTGACGTATTCAATTGTTTTTGGTTACTTCCTGTTTCACTGGAAATGACTACAACTTTTGATTTTTAAATGGCACCCCGGTACATTTTTATTTTATTTGATAGAAAATAACACTCCGAATAGAATAACATATCATATGTCAATTTTTGACATTTTAGCTTAATAAAAAATAATATTTTCAATTTCAATCTAGAGTGTCATGGCTATGTAAAAAACGCTAATTTTTAATCAAGGAGCTTTGGAAAAATAGATTTGATCGTCTAATCTTTTTAGTGTCTTGTTCTGGCCGGTTAAAAGATGCCCAAATCGTGTTTTTAATCATATCTCAATTTTTTCAAATGAACGAGGGTCGCTCATTAGCATATTTGGAAAAATCATTTTTTTACGAATAATTTGATACCACACACTTGGTATTTTGAATCAAATTTTCGTTATGAACCGAATGTCATAATTTCAAATTAACCATATGCGAAAATGTCAAAAGTTGACATATGATATATCATTATATTCAGAATGTTATTTTCTATCGAATAATGTAAAAAATACCCAGGGGGCTATTTAAAAATCAAAAGTTGAAGTCATTTCCGGCGAAACAGGAAGTGACCGAAAACAACTGAATACGTCAATCAATCCTAATTTATGTCATATACTAATATACCAAATCTCGTTTTTTTAACTGAAAGCATAAAAAAGTTATAGGGGTGAGCCACTTTTGAGACGCACCCGATATAAATACAAGGTGAGTCTTAATTAAGACTCATTCTGTATATTATCTATAAGTATAAACATACACCGTATGATCGAAACAAAATGTCTTGGCTTGGAAATGACTATCGATGAATGTCATCATAAAATTTTACATATAAAATGACAGCGATCGTCAATTCGCTTTTTTTTGATCTTATTTTATATTCTATATGTATAGATCTATATAAACAATTTTTATGGAAAAACGTTTATTTGTTTACTGTTTGATTATAGAACTTTTTGACTTCACTATACCGGGTGCGTTTCAAAAGTGGCTCACCCCTATAACTTTTTTATTTTTTAGATAAAAAACGAGATTTGGTATATTAATATATGACATAAATTAGGATTGATTGACGTATTCAATTGATTTTTGTCACTTACTGTTTCACCGGAAATGACTACAACTTTTGATTTTTAAATGGCACCCTCGGTATATTTTTGTGTCAACTTGATATTTTCGCTTTAAAAAATCGTATTTTAAACATCAATTTAGAATGCCATGGCTGTGCACACTAATTTTTAATCAAGGAGCTTTGGAAAAATATATTTAGTCGTCTAATGGTTTTTCCTGTCTTGTCCTGGCCGGTTAAAACATGGCCAAATCGTATTTTTTCAAATGGAACAATGGTGGCTCATTAGAATTTATGGATACATATAAATAATTTGGTACCAAACACTTGGTATTTTGATTGTTATGAATCGCATGTTACAATCTCAAATCAACCATATGCGAAAATGTCAAAAGTTGACATATGATATGTCGTTCTATTCAGAATGTTATTTTCTATCGAATAAATTAAAAAAAAATACCGAGGGTGTCATTTAAAAATCAAAAGTTGTAGTCATTTCCTGTGAAACAGGTAGTGACCAAAAACAATTGAATACGTCAATCACTCCTAATTTATGTCATATACTAATAATAATAATAATAGCTCCCGTATATAGCGTTTGACGCCTTGGGAGTAGCAAGGTACAGCTTGCCATGCTAGAGCCGTTCGGTATACAAGGAAGGTAATGTGGCTAGCACTACGCTTCAACCGCCTATTATTACTTCAGGATTGTGAATCCAAAGTACTCATTTAAGGCTGAGTCGACCTAGGTACCCAAACTATTTTTATTTTAATAAAAATAGCCGGCTGATGAAATGCCGGGTGTGGAATTCGATCCCACTATCTTGAGATTGGTAGACGAGAGCACAGTTTAAAGAATACATACATATATTTATATTCTTTAAACTGTGACGAGAGCCTGTACCTCTACGCCACCGGGCACCTTTATGTCATATACTAACTTACTAAATCTCGATTTTTATCTGAAAAAATAAAAAAGTTATAGGGGGTGAGCCACTTTAGAGATGCACCCGGTATAACGTTTTTGCTGAAATATTCATAATTCTCTGTTACCAATATCACAGAATTATGTTTTGATAGCTGTTTCTTTTAAGAGCTAGACCAGAAATCGCTGTGGCGATCTTGTTCTTTTCCGTTATTTTTTGGATGTCATCGGTCAAAAATTTAAGTCGAAAGTATATTTTGTTCTTATGGTTTCTGTTGGGTATATGGAACAAGTCAGTTACCTATTTATTTAAAAGTACTTAACGTATACTCTAAATCTCTAAAGAATACCTAAAACCTTGTTTTTTCTTGTCAGAGATGTCAGTAACCAATATGTTATTCTTATTACTTAAGGTAAATTTCGAAATGTTGCCTTTTTGAATTAAACCCAATGTTAGGGTTCCGTACCTCAAAAGGAAGAAACGTATCCGTTATAGGATCACTTTGTTGTCTGTCCGTCTGTCTGTCAAGACCCGTTATCTCGGGAACGCGTGGGGTGTCGAGTTGAAATTAAAACCATATATTCTACAGTCCTTTGAACCTGTGAAGAAATTAAACTTCTAGGTTAACGTAAAAAAAACGATACGGCCGTTTAAGCTGCAAAAGACGTATATTTCGACACTCTCAAGGGAATCAAAATCTATAGGGTATTTTCAAAATATATCCGGTGCGTCTCGAAAGTGGCTCACCCCTATAACTCTTTTATTTTTTCGGATAAAAAAACGAGATTTGGTAAGTTAGTATTTGACCTAAATTAGGATTGATTGACGTATTCAATTGTTTTCAGTCACTTCCTGTTACCGGAAATGACTACAACTTTTGATTTTTAAATGGTACCCTCGGTATTTTTTTTACTTCATTCGATAGAGAATGACACTCTGAATCGAATGACATATCATATGTCAACTTTTCGGTCAGTATTCGCTCAAAAACAAATTGTATTTTAAATTTCAATCTAGAGTGCCATGGTTGTGGTAAGAACACTAATTTTTAAGCAAGGAGTCTTGAAAAAATAGATTTGGCCGTCTAACGTTTTTAGTGTCTTGTCCTGGCCGGTTATAAAAAATGCCCAAATCGTATTTTTAATCATATCCCAATTTTTTCATGTTGAACGAGGGTGGCTCGTTAGCATATTTGGAAAAAACATTTTTTTACCAATAATTTGATACCACACACATGGTATTTCAAGTTAAATTGTCGTTATGAACCACATGTTATAATCTCAAATAAACCATATGCGAAAATGTCAAAAGTTGACATATGATATATCATTATATTCAGAATGTTATTTTCTATCGAATAATGTAAAAAATACCCAGGGGGCTATTTAAAAATTAAAAGTTGAAGTCATTTCCGGTGAAACAGGAAGTGACCGAAAACAATTGAATACTTCAATCAATCCCAATTTATGTATATAGTAACATATCAAATATCGTTGTTTTATCTGAAAAAATAAAAAAGTTATAGGGGATGAGCCACTTTTGAGACGCACCCCGGTATACGACATGATTTTCTTCTTACCTCTACTCTCCATAAGTTCATCTAATCGAGGGTACCAAAATCTAGGTTTTATTACAGGACGATGGCAGCGACGACGAACGAGCTGGTTCGCCAGTGACAAGTCAGCCTTCCCCTAAGAAGGGGCCTAATAACCCAGTATATGCTATGCCACCTCCGCCATCTGCTGGTGAGAGTGCCGCTTTAAATCAAGGCGATGCACCTGTCTATTACACTCCCGGTAAGTGAGACTATCAAGTAAAGTGAACGCAATATGATACCAACCGGACCAACTCATACATCATGCGTCAAAATATATGTATTATAGTCTGTCCAATATAGAGGAACTGCGGTTGTCTGACATTTTCATTTATATGTAAACTGTATTTTCTGTCATTTGTTGTATGTTGTCTCTCAAAATCTTTTCTGACTTTTTGGACAGACTTTAATATAGGACAGTATTGCTGGAAATGCCATTATCAGTGTTATATTAGATTAAGTATAGAATATACAGGGTGTCCCAGGCTGAGCGTGCATTAAAAGTATCTAGAGAACCACAATATCTAGATAGGAGATTTTTTGCACATCATTGTTTTACAACGAGATCTATCGATTAAAAATATTTTCAATATGGCGGAACTTCCGGAAATACCGGAAGATGACCACAACTTTCTTACTAGTGATTACCACAGCCACTGTGACATAAAGAGAAGACATGTGGCTATCTATTATAAAAAGTAAATTGTTCAAATGACATATAATAATGGCGGCAGCTGTCATGGAATTGAGCGATTAAAAAATTATCTTAAATCATTTTTTTCAAATGGAAACCCACTTTTATTATTTCACTAATGAAGAGGTTTTTCAATTCGTTACTTTTTGAGTATACATAAATAATAAATAAATAAATAAATAATACATTTATTGTCCAACAGGTATACACCCAAACAAAAGACAATTAATAATAGAAATATTAAGATATAAATAATAATAATAAATAAATATATAAGCAGTTAAGTTGCAAGAATCCTTATATAAAAATAATAATAACATAATATATAAAAAAATAATGATATGAAATATATTTAAATTCTTCGTCACGTTACCACGGCATATAAATCACACGGCAGGCCGACTCGCTTTGGCGGGAACGCTACGCGCATACCCTTGCGCACGCCGCCATTATGGATGCCAGCGATAGAAATTAACCAGTGTCGTAGTATATTAAAATAATGTATACGGAAGGTAGCGCTTAAACTCCTGTCCCGATATTAAAGGATGGCTATAGAATTTCAATGCATTTCCTACATAAGTCTATCCTTGGTTTGTAGGAGGTTTGACTAAACAAGGATGAACCTATGTCTTGAAACCATTCGACTCGATTTTCTGTCCTCCTTCGATACTGGGACGTAAATCCTCTCATTGCTCTTATGGGGAGGCCGTCGTATATTTTATTTAAACGTATTTGGTCATCGATAACATACAGTTACGGCAGCTTTGAGTCAGTAGCGTGCGGCTTAATTTATTTCATTCTTTTCTTGAGTGATATATTTTGTTTTTTTTAGTTTTATTTTTGTTTATTGTGTGATATATTTGGTTTTTGTAGTTTAGTAGTACAATGAAAGTCCGAAATTCTTTTAGTTTTAATACTCAGTCATTGTCTACGGCATTCAAAGTAATTTTTATTATTAGGTATCCTGCAAAATGACAAACAAGATTCATTTCTAAATTACTGGTTTTCTGATTATCCGTATCTATTTTTAATTTTTATGGATAGCTCATGACAATTCAGAGAGAAAAGAAAAGAGGTCTCGTTTTTTATAAGGTCTGCCGTTTTTAATAAGATGTTTGCCAGATCATTTTGGCAATTTTCAGTACCCGTATGTAATATTCGGACACAAAGTTTTTTAAATGTTCTTCTAAACTGGATGAATTTATCCTGGATGGGAATAATGATAGGTTTACAAGATAATAAAATTACAAGAATTACAAGATAAAGTTGTACCAGATTTTTATGAGTGCAACTGTACACTCAAATCTCGCGACAAGCTTTTATATAATATAAAATTGTGTAATGACGTTATAAGTTTATAATAAAAGTTTTAAAGAACAAGTTTATTTTTTCTTTTTAATGTATTTAAATAAAAGCTTGTTTTTAAAAAGTTTTTTTCTTAAATTTATTTTTTACTTTTTAAGTTTGCTGGTTTCTCAGTGCCACACACTTAAACTCAATTCTTTTTCTTAAATAACTACCTATGGGCATCCTAATAATACGTGTACCGAATTTCACATAAAAGGAGAACTTAAAAAAACGACAGCTGTCAAATTTGACAGTTCAAATGTGAGGCAAATAAAATGAAAACCGACTATGGGGTAGGGAGCATCCAATATATCGATTTTTATCAAAATCGGACAACTTTGAGATTTTTTTGACAGCTGTCAAATTTGACAGCTCAATTTTTTTTCTTTCCTTTTAACCCATGGCCATCCTATATATAGATTTTTATCAAAATCGGACAACATTGAAATTTTTTTGACACCTGTCAAATTTGACGGCTCAATTTTTTTTGACGGCTTGGCTTTTAAAAATATAGCCAAACATTTATATTTAAATTCATCAGTTACTTTTCTTCCTTTAGCTGATTTGTTAATTTGTGCAATTTGAATATTAACAAAATTTGCTATGTCCATTGATGGACATAATTTGTACGTAGCCTCTTTAGATTGTTCAATAGATAATTTATTGGGTATTTCTTTAATTCATGTTTGTAACTCCTGGCATGTTTTTTTAATTTTAATTGTCTATTCTCTAAAGTTAAATGTTTAATTGATTTTTTCATTTTTACTTTTTCAGGAGTATGCGCGGTTACCGATTCATTTGTTTAGATAAAAGTATTGTGTAAATAAAATTCAGTTTCAGCCAATTACAGTTTTTTTTAATACGACCCTGTCTATCAATAGTTTCTTTTCTGGGAAATTTTTTGATACGTTTTAATCCGGTCCTGACTCGGCACCCATAATGGTGTTTTCAAGGTCAAATTTTATAGAAATTTTAAACAATGGGATCTGGGCAGAGTTAGCCTGCCGTGTGATTTATATGCCGTGACGTTACTATGAGTGCCGTTCTTCTGTAAATGTCCTATACATGTTCCTATACCTAAAATAAATCGTGTTTAAGTTATTTAAGATTTAAGTTGAAAACGTATATTTTTCTTGATTTTATCTAGCTTCCTTTGACATTAAGTGTCAAACGGTCAGACAGTTTATTTCCATCTGTCAGAAAACGAATTATTTGAATTTCCTATATTATAAATACTGCCTGCTTAAGAGTTTAAAAAGTGTGTTTATAAAAATTTATCTCGTATTTTCGCTCTTTAGTGATATGTAATAGTTGATATTAATAATATTCCGTATGATCGAAAAAAACCAACGCAAAGTTGTTTCGGAAATGATGCTGCTCTTTGAACAAAGCGTCACAATATGACATGGCCCTGATCTAGTGTTTTACATCACTTGACGTTTAAAGTCATAGGCTACTGGTTAAAATCAAGAAAAATATACGCTTTAAAACTAAATCTTAAATAACTTAAAATCGATTTATTTTAGGTATAGGAACATGTATAGTTAAAAAGTAACGAAAGCCTTTTCACTAGTGAAATAAAAAAGTGGGTTTCCATTTGAAAAAAAAAATGATTTATGATAATTTTTTAATCGCTGCGGCAGCAGCGGCCATTATTATATGACATTCGAACAGTTTAATTTTTTAAATAGATAGCCACATGTTTTCTCTTTATGGCACAGTGGCTGTGGTAATCATTAAATTTGACGTTTAGGCTATACACATATTTTTGACAGTTTTTTGTAAAACTATGATGTACAAAAAATCTCCGACCTAGATGTTATAGTTCTTTAGAAACTTCTAATGCACGCTCAGTCTGGGACACCCTGTATACTACATGCTGTAAATGCTTTGATACAGAAACGCGTCCTCGTTAACTTACCAAAAAAATTGAAGGGTCCAGGGGAAAAACACGATAAGCGCCATTCTACTAATTTTACAGAGCACTGGACGGTTGATGGTTATCAGGTTCTTTCCGTGTATTCTAGATTTTTACTAGGCATATATCATAACTTATTGCCCTGCAGAGTTTATACATTTTTTATAGACCAGTTCCTACTATAATATTGTAAAATCGTAAAATTACCAAATTGACGCTTATCAAATTTTTCCCCTGGACCCTTCATTTAATATTGATATATACAGGTAAATAAAAAAAGTGTAAAAGATTTAGCGCCAAGTAGTGTATATGTTTCGGGTAATACGCGAAATTAGTTAATTCGCGTATTATTCGGTTAAAACGCGAATTAACCAACACAATCGGTTAATGCTTAAAGAAACAAATATATTTTAAAAATGTTCGCAAATTATCCGGTTAGAACGCGAATTATACAATATGATTGGTTATATCTGCTAACACTTGGCTATTTTGCGAATTAGCCAGATAATATGTTAAGCGAGCAATTAATAATCTTACCAGTGTAGCAATTGTTTCCCAGTTAAAAATAAAACAAAAATCAGGCAGATGCGTACCTACTTTAACCACATGCTGCTTATTAAAACAGGATAGGCTTTCCAAAAAGCCATATATGGGTATTTCGCCACTGCAAGAAAATAGGATAAATAAATAGCTATGATAGGCTTGAATTACATAACATATTTTATATTATTTGGCTGTATTTTTTGCCTGCTTAACACTTATGTTTTTATAATCATTACAGTTTAAATAGCCGGTTTTTGTCACTTTTTGTAACTGCGATTTTAAAAAAGTTTTCATTAAAACGCATTTTGTTTAAGCTTTCTACCACACGATTGAAAAGAAAAGAGCGTCAAAGACGGCTGTGGAATGATTCGCGAATTATCCTTTTAAAACGCGAATAAATCAACACAATCGGTTAATGCTTAAAGAAACAAAATTTGTTTCTAAAAAAATATATTATTTTAAAAATGTTCGCAAATTATCCGGTTAAAACACGAATTATACAATATGATTGGTAAAAATGTAAAAATTATTTTAAATGGTTTAGTTTAAAATTAAAAAAATATATTTTTACGAAATAGTTTTGTGCTTCTGAAAACGTTCTATCCTTTTTTAATCTTCTTATAATTAGTGTTAAGTTTTATGTCAATTTTTAGTAAAAGGCGTCGACAAAATTATCATCGATTGTCATTCTCCAGCCGGCTTTGCCACAGTTTTTTTTTATTATGGGGTATATTGCTGCCCTTGTTCCCAAAGATGCAATACTAAACACAATAAACGTTATATATATATATATATATATATATATATCTTGGGTAATTCGTGGTGGATAATACGCGAATCTAACACATAGTCGGGTTTTATCCATTGCATTTGGATAATTCGCGATTTAACCGGATAAAACTTGATTTTCATGCATCCGTTATACGTTAATACGTTGGTCCGACGGTGCTCTGATTGGTCATAGCGTTTTCGCGCCACTTTTCATCCGTAAATATTTTAGTTCAGCCCCTATGTTCAGCCCGTGAACGGACCCGTTCATATGATAACGGACGTTTTGACACTTTTTTGACAAATTTAATCTAACCCATATCTAACCTTAATAAAATATATATATAAGTAAAATAGCAAAATCGTTATGGAAACGAAAATATAAAATGACACCAACGTATATCCGATAAACGGAGGCATGAAAATGCAATAAATTTAAAAACTTAACTAATTATAATAACCTTATTAACTAACCAATCAGTCTTTAAATTCTACCAATAAAATTAATATCGTATCAACGTATCGTCGGACAACGGATGCATGAAAATCAAGCTTAATTCGCGAATTAACTAATTTCGCGTATTACCCGTAACAAATACATATATGAACAAACGGCCAACGGTAAATCTTCGGTTTTTATACTAGTTCCAACCATATTTCAAAAAACTAATATTAAGTGCTTTATTTTCATTACTAACACTTGCAGGGATATCAGCTTTAATGGTATCATTTAATTTTTGTGTTTTAGATCTAAAGTAAGAAGTCAACATTTTAAATTGCAGATATGCGTGTCGATTCCAAGCGATGAGCAAAGAGGATTGATTACAATAAGGAAGCTTAACCAATTGACAAAAATTACATCAATCACCTTTTTGCCTAGTCAACTTAAACATAACTACAATTATTATTATGCACTGGTATTATTGTCTAAACACTTTATTTTGTCTATTTTTTGAGGCTGTAATGGAGTATAAATAGTAAAAAGAAAATATAAGTATTATTTGTATACTTTAATTCACTGATTGAAAAATGAAAAATGAAGTTATATATTTTTATTTCTCGTTTTATTAAATTTAATTAGTTTGTACTTTTCCATATTGAAATGCCATAAATTTTGAGACTGAGTAATTCATGGTAATATGTCCGCTGCTAACAGTTTTGATGTTAATCAAAATTAACGTCTTTAGACAATGAAATTTCAGTGCTATATAATATGTTTAAGTTCAGTCGTCCGTATAAATTTTATAGCTACATATTCAGGTGGCTTGTACAGTCAGTTATTACGAACCAATAATGCTAATAAATCTATATAGCTTTCAAGATAATTCAGTTTTTATCTGTGGTATTTTAATTTATGTATTATTACTCTCAATGTATAAGTAACTTTATTAGTTTTTTATAGGTTATAAGGTATATTTTCAAGAAACATAGATAGGTAGTTGATTATGTACACTTTGATATGTATTTTAAAAATTATATTTCATAATGTAAAATGTTAAATAGTAGCATATCATTGTTCTGAATAAAAGAGTAAGAGTTTAGTTTATTAACAGAATTAAATTATTTAAAATATTTATAACTCAAAATACAAGGAAAATGTAGTAGTTATATTTTTCAACATTCGCTTTTTACAAGTTCTACAGGGTTGTTCACCCCATACGACACGGAGTATTGTAGCTAAACGATTAGATTTTTGCAAATTATAAGTTTTGAGTTCGTTGAAGGACTATGAGAGCTACAATTTAATAATATTTTTACAAGATACAGATGTGCCTCAGATACAGATGTGTCCCAAATAAATCAAAAATATCAAAATTGTATTTTTTAAATGGAGCACCCTGTATATTATTACATTTTTACTGTCTACGATTAAAATAAAGGTAAATTTGATTAAGGTTTATCACACTTGAACCTTACCGTTTTTGAAATATTATCAATTTTCTGAAATTGCAGTGAAAATTTTAAAGCTTCATTTCTCCAAGGGTATCAAAGTTTTTAATACTAAATATTTACTGAAGTTTATTTATCGATCAGTTATTGTGTTGCAATAATAAAAATAATACTACCTCATACAGAGTGTCTAAAAATTTGTTTTAAATAATTTCTAGCTTTAACGGCCATAACTTGTTTAATTTAAATGGAACACCCTGTATATTTTAGGAGAATCAGATGCACAAATTAATTGTCTATCAAATTGTATTATACTATTTTTACCATCCTTTCAAGTTTTCGTAGAAAATGCATTTTCTTATAATTTAGACCTCATTTATCAATATACCCATGGAAATTGACATTTTAGATTGTTTTTAAAGCAAAAAATGTACAAAATGTACAGGTGCTAAAAACGATAATATTACTAGCCCATTTGTATACTAAAAGAAAACTATTTAAATCTTTATAAAAGAGTATACCATTAATTAAATATACCACCATTATTTTCGCCCAGATATTAATTAATTACATACTTAATTATGGTAGTTAATAAATGATTCTAAATAAATGTGGATTTGAATCAGAAATTAATATAATAATAAAAATAAGCATTCTTCAAAAAATTAAATCAAATTTTTAAGGTGTTACTTTTTACTACAGTCTAATACACATACAAAATTCAGTTTTTTTTTAGTATTTGGAGCAATTATTATATTATTAATCAACGCAAATAGTCAATTAATGTAGTTTGAATACTGGATCATGTTAAAAAAAGGAACAATCTTTTTAACAAATATTTAAACAGTTTTTTATTTTTTAATGAAATAAACGAACTATATCGACAATATTAGTATCTGTATCTTTAAAAATTTGTTACATTATTAAAAATAATCTAAAATGTCGACATTCCATGGGTATATTGATAAATGAGGTCTCAATTATAAGAAAATGCATTTTCTACGAAAACTTGAAGAGATAGGTAAAAATGGTTTAATACAATTTGATAGACAATTAAATTGTGCATTTGACACTCATAAAATATACAGATTGTTCCATTTAAATTAAACAAGTTATTGCCGTTTAAAGCTAGTAATTATTTAACATACATTTTTAGACACTCTGTAAAGGTAGTATAATTTTAATTATTGCACCATAAAATTTAGTAAATAGAAATACTTCAGTACAATATTTCGTTTTAAAAACTTAAATACACTTAGAGAAATGAAGCATTAAAATTTTCACTGCAATTTCAGAAAATTGATAATATTTCAAAAACGGTAAGGTTCAAGTGTGATAAACCTTAATCAAATTTACCTTTATTTTAATCGTAGACAGTAAAAATGTAATAATATACAGGGTGCTCCATTTAAAAAATACAACTTTGATATTTTTTATTTATTTGGGACACATCTGTATCTGAGGCACATCTGTATCTTGTAAAAATATTTTTAAATTCTAGCTCTAATAGTCCTTCAACAAACACAAAACTTATAATTTGCAAAGATCTAATCGTTTAGCTACAATACTCCGTGTCGTATGTGGTGAGCAACCCTGTATACAGTGGATGCTAAGAAGTAAAAACGTGGAATAAACATATTATTTAGTCATCAGAAAAGCATTTTGTGTTTCAGTCCCAAAAAAGATGTTTAAAATCGTGCATTTTCTTTTAAATTTTCCTGTATATTTTAGAAAACTTTTTAGAATTGCCTGTTCACCGCAAATTTTCCCAGGATATAATTTCTTAAAATCTCTTTTCTTAATCTCTGATATTATCATGGTTGAGGCACGAAAAGGGATGCACTGCAACAGTGACTCTCAAAATAAATTTCTTTAAAATTTTCAAACTTGAATTACTCGGTTATTTTGGACTTATTTGCAAAACGTTTAAGAGAAAATATATTTCTTTTATCTAGATCTACCAGTCCTGAAAATATTTGCACTTATTTAAGACTCACTCTATATAGCCAACAACTGTCGCTGTCAAATATTAATTCACTGTATTACATAAATTTATGTTATTTAGAGTACCTATTAAAAATAGAATACACTACTCAAAACAATTAATTATCGCATATTTGAATAAAAGTAATTGGTGAGTTTTTTAGGATAATTACAGAACGCACTGGACATGTAATTTTTAGTCGGCCGACTATTTAGTTGCAAAAGTGGAAACAATACATTCTTATGGAACCGATTAGCCCAATATTTGATTGCATTGCGTAGCCTTAGGCTATATGCTGACAGGCAATTTTTAATCGGCCGAGTATTTAGTTGCATATTTGGAACCAATATATCCTTACGGAGCCGCGCTCACATGCAATCAAATAGTCGGCTCCATAAATACCTATGTATTGTTTTCACTTTTGCAACTAAATAGTCGGCCGACTAAAAATTACAGGTTAACGCATAGGCTTATTGTTTAGAATTCCCTTTACAGTTTCCAAACTAAATGGTACAACTATTTTTAGCAATGTTCTTCTCTTATTTAAATTGGTCTGAACTAAAAAGCAAATGTTGAAATAATGTAAATTAGCTATAACTTTCAAATTGATACAAATATATTGTTCTCTTTAATAACGTCTGCGTGTGTTTAGTAAACTATAAAGGAAAGCTTATTTGCCGTTTCAGTGATTATGTACTTAAGTCACTTGTACCTTAATGGTATACAATATTTATAACACTCGAAGGTAAATATGGATGTCTATGGGAACTGCATAGAATATTGGAAATTAAATTTATGTACAGTGTCTCGTGTCTCCCACAAAACTGCATCAAATGGGCAATTTTAATGTTTAATAATTAATATCTTAATAATATTCGATGTAGTTTTTGTAGGTGACAATATATAGTTTAGTTAGATTGACATCGAAGTTAAATAGTATTTTTTAAATCAGTTTAATCAATTGTAAGGTAATCGATTACTTCTTAAGCCATTTACGATTATACATATGTATTTTCTTTATAAATCTTAGCGTTGTGATTACTGTTTTATTCCTAATATTAGTTTTTATGGTGACAATGAATATTATTAAATTAATTAATTTAAAAGTTACATCTTTTAATATTTTTTATAGCCAATATTAGCGTGATGTTGATGATACGTCCTATGTTGAAGATAAATAATAGTTTTATAGAGAAAAAAAATGTCAGTTCTGTTGGCAATAGTGATCTGTGGTCCTGACATACCAAAGTCTGTCCAACGAGACAGGGAATATTTTGACAGACAACATCCCAAACAGACAGAAAATTTAATTTACTTTTGAATTAAAAACAGGCAATAATTGTCACTGTCATGTATTCTCCCGTCGCGTTGGGCAGACTCTATAAAAATATAAGTATTAGAACTTGCTTTAAAGGTAGTTACAAAATTAAGTATACATTTCTCAGTAACGTCTTATTAAACCAATTTTTATCAAACTTCTAATATGATTGTTACAGATAATTTTGATTTTGATGTTTTTGAAACCATGTTTTGTATTCAAATTCATTTTTCATTTGTACTGTTGACACTATATAATTTAAAGATATCACATGTACATTATAAGTCAAAATTTATTTCAATTTTTACTCATTTAAAAATAAATTAACATACATAGAGTTAATACTTTTATATTAGGACTTAAAAATATTAACTAATAATAGTTTACCCATTCTTATGATCGCTTATTATATAAATTAAAAAGAAAGTTTTTAATTGAATTGTTTATTTTGATTTCAACAATATCAGAACTTTGTAATTTGGTATAATTTACTTAAAGGAGAATTTGTATGAAGAGAAATAATTGTAGAATACACACACACACACATTCCGTCTATTATCAACATATCTTTAGTTATTGTTTAAAGTTAACAGAATGCTTTTATTCGACACATAAAATTATAGTCAGAAATGAAGAGGTACACAATTTTTTTATCATTTCAGTATAGCCTCGCTCACTCAAATGATGTCTACCTCTACCGGGTTCGTTTCAAAGTGGCTCACCCCTATAACTTTTTTATTTTTTCAGATAAATCAAGATTCGGTATGTTAGGGCTCGAACACACTGACGACCAGGTCGCACCGGTCAGGCTGCTGATACCTCTAAAACCATTAAATCAAATGATACCGCGCACACTAACGTCCTGGCCGTCCGTTGGTCGTGGCGACCGGTAGACTGCACTATAATATTATAATTTTCTGCCGCTTGTTGCCGGTTTTCTTCCAAATTAATAATTTTTCAGATGAAATCCCTCAAATTCAACGCACAATATTTTATTTTCTATAAGACATAGTGTTTTAGTGTAGTTTTTGCACACGTGCAGAAAATCCAAAGAAATAGTATACAGACTGGATCAAAGAGAAACTTAAATCTAGTCCCTTTTTTTATCAAGGGTCGATTCTAGTAAATATTCAAAACATTTTTACTAGACATACTCTATTTATGGTTGGTATGATACCTGTTATTATACCTTCGAGTTTCGATGTTAAAAAATAAAAAAATCATATTTAAAGTTTTCCTACAACCACTTGTTTTTTTTTATTAAATAATTTTTTTTAGTTGTATTATAGTCATGTACAAGGAGGACAACTGTATTTTAAATATTATATTTAATTTAACGTTTTTCAAACAGAGTCCATTAGACTATATTTCTACTAGGTACATTATTTAAAAAAAATAAGAGTAAAAGTAAATTAAACATTCATAAAAATAGAAGTATTTACTGTTGTAGATTCTCAGTAACAATAAAAAAGAGGAATTTATATTGTAAATATTGAAATAACTGGAAGCTAAACTTTCTACCTGCTTATATTTAGAGCCAGTGTCTGACGACCTTTTTTACGATGGCCCCTATGGATGGCCCTAATATGTTTACTTCTAAAGTCGATAAGAGCCATCAGTAGAAGTCCATATGAGTAGAAAAAAGAAACAATGTCTCCCTTTTTGTCGGTCGCGCGTACACAATGCTTTATGTTCGGCCTATTTGTTCTGCTTGTTCGTGCGCGCTCGGTTCTTTCGGGCTAAAATGCTTAAGATGGACGCACCTTTAGGAACAATACTGTTTTTGTCCTTTATCGATATAATGCTGAAAATCTCACGAGTTACATGTCTCGCTCTACACATATTAAATTACATAGACGTAGGATGTAGAATATTCTGTTATGAAACGACTGATGGAATAGCAGGCGTGGCGGATTTGAAAAACATGGAAATAACGACGTTATGGTGTAGTCGGGGTTGGAAATTTTACTTACTCCATTTACCATACCAGTATTTATTAACGAAATATTCAAGAATATTTTAAATGCATTATTTAATATTAGAACATTTAATGAGCTCATGAATAGTAACTTCGCTTTTTAGTTAACTCGGATATTTTAACATTTCTGAAACTTAATTCTTTCTGAAACTATATTTTCTAATTGGTAAAACGTAAAAAAACGTTAGATCTGACAACTCTGTTGAAATTGGTCGTTCATCTGGCCGCAGCTATAAACTCAATACATCCGGCTAGGTCGTTGCGACCTGGTCGTCAGTGAGTTAGAGCCCTTAGTATATGACTTAAATTAGAATTTATTGACATATTCACTTATTTTCGGCCACTTCCTGTTTCACCGGAAACGACTACAACTTTTGATTTTTAAATGGCACCCTCGTTATTTTGTTACAAAATGACACTCATGTCAACTTTTGACATTTCGAATATGTTTTTTTTGAAATTGCATCATGCGATTCATAACGACAATTTGAATCGACATACTAAGTGTGTGGTACCAAATTATTCGTAAAAAAATGATTTTTCCAAATATGCTAATGAGTCACCCTTGTTCCATTTAAAAAAATTGAGATATGAGTAAAAATACGATTTGTGCATCTTTTAACCGGCCAGGACAAGACACGAAAAACATTAGACTACTAAAACTATTTTTCTAGTGCTCCTTGATTAAAAATTAGTGTTTTTCACACAGCCATGACACTCATGAAATTTAAAATACAATGTTATTTTAAGCGAAAATGTCAAAAGTTGACATATAATATGTCATTCTATTCAGATTGTCATTTTCTATCGAATAAAGTAAAAATATACCGAGGGTGCCGTTTAAAAATCAAAAGTTGTAGTCATTTCCGGTAACCAAAAACAATTGAATACGACAATCAATCCAAATTTAGGTCATATACTAGCATACCAACAACTCGTTTTTTTATCTAAAAAAAAAATAAAATAGTTATAGGGGCGAGCCACTTTTGAGACGCACCCGGTATAGGATTTAAACTACTATAACAGGTGCCTCATGTATGTTTTCTAGTATGGTATATAATTTATACATAAAGTGGTACATTTTTAAGACATATTTTTCTAAAAAATAAATTTTTGGGTATATTTTGTATCATAAATTATCATTTCTAATTACTTTTCAAAATCTCCTTTCTTTTGAATACGAGGCGACAAAAAATTAATTATTTTCTAGATTCTTATAGGAAATTACATTAATATTTCTTTACTGTCAAAATAAAAGTTCACTTGATTATTTGGTTGTACGGTATATATGACGCAGGGAATATTTCGACAGACCATATCCAAGAAATTACAGACACTACTATCACTGTCATGGGTCCTCCCGTTGACAGCCTCTAGTTTGCCCCGTCATTTTAATTCAAGTAAGTAAACTTTTCGATGAGATCTGTCAAAATTGTCCCCTCCCTTGTTGGATAAATTTTATGTTATTATTTATTTTTATGTTCTAAATTTCATATTGGCTTATTTAAAATTATAACTTGTAGTTAGTTGTAAGTTGTAATGTATATGAGTTTTATACTATATTGAAAAGTAAGTTGCATTATTTTTAAGATTGTAATAATTTGGAAACTATTGTAAAAAGTCAACAATATAGTGTATTTGTACTAAATTAAAAATGAAAAACTCTAATAGTAATTGATATGAATCACAAGCTTGTTTTGGTGATATATTTACTTAACGAGTATATTATATATATTAACAAATGAACAATTTCAGATAGTTACTAGCACATATAAAATTCTATAAACGAATAAGTAAAAAATTTCAATGAATAATCTATTTCTTATCCCACTTTGCTTTTAAAAGATATTAAAATTATTTTATGAATAATTTATATACGTATTGTTACATTTAAAAATTATGTACACTTATGTTTAATCAATTCTTTACATAATGCAGCCATATTAGTTGTTAAATATTTTCTTCTTCCTATTTGTAATTAACATGTTGTTTACATTATAGTATAGCAACAAATTATGAAAATATATGTGAATTAAAAATATTAATAAAAAATATGAAATTATAATACTTACCTGAATATATTTACATTAAAATTATTACTAATCGCTAGCTATAAATGCAGTGTACGCCAAAAAATTCGCAACAATTGGGAAAAAACATTACAGTGCGACCTCTTTAAGGTACATTCAGGCTGAGAGCGTCGCGTCCGCGTGTCGAAATGGAATCAATTCACTTAACTTAAATTAGACCGTTCAGGCAGACAGCGTCGCGTTGCGCTAGCGTTCGCTGAGCGTCGGGGTTCGAGTTCAATTGGGCGGACGCGACGCAAACGCGACGCGACGCGACGCTCTCAGCCCGAATGTACCTTTAATCGCAACACCTTAATTACGATGCTATAGTCAGAACGCTCCCTCCATAATCAGAATGTTCATCTAAAGACTTGTCAGTTACGCAGCTTGGTTTGTCTATAGGCTTGGTGCATTTCTCAGTTGATTTTAAAAATTTCGACAGCAACGTTCGATACGGCAGAAATCAGAACTTTCCGACTTTATATTTCACGCAGTTCCTGTTACTGTTCATATTGATTGCATTAAATTAAAATCGCGGCTTTGTCAAATATTTAAGTATACTGGTTTTTACTTCTCAAGTTTTTGAAACCGTAAAATTCTCAGGTACTGTTAGTACGACGTAACGTTGTGTCAGATAGTAAAAACTAAGTGAAAAAGAACCCAAACTGGGCGACGCGATATGTGATAAATTCATATGATAATTAAATTGCCAAAAAAATATTTAATCGCAAATTTTCAAATTGTTTTTATAATAAAAAAAAATGTTTGTAGTATGCCCAGTTGGTGTGGGTCTGTGCCCAGTACCAGAGATATAGTAGCCAGCCGCCGCGCTCCGCTGGGTAATATAATTAAAAAATTATATTTAATGTTTACTAATTTTGAAACTGCTATAAACAAAAACTAAAATTAAAAGGGGTTAAATAAATAAACGAACAATGTTATTATTATTTTATAATACTTCGTAGCGCTGCTCTTATTCTTAAATAAAATAAAACCTCTAAATAAAATTACTTTACAATATGTATATATATATATATATGTCTACTTATATGTCGTATTCGAAAAATATTTACAAAATATACCAGGAAAATGTATTTAAAAAAATATGAGTATACAGTACTTAGGAAGTTATAAAGGATAACGTTTCTAATATAAAATGATGAAAATTAATACTAATGAGTTATGTACTATGTACAAATAATTTTAAGAAACTGTATGGAAGTTATAATGATATACAAGAGTCGATTTTGAATTTCAATTAATGCAATTGAACCTGCAATTCAGAAATATCTTCCATATCGTCTGTCATATCATCTGCCTGTTCATATTTTCCTTCAAATTTTGCCTCTACTAGTTCCTCGTGATCAGTACTAAAATATAAATTGCAGATATAAATATTAAATATTTATATTAGAGTTAAAGAAACACTAAAGTTTATTTTTGCCATGTTTTTATTTACGAAAAATAGAACAAATAATAATGGGCATGGTTTATTAATAATTGCGATAGAAAAATTGTGTAACTGCGTCTCAATTCTTATGACATTAATAGTCTGATAGCCGGATGCAAAGACATGCAAAGAGTTTTCTGAAACCTTTGCGCCCTTCTCAGAGCCAGGTGTTCCGGAACTGGAACTGCTGACTGTACCTTTGTTTTTTAACACTCAAATGCAATCGATTGTGAAAATATGAGCCTTCAGAAAACACTTGCATGTTTTTGCACCCGACTTTTGGATTATAAGGTCTTTCTCTTGGTATTGGGCGAGAGTTACTATTTCTAGGCACTAGATTAGTGAACAAAGTACATTTATGGATCGATATAATGATGCTTAAGAAAACAACTATTCATCATGAATATTTATTTTATAATTTTTGTCAAATATAATAAAAAAAATAAAAACATGTAATACACCTTAACCAAGTAGTAAGCATACATGGAATAGATACTTTACGATCAAAACATTTTATGATAAAGCGGTCTTTGACAGTATAAAAATTATAATGATATTTCCTATAAGAATTGTTCACCTGCCATCACACAAAGCCTGCTTGATTATAAAACATATTATATCATGTGCATATATTATGAAAAAAGTTTTATGTGAAACATGCTTTGTATAATAACAAAAAAATGGGATTTTTTAAACTGTCAAAGTCAAAGTCCGATTGATCATAAACCTATTTAATCGCACGATATGTATGTTAGTTTTATACAAGACATCAATTTTTCTATTTCTCTGAGCTTCTATTAAACCGTAACCCGGTTCGTCTAAATTTGTGTTGGCCGATGAGGGTCGGTTTAACCCCCCGGTCCATCTTGATAGATTCAATTATCTGTAATATCCATCTTATATCATTGGTCTGCGCCGAGAAGCCTGCTGTCAAAAGGGCAGCAGATCAGAGTGACGTTTACTATTCACAGAATATACAGACCTCAGGTAAGCGCACACTGACCCGCAAATATTGTGAACCCTTTCGCTTCTTTTTCATATTTGTGCCTCAAGAAGAAGGAGCCTCCTAGAAGGAGCGTTACTTCTTCTTTGCTGTCACTCATTGTCGAGAGATATTAAAAACACAGGCTTATCACTGCCGACAGCAACAGGAAAAAAGAGCAATTCGTGCGGTGCGGGTCAGTATGTACGTACCGCTAGTGACCATAAATCCGTAGTCGAGAGTTTAACGTGTAAGATAATTATGGAGATTTTTTAATAAAACATATTAGACAGAGACGAAAAGCGGGTAAACGCATTACTTTTATACGGTATGTTCTCGAGGGTTTGACCATTAATAGATCAATTAACTAGGTGTTTTCCACTCTAAAATATTTCTTGTCTCTGTCTATCAAATGGTTATAATATAAAGGCTGTACTTAAACTGCCGTTAAACGGTAGCTTACTAAAATGCCGTTAATAGGTATGACGTCGTTGATGTGACGCACTTGATGGCTTTATGAAATATAGGAATTTTATAAGGACTAACCAACGCTATCCACCCCACCAAATAACCAACTTAACCAACACTAACCTCGACACTGGTAAAAAAATATAAAAAACAAATATAAATTAGTAAAAACCAACCAACCCCACCAAGTAAACAATTAACCAATGAATTAACACCCTCCAAATAACCACGCTAACCAACCCGCCAAATAGATAAACCAATCCAACCAAAAAGAGTGAAACCAATGCAATAAGATCACGCTATAAGCAAAAAAATATAAAAAAAGTCTTGGTCCGGCGTGAGATTTGAACTAGTAGTGGGAACTATCGAATGAATACTATCGAAACATTCGATAGTTGCAATTCATTCGAATAATTCGATAGCTAATAAGAAAACATTCGTCGAAAACTATTCGAATAAAAATATCGAATAGATGCGTCATCTGCCTTGAAATATATTAATTCGGCAGCAAAAACCATTCATTTATAAAATCATTCATTTGTAAAATTCATTTATTCGTCAGGATCGATTATAATAAAATATAAATTGGATTTTAGTTGTCGCCCGGCGACGTAGGTTTCTTTCCTAGAAACCCGACAGCGGTCGGCGGTCGGTGGCAATGGTATGAAAAAAGCCGGCATCTTTGATTTTGAGTCAGATAAAGATAAGGACACATTATTTTTTTTATTGAGGTGCAAGTATTTACACAGAAAATACATTATGAACGGCGCTGTTGCCGTATATTCGTATTAGTTGGTATTAGCAAAGAATATTATTCTTTGGTATTATAGTTAGTTAGGGATAGTATGACCTGTGGTATGACTATATATTTTGCATTTTTTTTATTAATAACATTTATTAATTTTCTAAGCATGCAGTGTAATAGAAGAAAAATATAAATAAAAAATTAGAAATCAAAATTATATATATTTATTACTTTTTATTACTTTGTATTAGTATTTAAAAATAATATTTGGTTTTACTGGCATTTACTTTAAAAAATAAATGAAATATTTCTTCGCAAAAATCTACATGTAAGAGAATTAGCATAAACAAAATACAAATATCGTTAACTTTTTTTTTAAATTGGCATTTTTTTAATTGTAAAACTTTAATCAATCAATTTAATTTTCTCATCCCAAAATTTGAGTTCGATAACCATTTACTTAACCACATTACCACATTACTTAAATATGATTATTAAGTTCAACTAATTCATATTACTAAAACATCTAAAATACAAATACATATGTATTTTTAAAATTAATTGTAAGTTCACCTCATATTGTTACTTCTCAAAATTTCCCATTAAAAAAATAGACCATATACCGTATAAAATTAAATAATTGAAAGATCGGAAAATCACACAAATTTTCGGAAAAATTTTGACCACCTGCACACGTACACAATCGTCAATTAAAAAAAAACACTACTACTTTAGTATTTTAAATATTTTAATAAACGCAAAAATAGCACAGTATTTAGAAGGCAAGTTATAAAAATTTGGAAGAACTAATAATGCACCGACGCAGACAAAAATCAAACGAATACTAAATTTCATTTATCTAAAGCATTCGATAGTCGTGGCTTAACGATAACCATTTAGTCGCACGGCGAGGTTGTCACATATGCTTTAGTATACAAATGAATGAATGATTTTATTCGAATGAAACCATTCGATAGTTGAAATCATTCATTCAGTAACCATTCGATAGTCTAATTCATTCGATAGTTCCCATCGCTAATTTGAACCACGGACCATTCATTCACGAAGCAATAGCCTCAGTCACGGAGCCACAGGCGCTCTTGCAAAATGCCCATAGCTAGGCATTACTTTCCGCCGACATCAACGACGTCATAATATCATCATAATATTTATTATCGGCATTTTAGTAGGCTACCGTTTAACGGCTGTTTAATTACATCGTAATATAAATCAAGTGCTTTTGGTTTTACGCGTTAAAATACAGACCACGTATTGTGACCACGTCTCGGTTACAACCTTGAAACACCGTCAGTTGACGTTTCAATTCGCACGAAAAAAATATACTTAACACCGATATAACAAACGCTAAACAAAACTGTGCGTACGTCATCAATAGCACCCTAATTCATACCGTAATCGTTGATGGAAGAAATAAGAAGATTCGCAATCTTATGGGCTTTTTCGTGGCACAAAACCTGTCCGAGATGTAGTTTAGCTCTACGCCGCTGCGCGCCGATAGTCGTTTACAGCGCGGCGGATAAAGAATACTGTACCGTAGTTCTGCTTTCAGTCGACAGTGTGGATGGTTGCCGGAGACAGTGTTGTCAGTATTAATCCGTATATTTACGGATTTTGGTCCAACACGTTAATAATACGGATTCTCTATCAATTTAATATAAAAATATATGATTAAACAAAGAACGGCGTCAGAGTTGGCTTGGAAATGAAGATCGCTGATATTTCATATGCAAAATATTATGGTAAATGTAAATAGTCGTCATTTCCAAGTCAACTAAACGACTTTTTTCGATCATAGGAAATATTCAGTACTTATAAAAGAATTTTTATTATTGTTTTTTCTATGTTTAACACGAATTCATTTTCAATACATAAACGCGGGTTTTTCATCTAAAGATATTTTCGTCAAACGTATTACAGATATTACACATTTTAATATGGCAACACTGTCGTTTTCAGTGCCACACTGTCTTCGATATGTCTTCGCCAGTCGAATTAGAGAAAATGAGTGTTTTATGCGTTGGCTTCCGAACGAATAGAGTAGTGATGTGATAACTCGAGCGAAAATTCGCTCGAGTACTCGATTATTGAAATAACCGACATCGCTCGATTATGAACGAGCAATGCAAGTGACGAGTTAAGCTTGATTTTCATGCATCCGTTATACGTTGGTCCGACGGTGCTCTGATTGGTCATAGCGTTTTCGCGCCACTTTTCATCCGTAAATATTTTACTTCAGCCCGTCAACGGACCCGTTCATACGATAACGGACGTTCTGACACTTTTTTGACAAATTTAATCTAACAATAATAAAAATATAAGTAAAATAGCAAAATCGTTATGGAAACGAAAATATAAAATAACACCAACGTATATCCGATAAACGGAGGCACGAAAATGCAATAAATTTAAAAACTGCGATATTTTCTAACCAATCAAAGTCTTTAAATTCTACCAATAAAATTAATATCGTATCAACGTATCGTCGGACAACGGATGCATGAAAATCAAGCTTTACGAGCGACGAACGCATGCGATCCTAGAATGAAATAAATTGAAATCCGATTTTAATGTGACATACTCGATAAAAAGCCGAGCGAATTTTCTACATACATTGCAGGTAGCAAATTTATACGACTTGAAATAATAATAAACTGATAAAATAATATGAAACTTCTACACCCTGTATCTCCGAAACTAAGCATTTTAGGACATACGTTTATACGAACTTTTTTAAAGTAAACGCCACGAATGTTTGGGAGTGATTCATCGCTTGATGAAGTCAGAATCGACACGCGCGCTATCATTTTTATATTAAAAACGTAAATTTTTACCGCAGACGTAGGTTTTTAAAGGCACGGTCTAGTCACCCGCCTGCGCTCCTCCTACTTATTCTAAAATGTTAGCGTGATTGACAAAGACGATACTATATCGCGTTTCTTTGATTGATTCGTTTTTGTGCGTCAGTCCATTGGTGTGCTTGCAGTGCGACTAATGGGGCATTCCAGTTAAGATTTATAACCAAATATATGTTTTGACAAGACTTTGACAGTTAAAACAACAAATTACAACATATTATTATTATATATTGATTATTACATGACTTGAAACACCACTGCACTGGAATTAAGTTTTATGTGACCTTGAAACAGATTAGTTCACATGGTAGCGACCGATGAATCACTCCCAAACATTCGTGGCGTTTACTATACTTATTTTTATCTACAGAATATGCTGCCGAAGTTTCCGGAATACAGTTCGGACCACCCTGTATATTTATCCGTTGCGTATCTGAGGAACAAAATTTTACGACCTACATCGACAATGCTTTGAAATAAACTAAATCAAGCGAATCGCTCGACGCTTGTTGCTACTTGCCATTCATTACCGAAAGAATATGTGCCCTGCGCACGCAACTTACTGCTTGGCGCTTGGCGTTAACAAGTACCCTCAAGTACATACAACAAGCGACGGACGAAAAACCGTATTGTTAAATACGAGCGATATTTCGCTCGAACGATCACTCGGTTATTGCAATCGCTTGAAACTCGAGTACTAGATTATTGAAATTAATCGGTTTTTCCCATCACTAGAATAGAGGCTCCGCCCGCGCCGTTCAGCACTTGAGACGTAAGGGGAAATCAAATCAGCCTTGTCACGAATTTGCCCATTAGGTTGCATGTCTTTTATCATTTTCCAGAGATATTTTTAGAATTTAAATTGCAAATTGCAATTAGAAATAAAAGTTTAAATATAGTAAAACACAGGCCTATCAAAAAATTATGAGAAATTTTCTAAACTTTGTCCAACGGTGAAGATTTTGACAAACGACATCCAAAAAATGACAAAATACAGTTTATTATTTTTGCATTAAAATGACAGATCCAACTGTCACTGTCATGTATCCTCTCATTGGACAGAGTATACATGTGTAGCAGTACTGAAAACATAGATTAGATGACAAATGGTGATGACGTGCACAATATTATTTGGTGTTTGATACACATATACATAAGTAAAAATGAATCCGAGAAAACATTTATGCCCGCCTTATACATACTATTATATACGTCGTACAAATTAAAAACCGTTGCATGTCATCGAGCCAGTGGCGCATCCAGAGAGTGAGCCTGGGACGGGTAGTGGCAATATTTAAATAAAGTAATAGATTTAAATTAAATTTTCGGTTACAGGTATTGTGACTATGAAAAAAAAACCTAGATTGTTCTGGATTTCTATTTTGATTGATATTATTAATTTATTTTGTGACAATTTTAATTTATACCAGATTTTCTAATTTATAAATTTCTTCCTGGGAGGGGTAATTTCCCCCATTAACCCTCCCGTATATGCGCCCCTGCATCGAGCACGTGCGTTGATTGTAGACAGCATTGTTGCCAGATTGTAATCGGAAGAAAAATATTTTTGAAAAATTTACTTTATCTAAGATCTATTAAAAAATCTAAAATAAACTTTAAATTGTTACCAGTTTTAAACAGTTTCAAGCAGGGCTGAAAAAAATATTTTTTAAACAAAACATGTTTTTTTATTGTTTAAATTTTTTTTATGGTTTTAAAGAACATTGTAAATACAAAGTCGAAAATACATATGTTTACAACACTTTTATATTCTGTTTTAAACCATATCATGTTGAGTAATGATAAAGCCAAAGGTTAAAACTTAATTCGATTTTAGAAACCTTAATGGTGCTCCTCCAAGTAGTAGTACAGAATTAATAGATTATTTAGACAATATTAAGTTGAGCTGATTACTCTGTTTTTTATTCCTTTTGTATTACAGTTGTTTTTTTTTTATTTTGAAAGAGTTTTTCTCAGTTTTTATTGAAATAAACACCTACACACCAAACCTATTTAATACTCTGTTTTAAACAAATATTTAAAACAAGTAATGGTGTCTTAAAAACATTGTTTTAAACATTTTGTTTAATTAATAACAGTCTTGGTTTGGGGCAATTCAAAATATTATCTATTATAAAGAGTGGTAAATGATTAAAAAATATATAGGCAACATTTTGAAATATTTCAAGAATTAATAAGTATTTTCCATAGAAGATTAGTAGGTTTTGTTTCTCAAAATATAAAAAACTCACTTCACTGGTCTACTTTAAAATACTTTATTATAATATAACGGGCCGTTATTGTCCCTTTCTTTCTCAAAATATTGTATCAGAGATGACACTAATTCTTGGCACCGACTATTTAACTTCAAGAAATTTTTTTTTCTTTTTACTTTTTATTTAACTGCTTAGGCATTTTTCAAAGAAAAAACTAACAACTACTACACAAAATATTCTGAAAACAACAGTTTTCGATCGATAAATAAAGGTTTTAAAAGATACAATACACACGAGACATAACTCTCAACTAACGTTCAGAAAATTCTGGGAAATGTCAAACAAACGTGGCACCGCTGCAACCGCTTCCTCGCCGTTGCCAACACAATATCGAGTGGGAGATTTAAAACTCATTGAAAACGTCCCATAAGGGCCATATTTGTGTAGTGGTAGCACTGCACACATTTATTAGCCTAATCGATAGCCCGCTACGGTTTTTATTTTGTACGACGTATAAATACAGTTACAAATGATGGAGTTTCAAGGAAAAAAAATGAAACTGCTCTGATATTTAGCTTACCCGTCTTGCAGGGAAGTTTGAACGGACGTTTCAGCTGACGATTCTCCTGTGAGGTTTCTTGTCGGATTGTTACCGTCATGCATTGGTTTCGTCCTACCATATTTCTCGTGTATATTTCTATGTCTCTTTAAAGCAAATCTGAAACAAGTTTAATGACGAAAAATTCGAGATAGTTGTAATAATTATCTTATTTAATTTACCTATCTGAAAATCCAACAGAACAGATGTCACATTTAAAGGGTTTTTCCCCCGAATGAACTTTTTGGTGATTCTTCAGATGTGTTGCTTGATTAAAACATGAACTACATATGTCACATCTAGAAAAAGTTACAATAATAATATTTGTTCAAAAAAGTCCGTTGGGTATTTCTCCACTTGTACTGTAAGCAAATCTACAAAATAACAACATAGTTATTTTTTGTTAAACACTGCTGCGTTAATCCAACAAAGACCAGCTTGTCAGCAATGATTTACTAATAAACAAATTTGCCTAACGGACAAAAAAACACGCTTAACGTTTCAGGATGTCTCTTCCCGTCGTTGTTTTACCTCATTAACTAATTGTTAATTTTGATGTGTAACTTGATACAATGTCATTTTAACAGAACGTCGACGGTTTTTATAGACGTATCTGTTGAAAAAAAGTGTTCTTGAATAGTTGTATTTAGATACTTTAGTTTCTTTGTTCTTTGTGTTTTTTTGCCTCCGACGACGGAAGGAGACGTACTTTCCGAAACGTTAAGCATTTTTTGTCCGTTAGGCAAATTTGTTTATTAGTAAATTACTGCTGACAAGGCGGTCTCCGTCGGATTAACGCAGCAGTGTTTAGAAAAAATAACTATTTTATTATGTAGATTTTCTTACAGTACAAGTGGCGAAATACCCATTGGACTTGTGTGACACGACACAATACGAGGCACGACAGACGAGAGGAAAAGTGGTAAGGACTGCCTACGGCTTAGAAAAAATCGTCCGATTTAAGTTTGACCGTGCACAACACGTGTCACTGTGATAGTTACTTTTGACGTAAGAAAAGTCAAGAGTTGATGTCGATCGCGACCAAATTTGGTGGGTAGGGTAGGCTATGAGCGACGGTGCACACGGTCCCTCCCTGCAAAGTTGGATACGTTTCGTTTACATCTTCATCAAGGTGGGACTAAGGATTTGATATTGAAGAAAAATGTGGGTCGATTTCAGCATAATTGAGGGCGGGCTACAGGATGACGCCCTCGATATTTCGAACCGATGCCTTTAAACGGACGATCATCAGGAGAATCATCAGGCTTTATCTTAAGTATGGGTCGATTGGAACCAAATTTGGCACGTGGATAGAGGTACCCAAACGGAGTCCTCTCCCTGACAGACCGTCATTTTAATACAAATTTTGTGAAAGTGAATCAAATTATTTTTTAATTTATTACTTTTAACATTTCAAACAGTACTTTTTCAAACATGTCCTTCAAATTCTTCAATTTAATAGCTGTTAGGAAGAAGTTTCATTTCAAATATGCGCACATAGTGCAAACAATTTTTTTTTCATTTTATTTTTTCTTATGTCATTAGGTATCAATGTGCTTTTAAAAACACTTGCTTTATTAAGGCCTACTTCAACTACAAAGTTGGTGATACTTACCTATATGGTTTTTCGCCTGTGTGAATTCTTCTGTGATTCCATAATGTAGAGTGTCGCGCAAACGATTTATCACAGACTTCGCAAACATAAGGACGTTCCCCAGAATGAATTCTTTCATGGTTTTTAAGATGAGGTGATTGGGAAAATTGCATTCCACATACATTACACCTACAATATTTTATGACTATTAGCGACAGTTGTCTGTCTTATTACTTGAAAAGTTAGTTTGTTTTTAGATATTGTCTGTCAAAAGCACATATTCTCTTGCTGGACATACTGCAGTAACAGTCTTACTTGTATGGTTTTTCCCCAGTGTGAATTCTCGAGTGGTTCTTTAAATAAGCTGCTTTTGCAAAAGCCAGTCCACAAATATTACATTTAAAATTCTTCTCGCCAGTATGAAGTCTTTTATGAGACCAAAGTGATGAGTATCTGCTAAAGGATCCTAGAATTATAAATTTTAATTAGTAAACATAAAGGTCTATATGTAAAATAAGTAGTTTCTAGTAATATAAACTTAATTGTTATTATTCATTATGTGTTTTATTTTAGAGACACTAACTTGCTTACCATTACATATGTTACAATGAAATGGTTTATCGGCATTGTTATGCTGGTTTTTTGTACCGCCAATAAAAATTATGCCACTACCATTACATTTAGTACATTTTGTTACGCTTGCAATACCACGGCGTTTTACTGGATGGTTGTTTTTAATGCCAATTGGAATGGAATTTTGAGTACCTAGAAAACCAAAAATATGATTTACTAAATTATACCGATTTGGTCATCGAAACTGTGCGGTCTGGATTTTAACGTGTAAGACAGTGATGCAGACAGCTTAATGGAAAATCAAATGTATTAAAAAGAGATAAAATTGGATCCACACATTTCTTCTATGCGGTATTGCCGGATTTTGCATCAAAATTTCAAACCGCACAAGTAGGCGTTTACGAAAAATGTTGCATCTAGGGTTGGAACTTTATTTTTCACTATTAGTTACTCAGTTTGCTACAGTTGTAATATATTATACTAGCGTGTACCAGCGACTTCGTTCGCGTCGAATTAATCATTTGTAATGGTGATGATAAAGCAAAGCAAGAATTTTCATTAACATAAAAACTGAATAAAATTTTCTCACCTTTATGTCAGCATGAGAAAAAACAATATGGCGATATTATTATATAACTTGGTAATATTTGAGGGGTAGTTTCATCTCGTTGGAATTTGACTTTCGAAAAATCCGTTTGCCAAAAATTAGCTTTTTACGTCAAGCAGTTTAAGCAGAATCGTGGTTAAGAAATTACCCAACTTTTTGAAACACCCTGTATGATTTTTTAAAAAATTTCAAAATATGTAAAAAAACCAAATAAATTATGCTTGTCCAAGCGTTTCCCGAAAGACTAACCGTTTTTTAAATAACAAATATTGTAACATTTGAGGGCCGTTTTCACCCTCTTGGAATTTGAGATTCGAGAAACCCCTCCTTATCGAACCTCTACACCCCACAGTCAATCCGTTTGCCAAAAATCAGCTTTTCAGCAAAATCAGGATCGTGATTAATCAATGACCAGATTTTTCAAAACACCCTGTATACATTTTTAAAAAATCTTAAAATATGTAAAAAAAACAAAATAAAATATACGTGTTTAAGCGTTTTTTCAGAAACTTGGCCGTTTTTAAATAAAAAATATTGTAATAAGCCGTTTTAATTAAAAAATATTGTAATATTTGAGGGGCGCTTTCACCCTCTTGGAACTGGAATTTCGAAAAATCCCTTCTTATCGAACCCCTACATCCTAGAATAAACCTGTATGCCAAAAATGAGCTTCTTACGTTGAGTGGTTTGAGCAGGATCGTGATTAATCAGTATGTCAGTCACTTAAGGATTTTATATATTAGTATAGATTTAGTTTAGATATGTTATCATCATTTCAGTAAAATTTAGAATGAGCGGGGGGGGGGGTTACTCGCTGCGACCTTACAGATCTATTGTGTCCCCCTTTCTTATTTTGTTTCCTACAAACGTAAAAACCGGCAACACTGTATGCCGCTTTTGATTTTGTCTCTCTGTCTGTCAACCAGTCATTTATATTATTCTCTGTCACACACATTAAAATCCAGACCACATAAATTGGATGACCAGCAAGGTATACAGGGCAATTTAGCGTGAGAAGATATAATTTCGACAAAACGAATAGAAAAGAAATTTCTTTCGATTTAAAAAGACAAAAAATAACTTTTTGGCCCATGACGGCGATTCGGATTCCGCCGTTAACAAAATACTCCCCCTCTAGATTAGCCTTAACAGAAAAAAGAAGAAGTTACTGGAAAAACTTAAATACTTTACTTTTACTCCTTCCCTACTAAAATGCATAGTATAGAAGAAGTGAGCATATACTATTTATCAATAAATACCAACCTAAAGTAGACTGAGTCTGAGTCCCCGTCGAACTTTCCTCAAACTTAACAGTAGGAGTTTCTGGAGCTGCTGCCACTACAAAGATTTGTGGTTGTATTGCTTCTGCATTTAAGCAGTTTTCACATTTTACCTACAAAAAAAAGAATATATATTAATCTATTTACTACCAAAGGGTGAGTCCAGACTTCCAGACCATTGTAGGAAAAGCAGAACGGCGGATCAGCCTATGGATCTCCAGCAATTATATTGACACGCTGATGTGCCGTTCTGCTTTTTCAACGATGGCGTGACGTCACACTAACAAGACTAGAATTATGCCACGTGAAATATTCTAACAAATTAAGAAATGAAAGATAAAGTGATTTATATATATGAATATGATGCTGTTTCTAGAGCGAGCCGTTTTTGAAAGTTGATAAAATTATGATTTTGGTACTTATTTTTTTGTACCAACCAGCGATGGCAATGGAATGAAGATCGTTGTCATTTTATATGTAAAATTATATGGGGAATGCCATCGATCGCCATTTCCAAGCTAACTGGACGTCGTTTTTTTTCGATAATACGGTATATATTCAGGTATAGAAAGTTTATACAACTACACTTACTTTCATAACAGCCCTTTTTTTATTAGTATCTTGAGGCAACGGAGCACCGCAAGTTTCGCAATTTTTTATTTTTAAAGTATTCCCTTGAGAAGTACTTTGCTGGGACTGTGCTTGGACTTGTTGCTGAAAATTATACGTTAAAACAATATTAAAACATTTTATTCGCTACGCCAATTAGAATTCGACTTCTTACTTGCTGTTGTGGTTGTTGATGGGATTGGATTTTATGATTTTTTAGTTCAGTTTGATTGATGAAAGTCATGCCACATTCTTCACACGAATATCGTATTCTATCAGCAGACACAATTTGTATTTGAGTTGGCTGTTGGGCCTGCTGAACTTGAGTGGACATTAACTGAAATGGCACAAGAACTTTAAGCAAATGTAACAAAAAATAATTGGGTATTTACCTGAACAGTAATTTGTTGCTGTTGAGGTTGTTGCTGATCGGTTTGACCATGATGTACTTTCTTATGATGATTTAATAAACTTAAATGAGCAAACATCAGTCCACATACATCACATTTAAAAGTTATATTAGATATTGCGTTTTGAGTAAGTAGATTCTGATTTACCTAAACAAAGAAATAAGTAATATTTAATGTAAATTAATTATAATAATATAATTAAATAATAAAAGTAGCATTTTTTTTAAAGTTACATTGTTAGTTTATTCGTTAAGCAAAAATCGGTATAGGCTTGGTGCATTTCATTTATTGATTTCAAAATTTCCGCAGATACGCTAGATACGGCAGAAATCAGAAGTTCTCGGGTCGTATTTCACGCGGTTCCGATGATGATCGCACTGAAATATGAAAATCGTGACTTTGTCACAATATTTAAGTATTTGAGTTTTTAATATGGTTATTGAAACTAGAAAACACTCAGGTACGAGGTTTTTGTGATGTAACTCTCTTTCGGGTAGTAAAAATTAAGTGAAAAAGAACTCGAACTGGGCGTCCCTTTTTGTTCGTTGTGTCGTTTGTGTGTCAATTTCAAATGTAAATAAAATTGTCGCAAAATGTTAACACGTAAAGGAGGGCGTAATTACGTGATTACAATAACACTCAACTTTCCCGGATATTTAACTATCCCGAAACAACAGTTTATAGCGTCACAACTTTTCACACCGATTTGATCAAAAGCAAAAATAAATTCAAGCAGTTCAACGAAACAAGTAAATAAACAAAGAGAGCTCATTCATAAAGAAAAAATTAAATAGGCCCATACTATGACAGGATAAAATATAATTTGCAATATTAATGGTATACTTTTTTCCTCAACTAGTGATTAAATGTTTTATGGCAATATGATAAACATCTAAAATTATAATTATGTACCGAAATAGCCCCAATTATGTCTCACTAGCAAAACCGGCGATTAAAACTATGTTTGCTACCGTAGTTGAACTCATCTATAAATATTTTTTAACTGGAATAATAAATTATAATACAAGTTAGAGCTTCTGAAGATATCGACATATTTACTTTTTTATTTTTATTTTTAGAATTTTCACAAATTATACTTCCTAACAATTTTAGAATAATTAAATAATAATAAATTTTTCGTATACTCGCTATTTAAACCCGTGTATTTGTATATATCAGATGTTTACAATATTCTCCGATGGTGGCAGCACCGGCGGAGAATGCACCAAGCCTATAGAACGCATCTACGTTTTTAATACCGATTTCCGCTTTACGCGATTTTCTATAGAACGCGTAAAGCGGGGTCTGTTATCTGTCTCATAACCAAAATGTTTTATGAAATGGGCTTTATTTAACTATAACAGTTAAAAAATTTAACGTAATTTACATAAAAATGGGTAATGATTCATTTTTCATCATAAAAAGTAAATATATTGTCATAAAACTTTTTGATCAAATTGAATATATGAATATTATAAAAAGAAAGTATCAAACAAATTTATAGCAGATTTCAGTTGAGAGAGTTGAAGATTGTAAGCTTGAAGCTATACATGCCTTTTTAGATACTAAATCTAATTTGATAATATATTGCCATGTTAGATATTTACCAATGCATAATTATAGCTGAATGCAGGTTGAGTTATATAGCATTTGTCGTCAGTCAATTGGGACATATTAACAGTAGAATGTTGTGTTTGGGGAGCAATTTTTTGTATCATATTAACATTGGCATAGCAGAATGGACTAAAATTCTCCTGTTTTTGGTCTTGTCCATTTTTGTCTTTTTCAGGTTGCTGTTGCGTTTGTTGATACTGTATTTGTGACTGTTGGGTTGTAGTTGCGATAACGTTTGGATCAAACATATTGAAGAATAGGTGTCTCTAAAATTAGAAATAAATTATATCATAACTTGTTCCGGAGTGCTATGAATCAAAAGACTACAAAATACAATTATAATTCTGGATGCTGAGGTACCTATTATACTAGAGTTCCCATATATCGGAATAAATCTGGACCATAAGTAGGTATACATGATCTACGATCCAGAGAGATCCATGGAAACCCTATATTATACTATATATCTCATAGGTGCATAGCATACGTGCATAGAATTAAAATTCCTTTCACTTTAAATAAGAAATACTGAAGATTTTCTAATAAATTACCTAATAATAGTATTTTGCTTGTTTCCATTACAATGGTATTTTATTAATGTGATTGTATTTAGGGTACTTATTGGGTAATAATAGGTAAATCATGTATTGATTTATTCCGTTTGTAGTTGTAGATTATTAAATTTAAAAATTGTAAGACATAAAAAATACCGGCTTTCATAGATTAAATTAAAACCAAATAAACATGTTTGCATTTCGCTAATATAATTAATATATTTTAATGTCACGAGGTAACATATCAAAGGGCGTGGTTCATTTTTTAAAGTTATTTAATTTATTTTGAAAATTCCCAGGAAAAAGAAAAAAACGGCAATATTTAAAAGACCCATCTATCCTTCCTCCAAATTTATCTCTTTTTATACAACAAAGACGATATGATAAAATGAAATAAGTGTATAGAAGTAACAAAGAAAACGATTTACCTTCACTCTGTCTCTTCAAGGAAGACGCCGTTTTTAACTGGTCGATTTACGCCAGAATATCACTTAAACCCTTTGAAAACCCATATTATAATATTTCTCACAGTATCTTTTAAATGGTACAAGAAAAAATATCCAAAATTCTGCCGGATTTTAACAATAATTACAAAAAACACTTGATTCTATCTCACTTTAGAAAATGGCGGATAGATCCATAGCCATCTTTGTTCCCCTTACACCACAACGATAATTGCCGAAGAAAACTGGGCATGCGCTTCGGCAAAGTCTGTGTCACACGTTCCCAGAAGCTCGAAAAAAGGCGCATGATTTGCAATCAAAATTATGACATAATTTATGACGTCTTCGTTTATTATTAGATCATTCTCACATTTTTATGACTGGAATACGAGTTCAAGTTCCAGTTATTTTGGTACCAATAATAAAGCTTTATTTAGTTAAAAATTTAGTTGATGATATAATAAGTTTATATAATTCTTGTTTATTGATACCGCGGAGTTTTAAAATTTGGAATAATTATCAGTACCGTTTTCGGATTTTACAATAGATAAGTTCTATTATTTTTATGACGTTCTTTTCCGTTTCGATTATCCAATAAAAAAGGATACTTACAATTATTGTATGTATTCTCTACGAATGTTTATCTTTGTTTAATTTATAAACATTAGAATTTATTTAAGTGTATTGTGCGCGGATGATTGGTAATTATTGTAAAATAATTGATTTTCTTATTTTTTAGTGAGATAAACCACCTAATATTATTTTATTTTTATACCGTAGGTCATATTAAAATTGTTTCTGGTATTTGATCGTTTTAAAAGTAATTTAAATATCTGTAAATTTAAAAAAGTTAAAATAGAATTTTGTGGAAGTGCGGCTCTGAGTTTCATATAATCCTGACATATTTTACTAGTAACATTTCGATTTTCCCTAAAATAGAAGGTTGTGTGTGTGTGAGTAGGGCTTGCGATGTCGGATATAGGTAGTGGAGATGAAGGTTCTAGTTCGCAAAGTGAGTAAAATATAGCTTATAGTTTTGTAAAAATCTTATACTTCACACTTTTTTGAATACGTGAACAAATTTTCGGTGAAATATTTCCATGTTTTGTCCGGTAAATTCGCTTCTGAACCTGACAAGTGGACCAAGATGGCGTAAAATTCGATTGAAGAAGGCTAGAAAAAATTAAATTTCGGTAGTTCTTCGACGAGTTGGGGTAGAATTTTAATTCAGATTGGTACAAAAATGTAACTAGTGTCGTAATTTGGTGCTGAAACTGTGAGGAAATAAATTTAATAGGCAAGGAAAGCAGCAAAAATTCTGCAATATCTAAAGTATTGTCATAGTCAAATATAGTGACCTTGGCCAACGTCAGTTCGGTTGCCTTTCTATTTCAAAGTGAATGTCAAAACAAGGGATTCTCACCCTTAGCATCCAATTTAATGTTTTTGATCAATTTTCGCAAAAAAATGCTTACTGTCAGATTAATAAAGAGATGATATTTTAAATTATATTAATTAAGAAGGTTTTTAACTAATTCTGTTTTTATAGAATATCACGGTATGGAGCAAGGAAGTGAATATGACTCAGGTAAGTCTATATCCTTTTATTTTCACCTTAATACCTAGGTTACATTTTGCACCTCTTTGTTTGAAGCAGTGTTCTATCCATTTTTTTTAAGAAATTATTCTCCAAAATCTCAATTCTTATAATTTTGAATGAGATTCCAAAAGATGACTCATTGCCTTTCTGGGAATTTGTGAGTTCTATAGTAGTAGATTTTTACTATTGCTCTTTCATTAAGTGAATCATATTTAGTTTATGCGCGCATTTGGCCGGTAAAGTATCTTTTCTATATTTTTGTGTGTTTTTTGAGTTAGTTAATGTTTGTGTATCACAAATAAGTTATGGAATTAAATCAAATTGAATGGGTTATTGGTAGAATTGAACATTGGAGAGATCCAAGTTAGTTTTTATTTAATTAAATAATTTAAATTTTAAAAAAGCATTTGAGACAGAAATTTTTTTTTGTGTTTGTGCTTTTAAAATAGTAAAAAAACACTATTGTTACAGGTCAACAGGGTCAGATGGAACAAGAATTGGCAACAAAAATGCTACAGATTCAGAGTAAAAGGTTCTATTTAGATGTGAAACAAAATAGAAGGGGTAGATTTATTAAAGTTGCAGAGGTGAGTTTTATAATAATTATAGATATAAATAAAAAAATTCAAAAAGCTTAATTTTCATATTAGCATAATTTCTAAGTTATAGTATGTTTGTGTTATTAACTATACAGTTATGGTTGGTCCATTTTAATTCAATGATAAAATATAATTTATAAATAAAAATTATATGGAATGGTCAACAATGAATGAAATAGTTGGCAATACCATGGTACAAAGAATACAAGGTATGATATTGCGCAGGTTGGTCGCTACGTCACAGGTGATAACAGGCGCTATTGGTCAGCACGCTCCGCGCGCCAGTTCAAATCGTCAAGGTATTGTTATAAACCTGTTTTTTTGTTTATATACCGTCATTGAATTGTCGCTAAGCAAGTTACTGTGGAGCAGTGCGTAAGGAGTTGGGCTAGGGAAGCGAGACCGGAGTTGAATCTCGGCAGGGACATAACTTTTTTTTTAAATACTGTTGTATTCTATAGTTAATTTTTGTAGTATAAAAAGAAAGAACTATTTATTCTGTTATTTTTTAATCTGCGGTATTAATATAAATTGATTGTTGGTACAATACCTCATTTAATATAAAATAATATTCTACTTTTTGAAGTGTATGTGGCCCTAATTGTACCTAAAAGTAATATAGTTTTACAGTGATATACCAGATTGTAAACTATTTAATATTTCAGTCACTTAAAAAGTTAATTTGCATTGAATAATTGCCTACGATCAAAGGAAATTTGAGCTATATAATCCTTGATGGGCATATTCTGGGTATGCAAATACTTCCTCTAAATTTTGGGTTTCGTTCAACCGATTTATTCTCAAAACCTGAAACATCTACATATAAAAAGAAGCACCAGATCACTAATTATAATAAACTTCACCCTTGGAATTACTTCTATCACAATTACAATACATTCATCTGCATTGGCATTTTCTATTTTTAGATGGGAAACAATATAATTCCCAACATTTTTTAAATGATGTAACAATTCCTCTTGTGGTTACTTTTCCATAGATATCCTCATCTCTGTCCTCATGTGAATTCAGAGGCAATGAACATAAAAATTATTTACCATAAACATCGCAAACTAAAAACCTAATAAACAATTTTATACCGAATACAGAAATAAATTTAGTATTCTTACCTATTATGGTCCAAATCCATGTTAATAGATAATTATTATTTTAAATATATTTTTGAGTTGGTTAATGTTTTGTGTATCACAAATAGAGATAAATCAAATTGAATGGTTGTGGTAGGAGTGAACATTGGAGAGATCCAAGTTAACATTTAATTAAATGTTTAAATTTTAAAAAAGCATTTGAGACAGAATTTTTTTATGTTTGTGCTTTAAAATAGTAAAAAACACTATTGTTACACAGATCAACAGGGTCCAGATGGAACAAAAATTGGCAACAAAATGCTACAGATTCAGAGTAAAAGGTTCTATTTAGATGAATCCAAATCCATGTTAATAGATAATTATTATTTTTAAATATATTTTTGAAACTGCTGGTTTTAGTAATTATTAAATTAAACGAACTAAAAAGTCTTAAAAATAAACAATTTTTAACCATAACCCCAAAAAATACAGATCTCCTGTCAACTTTCTTTATTTTTTATTTATTCATTATTTTCCTAGTGACGTCACAGGTGGTATGCGCGAACTGAACGAAATTGGAGCCGCTATCGATCATACCTTGTATTCTTTGTACCATGGGCAATACTGTGTTAGAGGATTTTAGGATTAGTGATTGGTACTGATGCTAAAATAAATTACCGATTGAAAAATTATGTCAATTTTTCTGGCTTTTCTTTTTTTTCTTGAAATTTTACAAGTTTTAATTTTGAAAATACTGTTAACTATGAAGTATCAAAATAAGGTGGAAAATATAATAAATAATATGATATATTTTTTATTGTAAAAAATTACTATTTTTCTATACAACTATGGTGTTTTACATGGAATAGTAATACTAATACCGGTGATTGAAGAAATAAGAAGATACGCAACCTTTTTTTTCCAGGTTTTCATGGCACAAAACCTGTCCGAGAAGTACCTAGCTGACATTACCATCAGCCTGTCCAAAAAATTCCGAGATTTAGTTTAGCTCTGCGCCGATGCGCGCTGATAGTCGTTTACAGGGCAGCAGATAAAGAATACTGTACCGTAGTTCTGCGTTCAGACGACAGAGTGAGTGGTTGCCGGAGACAGTGTTGCCAGAACTACTGATTAATCCGTAGATTTACGGATTTTGCCTACAGTACGTTAATAATACGGATTTTCTATCATTAAACAATTTAATATAGTCAGTTTGCATCAGAGTTGGCTTGGAAAAGATCGCTGTAATTTCATATGTAAAATATTATGGTAAATGTCAATAATTGTCATTTCCAAGCTAACTAAACGACTTTTTGCGATCATACGACATATTCAGGGCCTATAAAAGAATTTTTATTTTTGTTGTTTATTCTATATTTAACACAAATACATTATCAATACATAAACGCGGATTTTGTATCCAAAGAAATGTTTGTCAAACGTATTACAGATATTATACATTTTAATATGGCAACACTGTCGCTTTCAGATCCACGCCGTCTTCGATATGCCTTCGAGGGTTGAATTAGAGAAAATAAGTATTTTATGCGTTGACCGCAGAACGACTGGTGTCTCCATCGTACAGCACTTGAGATGTAAGGAAATCAAATCAGCCTTGTCACGAATTCGCCCATTAGGTTGCGTATCTTTATCATCCCAATTCTTTCAATCAGCTAATACTTAAACAATGACAGCTTATTTTCATTCCCGTGTGCAAAACATGTTAGAAATTGAATGCAATCGCAGAAATCAAAAAAATCTTAATCAACCGTGTCGCATTTTGGAGCACACTTTAATTAATTATTAAACATCAAAAACGTATAGTTGAACTATTTCAAAATACTGTTACTAAAACTAGGTAACAAGAGGAAATGGAACAATATGAAAAAATAAAACTTGCGTTTCTATTACTTTCCACTTATATTTTCAAAAATACATGTTTTGTGGTACTACAGCTTCTTCAATTGTTTCACTATTTATTGAGATAGTTAATATGCTTCCTGATTTCTAGATTGGAGCTGATGGTAGAAGATCACAGATATTTCTTGCTTTATCAACTGCCGCAGAGTTTCGAGATCATCTTTCCACATTTAGCGACTACTATTCTTCTCTCGGTAAAATTTATTTATTTTATTTCTCTAATATAAAAAATAATGTACTTACGGAGTAGATAATAACGTTTATGTAAAAATTAATACTAACTCTAAAAAGCACTAAAATGGTAAAAAAATATAACTACCTACTAAGTATTTTTTACATTGGATTAGCTTTGAAGATGAATAATAACTGTAATTGCTATTTAAATGTTTTTTTATTACATTAAGTAGTACATTTAATACTTTTAATATTTTTGGAGTTAATATTTTTTAATAATGAAACATCTTTTTGAAGGGTTGATTCCTAATTTGTTACTAATACTGTTTCTCAAGTTAAACGTGAATATTTATTTTTTTCGTAAGTTATAAGCCTTACACTATTTAATATTTTGACTATAATTACAAGCTTTTATTTTTTACTTTCAAATGAAAAAGATCTGTGACAAACAATTTTATTAAAATTTTGAGTAAATGTTAAAAAATAAACAGATATTGTTTTTTTTGTTCGTAATATCTTGAAATGTTGATACCGGCTTTTTATTTAGATTACTTTTATATTACCTACATTTATTAGGGCTCGAACTCACTGATGACCAGGTCGCAACGACATGGCCGTCGCGTCGGCTGGCCGGATGTATTGCGTTTTTAGCTGCGGCCAGATGAACGACTAGTTTCAACAGAGTTGTCAAATCTAACGATTTTTTACGTTTTACCAATTAGAAAATATTGTTTCAGAAATGTTAAAATATCCGAGTTAACTAAAAAGCGAAGTTGCTATTCAAAACAAACAAAAAGCATTGTGTACGCGCGACCGACAAAAAGGGAGATATTCTGTTTCTTTTTTCTACTGATATGGCGCCCTTATCGACTTTAGAAGTAAACATATTAGGGCCATCGTAAAAAAAGATCGTCAGACACTGGCTCTAAATATAAGCAGGTAGAAAGTTTAGCTTCCAGTTATTTCAATGTTTACAATATAACGAAGAATCTACAACAGTAATTACTTCTATTTTTATGAATGTTTAAGTTACTTTCTTAATTTTTTTTCAAAATAATGTACCTAGTAGAAATATAGTCTAATGAACCCTGTTTGAAAAACGTTAAATTAAATATCATATTTAAAATACAGTTGTCCTCCTTGTACATGACTACAATACAACTAAAAAAAACTAATTTAATAAAAAAAAACAAGTGGTTGTAGAAAAACTTTAAATATTATTTTTTTTATTTTTTAAACATCGAAACTCAAAGGCATAATAACAGGTATCATACCAACCATAAATAGAGTAGGTATGTCATATAAAAATGTTTTGAGTTTTTACTAGAATCGACCCTTCATAAAAAAAAGGGATTAGATTTAAGTTTACCTTTGATCCAGTCTGTATACTATTTCTTTGGATTTTCTGCACGTGTGCAAAAACTACACTAAAACACTATATCTTATAGAGAATAAAATATTGTGCCTTGAATTTGAGGGATTTCATCTGAAAAATTATTAAATTGGAAGAAAACCGGCAACGAGCGGCAGAAAATAATAATATTTCCGTGCAGTCTTCTGGTCGCAACGACCAATGGACGGTCAGGACGTTAGTGTGCGCTATATCATTTTATTTAATTGTTTTAGAGGTAGCTGCGGCCTGGCCGGTGCGACCTGGTCGTCGGTGTGTTCGAGCCCTTAGTGAATATCGTATACATCTATGGGCCTTGACTTAATGAACATTTTTTCTCTTTTTTATGTTGATTATATTTGCTGACATATAGTAAACAAGTATAGTTCATATCAAATAAACTTTTAGTCACGTGATTAAGCTTGACAAGCACAGCGTTGACCACTTTTTCACATCTTTTTATCAAAATATTTTAGGAAACAAAAATACATTAATTATAAATATAGCAGGTTAGTCGTGACTGACTAAGTTAAGAAAAAACTCAAAATTTAAGTGAGGATGCAGTCAATAATCCCACATAGGCCGATAAAACTACTTTTTCAAATTTGTCAAGCTTTCGAGAATTTTATTCCCATCATCAGGACAGTTTCTAAAATGTATAAATAAAAAAGGCATTAAAACTTTAAAATTCTATAACAGAAAAAACGACTTACGACTGAGTCAGTTAGCAAAAAACACATCCTTTGCACAAAAAGGCCTTAAAAACTAGCATCGTATAACATTGGACTACAAGAACATTTCCTTTATAAAATATTAAAATACATATCCAACGATATTACTTTTCTTTTAAACACAAACAAAAAGATTTTTTAAAAATTTTAATTTTTACATTGTTATTTCGAGCTCGATCAAACAGTGACTGTTTAATAAAATACCAATGAACTGAAAATTCTAGAACTCTCCTTATCAACATTTTTTTTTCCTTTTTTCTACCATAATGACATTTACTTCTTGTACTGCTCTTTTTTATACAAACCAACAACCATCCACGGTTAAAAACTTTAAAAATATATTCATTGAATTTATTTTACACTATTGAGATATATAAATAAACAGCACTTAAGGGACATAAAAAGCCATTACTATCGCTTTTGCGTTCAAAATATTCTAATAAAGTTGCGATGAGTTTTTTACGGCTATTAAGCTATCTTGTACACTTTGTTCTAAAAGAGGTTCTAAAAGGAGCAATGTCCAACTAACTGCTAGTAAAAAAATTTAAGTTTAAAAATATCACAACATAGTTCATTTGAACCAAAAACTCGTAATACAAAACTAAATGTCAAAACGAATGACAATGTCAGGAAATTAGTAAATAAATGTGGTAACTTTTTTTTAGTAGACTTGCCACCTGTATCCCCAGCGGGAAAAAAATTCCAATTAGTCAGCCCGGCGTCGAATATGTCCGTGGTTGACAACAATGAATTTAAAAATCGCGCCCTCGATTACGTAACTAAAAGTTTAATTGGTATTGAATATATGCAGTGGTAGATTCAGGATTCGGGAAGGGGGGGGGGGCTACACTCTAAACTGTCAACAAAATTAAGTATTACTTGACTGAACTAAGTTGGTTTGAGCTCCCAAAGACCTTTCCCCCCGTGGATCGCCACTGAATATCTGTATTCTTATGTTTAATGAGTTTCTCATTATTCAACTAACTATTCATGAAGCTTCTACAGAAAGAAGATTATTTAATGAAAAAATGTTCTTTTTTGTAAGGTACCTGGCAACCAATACTTTTATATAATCTGGAAAGTGTTATTTTTTGTGGAAAGTATCTTGTAGGGGGCTAAGGAGATTGTTAGTCTCTTAGTAAATGGACAATTTTGTAAACAATAAGAAATAATTTCAATCGTTTAGTTCTCTGCTATTCACTTATTTAACCATTCAGTTTCTCTTATAGGTCCACCTAATCCCGACAACGTTCCTGAAGATGGGAAACTCAAGTCTGAAATGATGATTAAAGACAATCGTCGCTACTATCTGGATCTGAAAGAAAATTCACGAGGGCGCTTTTTGCGCGTCTCTCAAACCATTACCAGAGGGGGACCTCGTTCGCAAGTAAGAATAAAAGATAAATTTATTACTGCCAACTAAAGTTTATGTAGAAAGATAATATAGTCTGCCCAGTGGACAGTGACAGTGGTGTGTGTCATTTTAATTAACTGACAAATCTTGTTTTCTGTCATTTTTTGGATGTCGTCTGTCGAAAACATATCGTCCTATTGCTGCCAAAAGTCACTAAAATTTTTCCGAACAACCAAATTCAATCACTAACTATGTTTTGAAGCAGAGAATCGATTGCAAAAGTCATTAACTACGATTTCTGGCTATTTATTTTTTATTTTAATACCGAATAGTTACTAACTATAACATCTTTTTGTAATGCAATTCATCTTTAGACGCATTTTTCTCGGAAGTAATAAAAAGTAAGTTAGTTACTTTTGGCAGCAATGGGACGATATTATGTAGTTAGTGCTTTTCATACAACTGCTGTTATGCCATATTTGATTAAAACTTAACTTATCAGTTTTTCTACCAACTTAACTTATCAGTTTTTCTCAATCACTCACTTTTAATTTTCTAGTAGATTGTGAAGCATTCGGTTGCCAATATTTTTCAGCATTGCCACTTTATATGTATAAAAGAATAAAACTTCATTTTGTTGACAGGATGGTGACCTACAATTTATACGCTCTTCCGTTTAATTTTGTTGTTTTGTCTACAAATTTAGTTTTGCTTTTCTCTTAAACTTTCGATTTTAGTTTAGTATGACTGAATTTTTCATAACTAAACATGATTGTTTAAAGGTTTATAAAAACTTACCTGCAATTTTTCATAGGTCCATTCCCTTAGTTTTAATTCTGGAGTTTTTTTCAATGACTTCTTTGTTTTCAAATTCTAGATGATATTGAGTTTTTTAAAGAGTTTGCATAAATACACTGGCCCGTAAGGTCCAATTTTGGGGATCAGGATCCTGTTTTGAAATCCCGGGATTAGAACCTATTATCCCGGGATTGACTATTAGAATGAAAAATGTAATCTAAAGGAATACTTCATAAAAATGCAGCTACATATGCCAAAAAGAAAATGAGAAAAGAGCTCCTTTAAAATAGACATAACAAAGTAACATTTGTATTTAGTAGGTAAATAAAAAAAAATCAATTCTGAAAAAATACTATAGTAAACACGGGAATATAACTTTTAGATATTGACGTTCTGCTTAATATAAATAAAATATGATCTTTGAAAGGCTAAAGTGTATCAAGTCAAATCATTTTATATTGGGAATTTAAAATTTTCGAGATTTTCTGGGATCAAGGGATATAATATCGAGATATCTGTGATCTCGGTTTGGAATTTGAAAACCCTACTGGCCACCATAGCCGACATGACGCCAAACCAATAAAATGGTGAAAACATTTCCAAAATGTCATAAATAGTGGTAGACAGTTAGGTATCTCTTCTATATTTTTTTACGTAACATACTTTCTATAACAGTTATTAATATTTAGCATAATTTTTAAAAAAGCTTTTGTATATATATTTGAAGTACCTAGAACATTTTTAAACAAATCAAATAAATTAATAGTATCAATATTGATTTTAAAAGGAACAGAAAATTGATTGATTTTAAGAGAAATACAATTAATAAAGAAAATCTGTTACAAATTTTAATATGTAAATAATATTTTTATGTTTTTTAGGTAGCTATCCCAGCACAAGGGATGATTGAATTTAGAGATGCCCTAACAGATCTGTTGGATGAATTTAGTACCGACGAGCATGCATATAAGCCCGATTTACCTGAGGGCAGACATATGCATGTGGATAATAAAAATTTCTATTTTGACATAGGTACGTATCAGGGATTATAATTCAATATTGTTTTTAGTGATGGGAAAAACCGATTAATTTCAATAATCGAGTACTCGAGTTTCAAGCGATTTCAATAATCGAGCGATCGCTCGAACAAAATTTCGCTCGTATTTAAGCACATTTTCGCGCAGAGCACATATTCTTTGGGTGATGAATAGCAAGTGGCAAATAGCTAGCGACGAGTAATTCGCTTGGTTCAGTTTAGTTTAAAGCATTGTCGATGTAAGTCGTAAAATTTTGTTACTCAGATAACGGATAACGTTGTGTAAATTTGCTACCTGCAATGTATGTAGAAAATTCGCTCGGTTTTGTTTCGAATATGTTACATTAAAATCGGATTTCAATTTATTTCATTCTAGGATCGCTTGCGTTCGTCGCTTGTAACTTGTCACTTCCATCGCTCGTTCATAATCGAGCAATGTCGGTTATTTCAACAATCGAGTACTCGATCGAGTTATCCCATCAGTAATTGTTTTTATATAGTGATTTAACTTCTTTAAATTTACTACTCTTAAGTCGGGCTCAATTGCCTACTCTTTTGTTTTTAATTATTTAAATAAGTGTATTATTTTATCTGTACAGTGTTCCATTTTGGTTACACAAATGAGGGTTATCTTCATTATTGATGTCGCAAAAAATAAATTTCGTGGCTTTAATTTCCATGATATATGGTAATTTTGAATGAATCTGATTGATAACTTAACAAAAGTATAAAGACGGATTGAGCTTTTTACGTGGAATCCATTGGCGTAGTTAGCTTTTTTTTTAATTCTATTTTTGTTTTTTGTGTTATATAAGAAAAGGTATTGTAAATTAAAAAATATATATATTTTTAGTTATCAGTCATACAGTTGCACATAACGTAATAACAAAGCAAAAGAATCCTGTCTAATTAAAATTTGGTAGTATAATGTTATGTTATTTTAATACAAATAGATGATCTATTAATAAGAATAGGTATTTAGAAATTAAATCTATATGTTAAAACTGAATTTACATTTGTTATTTGGGCGTTTATTGTTATAGGTCAGAATAATCGTGGAGTTTATATGCGTATATCCGAAGTGAAAACGAATTTTCGCACCGCCATAACGTTGCCTGAGAAGTGCTGGTCGCGGTTTCGTGACATTCTCAGCGATTACTGCGACAAAATTAAACAGCCTGCGGGGGGCAGCGTCCCCCAGTTAGGTGGAGGACCGGACCAACCACACCCATTGGTATGTTAATTATGTATTTATAAAAATAACTTTGAGTTAAGGCGGCCACAGACCTCGTTGTTTATTAGCACTGCTAATCGTCGATTAACACTGCTGAACTAGACAACTAAAACTGTATTTGCATACACACTACGTCAGTGTAAAACGGTAACAAAATGAAATGCGTCGATTTACTTGCAGTACTCAGCGACTCAGCGATAGAAACATTAAAATTAAAAAAGAAGAAAAATAGAAAAAAAGTGTGCTAAAGATTGGTTATTTAAAAGATACCAGAATCTATCATCACAGATTAGGTATCCTATAAGTATACAGATAAAAATCTTGTCCCTAAAGCTTGATTTTCATGCGTCCGTTATCCATTGATACGATGGTCCGATATTAATTTTATTGGTTGACTTGACAATTTGTTAGAAACGGTTAACCAATCGAAGTCTTTAAATTCAACCAATAAAATTAATATCGTATCATCGTATCGTCGGACAACGGATGCATGAAAATCAAGCTTAATTCGTGGTACGAAAATTGTTTTTTATGACGATGTGCAAACGAGTCAAATTTCCTGTGCGCAAAAATAAACTCGCGTAAAATAACAATAAACAGCGTAATAGAGAGATATCGCTAAACCGAATAGCGTGCATGGACGTTAATAAGGCCAGGTGTTATTTCCTTTATGTGAGGTGGTATTAACTCTTCATTTATAGTTATCGGATCGGAAAGAATTCTGATCGCGTCGCGTCCGCTATTTAAACTTAACCTAACTTTGAATTTAAAACTTTGAAATTGTTTTGTTTACTAGGTATTTTAAAACTAAAGGGCTAAAGTGCTTATTTCCAGTGCTTTATTGTTCAACGTCTGCCAGTGGGTTTAGGGCAACAAGCAACAAATTCTCTTAGAAGGGCTAAGTCATCATCTGCTGTAAACCTAAGACTCTTTATAGGTTCTTTAGTATTGGAAGAGGTGGAATCCATATTTTGGGCCATATTTATTTAATTAAAACTAATCCCAGCTACTTAAATATCAAATTACCTAATAAAACTAAAGCAATAATTCAAAACAATTCAAACATAACCTAAAATAAAAGATCTCGCCGGCCGGCTCCGATTGTCAAATACCCGCACATGCCCATTTAAGCAATTTTTAAACGTTATCAGAGGTTTTTAAAAAAAAGGTTTAGAAAGAGCGCTTAGTGTAATTGATCCGCAAATTACGTCAGGCGGTAACGTTATTAGCGGGTGTTGCGTTAAAAATTGACTCGCGCATATCGTAACCATGATAAGGTACGCGTAAATACTGGATGACGCTATTCGGTTTTCCGATATCTCTCTAATAACTGTGCCGGTCAGGCGCTGTGCACAATTTTAGAGGCCATAAGTGGGCGTGCTATGTGCGCAAACTAGTCACGTAACTAGTGCCCGATTCCGAAAATTGGAACCACGAAAAACAATAAAGAAAAAACAAAGATTATAATCTGTATAATCTGTGCTATCATCTTCTTTAGTTCCTCGCGGAAATTGCTAAAAAAAGAGTCTATTTTATTTTTTACACTTTGGAGAGAAGCTTCCACATCCACCTCCTTCATTTTTTCAAGTAGAATTTCATGAGCTTTATTTTTTTTTGTTCCGATTTTTGTAATTATTAGTCTTAATTTTCCATAACCAGACTAGGACATATACAGGGTGTCCCACAATTAGTGCGACAAACTGAAAGGGGTTGTAGAGGGCATCAAAACAAGTAATTTGAGTATAGGAACCCATGTCCGGAAATGTGCCGTTTTGGCAGGAGGTGGAGTGAAACGTAAATTTCAAGTTGCATTATTTATTCAAAACATTTACAAAAACTGCTCAAAGTGCCGTCCATTCTGTTGAAGACACAAATGCACACGCATGGACGGCACTTTGAGCGGCCGAGACTAATTGCCGATTGGTAATCGAACGCCATTTTTACATTTGTTCCCAAAAAGCGATTTGTGATTAGCGATTACCTATTTGCTTATATAAAAAGTGTTAACAATATGACAATCTCTGAATGCCATGCAAGATTATTTATAGAAAACTTACTATTGATGCATTTGTTACTATTTATTTCGTCGTTATTTAAAAATTTGTAAACAAAATTATTAGTGTAAAAATTAAAGTAAAAAAAAATAAATATTATTTATTAAATACACAAACGGTATAAATGAAAATCATATAAATAAATAAATATAAAAAAGTCAAAAACCATGTCAAAAATTAAATAAAAACTAGGGCCCTCTCCCGTTAATCGTAGAATTTAATGAAAAGCATTCACAAAAATTACAAATCACTAGACAACGATTACTAATCGTAAGTAACCGATTACCAATCATATTCCGTCTGCTGAATACAGGCAATAACTATGGAAAATACGTAGGAAAGATTATTGAAAATTTACTAAATTTGCAGGATTTTGTAATAAGAATTTTTAAAACAAATATAAAATTACTGCACTATTAAAAATATTGAAATTTGTAAGGAAATATTTATTTTAATATTTTAAATTAGTTCAATATGTTAGTTCATAAAAATAGCTTATATTGTTCTATATTCTTTCAGGTTGGCAATAATACCCAACAAGATGGTGGAACGAGTTTAAAGTAGGCTAGGAGCCGATTTTAGACTAAAAATATTAGATTTATTAAAATATAACAAATTAAAAAAATTGGATAGACGCTGTCGTCACTTTAGCGCCCCACGTATTTTTTGTATGTTTAACAGATGTTCAGTCTGATTTTGGCAGAGGAGCAGCACTAACTTTCAAAAGTTAACTGTTTTTTTAACCACAAAACGAAAATAGATTGAACAAATTATTAGCTCCAAAAAAATAATGGTTAACTTTTGTTTGGATGATTTTACGGAGATGTGATATAGCTGGTATGTGATATATTTAACAGAGAGATTTATATTAAATTCAGTTTAAAACTGAAACAGACAGTAATTTTATTAAATAAGGTTACTGTTGAAATACGCTTAGGGATGAAAAAATTATCTTATAATAATTTTAGTCCTGTTCCTAAGAAATGATTGTATAAAGCGTAGAGGTGGGGCTATAAATGGACGATAGAATAATTGAGAACAGTAACCAAGTTGGTTTTTGTGCAGTGTTAAACCAGAGACACATCTGTTAGATTCTCTATTATATGTTATTAAAGAAATACTAAAAATTATTATTTATTTCTTTTATGTTGTTGAAACACGTCTGTGTTTGATATGATTAAAGAGGGTTTTGGGTGAAATTGAAATTCATTTTATAATATATAAATTTCCTATTTGCCAAAGGATAAATAATTTAATCAATTCTTTAAAGAATAGTGTTACTCTGTAGTTGTCTTATTTTATTCTTGTAATTTTTTCTTTATCAGCATTATTCAGGAAGAAAAAAATCTAAGTATACTAATTTTGTCTATTATACAGGTGGTGCAATGCAGTGTGGAAAATTGCATCTAAATGCTTATTTATTTTTATAAAATGTTTCTTATTTTCAATTCATAGGCACATAGGGCCAGTATTAGAAATTTTGCCAATATACAAGGTGGTCCAGAAAGTTCTGGGTGAATGAGGGCTATAAGAAATTGAAAAACATGTTTCTATTTCGCGAATATTTATCAAAATTTGGAATTGATTTTGTAAATTGCATATTTTGACAGATATTTGCAAAAAACTGATTTTTCGGCCATTTGGGACCATTTTTCGTATAAAGCTGGCCGAGTACGGTGTTACAAATTTTCCCCTAAAGCTACTCCCCAAAAAGTTTTGCTTAAAAAATCATGGTCGACGAATTAAGCCGAAACTTGGGCCTCTTCCTGTCCTTATTATGATATATTATCCTACAAATAAAGAAAGAAAATAAATATTAATAGACGTTGTTAGGATATCCAGTTTTGCCGAAGGCAAATTTCAAATTGAGTATAGTAGGATTATGTGTTTAATATTGAAATACAAAAATATGACAGGTCTTTCGTTTTAAAGTCAGTACAATAATTTAAAATGAGATATGTCATCGATGTTAAGCAATGATATGCTACGTTTAATAATAATTTAGCTTTCTAACCTCGATTTAAGAATGTTATGATAAATAATGGCTACATTGCCTTATGAGGAAGGATTGTTTGTAAGAATAAGTTTTCCTCCTACCTGGTTGAACCACACTGTATAGTGTATTTTTATATCTAAGTCATATTTAGTTTAGGATTGCTAGTCAGATTGTATAACTATTACATGTATATAGTGTTTCTGTTATGTTGTTAACATAAATATTTTAAAATTGCGCGAAGTTTACTGAATAATGAACAATCTTATTAACAATGAAGAGAGAGTTTGTAAGTGATTTTGTGCCAAATTTTTGGTGGAAGGGGCTGATAAATCTGTATAGCTTTGTAGTTTCTAAGGGGGCTAAGAGGATCATCATAACTTAAAACCTACTTTACGTAACTGTAGTATTTCAATTTCACCTGATCGTACCCGAAATCTTTTCTGCAAAGGTTTAAAGGGCACCACAAACTTTTTTTTGTGATTTATGAAATATATGTAAAATGATGCAAAATGTTACAGCTTGGCTGTCAATATTTTGTCTCGCAGCTCTGTGATTTTTCTATTGTCTTTGTAAAGAAAGAAAAGCTGTAAGCTTTATATTTTTATTATATTTATTAACTGTATAATTTGATTATACTTTTTGTGAGTTATTGTTACTTGAACATTTTTTTCTGGAAAATCAAATAAATGAAATTATTTAAAACAACACAAAAATTGTTTTTATGTTTGTCTAGTCAGTGTTTCGCCGGATATTTCAAGAAAAATACGATCATAAAAAGATGTTCAATGTTATAAAGCTATAAAATTCCAAAATGTTATCAATATTTGCATATGTTTTTTGTTGGTCAGTTTTGTATAACTACATAGTAGTGATCAAATTAATAGATCAAAACATCTGAATGATGTTGAATTTTAATAATTAACAGTTCATGATGTAGGGAAGGTGTTAGTTCTTTCTCACTGCCAAAGTTGTGCTTTTTATTGACAATATTGTTTAATTTTCCGAATGATTTTAAAAATTCTAATTTACAGAGTTAGTAATGTGAAGTAATTCTGTGACCATTTGAGTTTAATTACTATTAAATATGATTGATGTTAATGTGTTTTATAAAGGGCAGTTAATTGTAAGGCACTTTACGTTTCCTCCATAAAATATTGAGGGGTAATATTGGAATTAAAGAGATATTTTTAAAAAACGTATTTTATTTTTTAGAAAAAAATATGGCAAAAAGTTATTTATTTTTTTCTGAAGATTTCAGATTTTTATATTATGGAATACAAAATTGCAAAAAACTGTATGATTTATCTAGGTATCCTGAAAAATTGTTAATTAAATGAAGAAATTTCTGATAATTTATTTATGGCGATAGTATTAAGGTTAAGGTTAAATTTCAACTGTTCTAAAGCTGTTTAAATTTATTTTGATTTTCATAAAAAAACGTCATTACAATCCCTTTTTTTATAGAAATCCAACCACATGGAATTTGTTCCAATTTCGACTACAAATGTTGATTTTACCGGTCGAAATAAATTGCAATATGTTATCTAGTATTAATGTACAGAGTGTCCAATTTTTGTTGCAGTTGTTTTTTTTTGTTTATTCTTAAACCTTGGGGTTTGTGGTATTTTTTGTGAAACGAAAGATAGCAAAACAAAAATTATGATAGCTCTTATAGGGTGATATTAAAATGTAATTAAATGCAGCTGTGACTGTTAGTCGAGCTGCTTAAATCCATATCAGACGTCCCTTATATTTCAGTTTTCACTTGCCAAAATGGTAAAAATACCTTTGAATTTAGCGGCTTATATTTTTATTTTTTTTCTTGATATTTGTCTTAATACAAAGTCTGAGTTATAGCCAATATTTAGATTTTTTTAACACCATGCGTGCTTGGTAAGAAATTAAATTGTTTTTTACAATTTTTTGTTGTTTGTACAACCTTTGTACAACCTCTTCGAAAGTATATAACAGTAAATATTTTAATAAACTGAGACAGAAATAATTGTCTTGATACACACTCGCGTTATTTTGCAGTAGGTCATGCGTAACAAGTGGAGGCAAATACTGTTAAACTTTTAAACATAGCTAAAGACTAAATATCTGCTAAAATAGGTCCAAGATGCCGTTTGAAAAAATAGCAAAATAAAATAAACTCTAAACTAAAAGAAATACTAATGATGGCGAAAAGCAAATAAAAAACTTTGGCAGTTAAAAAATTCAAATATAATTTCCTATAAGAACCCTTTACCTGTCATGAAGTTAGGGTGTTTTCTCATAAAACTTTTAGATCTTATTGTACTGGTACAACATGGAATATATTTTTAAGAAGCTTCAGAAATATTAATTTCTTGACAAATATACAAGGTTTCTCAGTTAGAAAGTAAACATTGCTTGAAACTGAAATATGAGAGGTGTTCAAAGGTGCGTTCACACCGGCTGCGCCACTCCGCGCAAAACATTTTTTTAACATGTACTTATGAAGTGTATTTTTTTTAGCGCGCACAAAAGTATATGTTAAAAAAATGATTTGAGCGGCGCGGAGCGGCGCAGCCGTGTGAACGCACCTCAATAATGCAACATTTTCAATATCGCTTTGTAGCATAAGACAATTTTTTTGAGAGTATCTCTAGTTTTACTAATAAGTAGCTCAGGTTTGCAAAACCGTATCCTTCCTTCTTTTTTTATTAAACGAAAAATCATTACAACTAAAATGGGACTGTGTACATGACTACAACTTTTTGGCTATTACGAGTACAATAAAGCTTTCATAATATACTATATTTTAAATATTTGAAAGCCGTTTCTAGAAAGATTCCAAATATTTGATTCTTTCTACAATTTAGCTTGTTTAGAGTTTTTTTAATAGAGTTTATGTCATATCGGACAATATTATTTTTTATATTTTTTTTAACCGATGGGGTTTAGTTTATTTGTTATTAGACAGGTAAGTCTTCAAAAAGTAAATTTACATTACCTTACAAGTCAGTTATAAATTGACGATGTAGATATTTAAGCCTATATGTTAATTAACTTTGTTGAACTTTTCCTAATAAGTTACTATTTATTGTTATAAATATATATTTTCCTTCACTATTTTTATTGCACTTCTTTCCTTGTTCTGTAATATATCCAAGCAACTGAATCTGAGATTTGTATAATATGATTAGATGAAATGGGCAAACTATTGGAGAGTAGATGGTTTGCTATTTTTTGTAGTTTATCGGTTATTAGAATTAAAAGGATAATAGACAGGTACTACCCTATTCCTTTATTTTTATTAGCTTCTTCGAATAACGTTAAATATGTTTTAATTAAATGTAATTTTTAATACGTTTTAAGGACAGTAGTAAAGAAAAAGAAATAATTTCAACTGTTAGGTCTAATAACTAAGCTGATTAATAAGACAGTGGTGCCCCCACATTATTTTATGGCTTAATTTGTCGGGTTTATTATGTTGTGTAATAATAGGTCCTAATCAATCCTAATATGAAATATATAGAACAGTTGAATATTTTTGTTTATCTCAAATAACACCTAAAAAGCACTCCTTTTCATTAAATTTAATAGCAATTGTGCAAGTTATGAATACTTGAATTTATTTCAGCTTTGTGTATTTGAACTGCCACAAAAAGAATGTTGTTATATCCTGAAATTTTGATACACTTATTACAACAAATAGCAGTTAAGCTTAATTCGTGCGGAAGTAACATTCTTCTCTGCTGATTTATAAGAGAAATTTAATTGTTTTCAAAATAAATTAGCCTGATGTTCTCTAATTTATCATGTTTAGTCTAAATATCTCAGGAAATTGACTACAACATTTTGTGTTCCGATCAAGGTGATTTATAAGCTATTTATTCTGTGTTTGTAATTCTGTATCAATTTCTAAATATAACGTTTTGGTGTTTGGATTCTTAAATTACAAAATACAATTGTGATTAGTAAGATTTCAACTGTTTTCTATTACAAAAAAAAATCGACCGAATAATGTTAAAATTACTTTTAACCATTACCGACTGTATAAAAAACCTACACGTTGTTTTGCTAATTACATAGATTTATTTTATTTTTGTAGACTAGTCATAAGAACTATGGTCGGAGTTTGAAGTTTATATATATAGTATTTTTTTAGTAATATCGAAAAACCAGTTTCGGTGCTAAAACAAATTTAGTAATAGTTTATAATTACCTCTTATACAATTTTTTTATTTACAGGCATCATTTTTATCCTTGGTAATTATAGGCTTGGTGTATTCTCCGCCGGTGCTGCTACCATCGGAGAATATCGTAAACAACCTGCATATACAAATACACGGATTTAAATAGCGAGTATACGAAAAATTTATTATATAATTATTCTAAAAGTGTTAGGAAGTATAATTTGTGAAAATTCTAAAAATAAAAAAAAGTAATATTTTGCTACGAAGGTCTAACTTGTGTTATAATTTATTATTCAAGTTATTAAAACTTTTTCGGTCAGCTTAGCTACGGTAGCACAGTTGTAGGCACCGATTTTGCTAGCCGAGAAATAACTGGGGCTATTTCGGTTATAACGATTAACGAGGTACACAATTATAATTTTAAAGGATGTCCATAAAAAATTTATGCATTAATTGATTAAAACAAGTATACCATTAATATTCCAAATTATAATTTACCCTCTCATAGTATATGCCTATTTAATTTTTTTGACTATGTAATGGGCACTTTGTTTACTCACTTGTTTCGTCGAGCTGCTTAAATCCATTTTTGCTTTTTATTAAATCGGTGTGAGAAGTTGTGAAGCTATAAAATGTTGCTTCGGGAGAGTTGAATATTCGGGAAAGTTGAGTTATTATATTATAACTTATGTTATTGCACCCAACTATTTTTTACTAACGATTTTATTAACATTTGAAATTGCCACAACACAAAGCGACGCCCAGTTCGGGTTCTTTTTCACTTAATTTTTATTATCCGAAACAGCGTTACATCACACAAACCTCGTACCTGTCTTTTGTCGTTTCGATAAATGCACTGTTAATAACTAAAATACTTAAATATTATGACAAAGCCACGATTTTAATATTATTTCAAGGCGATCAACATCGGAACACCGTGAAATACAGCGAAAACTTCTAATTTCTGCCGTATCAAGCGCTGCGGTCGGAATTTTTAAAATCAACTCAAATGCACCAAGCCTGTAGTCATTTAAAAATCTTTGAATTGCGTTTGAAATGAACGATTTTTGATTGATCTTAAATGTATTCTGATAACTAAATTTTGTTAGAGCAAAATACGGAAATTATTTTATACTTATTTCATTCCGTACTTTATACATCGCTAAATTTTAGATACAATGACTAAGATCGCACTGCCAATCGCCAGGTTGCTCTCTATATAACAATAGATACTATTCTTGTTTCTATATATAAATACATTTTTTTCATTTTATATCTTCGATTTACTTCAAATTCCAATCATTATAAATGTTCTTTTTATTTATTGTAAGCAACGTTTATACAAACTTTAATGTTTGCATTTTAAATGTTAGTAATGTAGCTAGGATATGAATGTTTTCCCGAGTGAAAAACATTGTCAATTTTTATGAAAGCGTTTTAGTTTTTGGGTCATCAAGACATGATAGAATATGGTGAAAAATTGATCGTGTTTTTCAAAGTATTAGCAATGGCTTTTGTGTTAGATAAACTAAACAAATCTGTACCTCGTTTGAGCTATTTGGGAATCGCTAGGTGAAATATGGGGTTGCATTCTCCTATTTAAACAAAAAATTCGTACCTACAAAATGAACCCAAGTACAACAGTAATGTAGCCTTCCAATTTTCAACTGGCTGATTCCCGAGACATTTTCTGCAATTTGCAAACATTTCAGTTTTCTTTCCCCAAAACAAAAAATTCCAAAAATTATTAATATTAAATTATTAAAAGAGAAACTGAAAACATAGCTTTTTAGAAACTAATATAAAATTATATATTATAAAGAAACAAAAAAAATATTGTTGCAAAAAGATTTATGTATGGATTTATTTTTCAGCGTTATGATTTAAGATCAACAGTATGGTTGTTCCGACTTTTTCGGGTTATTTCAAATTATTGCACTACACAATAAACAATATATACAGAGTGTTATTAAAGTTATTTTTACTTTGATAGGCTCCGTAGATATTTAATGTTTCACCCTTTAGGAAGAAAAAG